GGCTACCATAAAACGGAAGGTACAAAAAAATTACGCAAAAGCGGAAAGAAGAATCAAAGCCTACTTAACACTTCGGAGGAAACTTCTTATCCCAAAATAATAATCCGTACAGAACCCGTGTACATGAAAAAGTTTTTTCTATGCACATGAAAAATTTCAAGATACTTACATAGCTGGTTTTAACGTAAAAAAAATCACACTTCGTGCTACGTGTACCAATACGTTATTTGCCGTTTGGTATCCTGTAGCGTTTTCAGTGGCGTTTAACTGCAATTTGTTACTGTTTTGTGCGGAAAGATCTCCATCATGAACGTAAGTAACCTTATACTAATACAGTACAGTTCGTATAACTATGTTGAATGCTGGAATAACAAAAGGTTTGAGTTTATACAATATATAAACAGTTAAGCACGTTCGTTACAGACTTACAGTTGCATGATGCAATATAATCGAAAGATTATTTCTGTATTTTTCAAGGTTTTTGAAGAAAGTTTTGACTTAGATGACGTTCATATCAGAGCGATGCATTTGCTGAGGCATTGAATTACACGTTACAAGTTGCAATTACATACTAAATAATGTTTTCTCAGGATTACTTAATTATGCATGGTAAAGACATGAAATTTAGAGTAGGAAAGACCCGTACCTCGTTTACTACGGATATAAGTTGCCGCAGTAATATCAGTATGTTATGCGTATACTTGTACATACGAAGAATAATAATATAGATATACTCGTAGATATACATTTATGTAATAGCCCATATACCGTATACGCGAAGTGTGTTGTTAATAAGGAATATGAGCGTAATAAGTAATCCCACATAGCCAGCGGCCAATTTATAATAACAAGTTTAATGGGCAACAGCAAGTTTAATGGTCAATTTGTAATTATCAAAATGAAATGTAGTGCAGAAACTTGGGTAAATACAATAAAAAAAGAATGGTAAATTAATCGCAAATCGGTAAAGTGCAAATGTTTTACTACGGACAGGAGCCGTACATAGAACAAAATTGCACGATCCGACGTACCGGCTACATTAAAGCTAACCATAAAGGTTGCTGCTGACCATGGGCATGTAGATTCACTACCCGTAGGTTGTTTCACATGCGCGAGTTAGTATCCACAATTATTGTATTCCCGAAACATCTGTACCTCATTCTTGTGTAGGCATATTATACGAGTAGTCAAAGAGAATCTACCCGCATCGTACATGCACTTTTGCGGTTAGATAAAATTAACGATGAAACCCATGCAATACAATAATAAGCGCTCCCTACAAAAGCTTTATAAAGCTACCGACGATCCGAGGACTCTGCACTGCGATAATGGCCCTGCACTATAGAGGTCCAGCGTACTTTGTACACATCCGTCTGATGAAAATGAATTGGCGGAAAATGAAATCAGGGATGCATTTTCAGGCACCCTTCAGTTGATTCGATTATGGACCTAATTGACATTGCATTAGTGTTATGATGTGCCCTTCAACTTTTGAGTGCCGTAGCGCCATGCCGTACTGCCACATCGTAGAATCAGTCAGAAGTGCCAATATTTCTAGTTTTCTGTACGACTCCGGGATATTAATATGCACTAAAAAATGAATTTGATGTATACAGAGAGTGAACATAGACGATTTCGTCAAAAAAAGTCGTACTTTGAATAAGTATATCTGACCTGTTCGAACGAATTACTACAAATTACAAAATCTGTATAACTCTCTATACATTTTCAAGCAAGCTTTAATTCTAGAGCACCTAGATGGTACATATCTCCCACGCCCGTACAAATCCATAGCGTTAGGATAAAAAAACTAAACGCCCTAACTTAATTATTACACCAAGAAAACAACGGAAAGCGCGCACTCTCAGCACTACAGCCGTCTGACGATTTGATATTTGTAATTCAAAATCGGAAAGAGCGACATTCCCCAGGGAACGCCTATTACGTCTCTAAAGCCGTAAAATGATTACCCAAAACGCACCGAAGTGTTCTCGTAGAGGACCAAAAAGTTAATAGACAAGATGATATTCTGACAAATAAATCCCTAATCACCAATTTTCAAGTATCATTTATTCAAAAAGTTGTACGAATTCAGTTGACACTTAGGTGTGTACCTAAGTGTATAAACCATAAATTTCGGATTTCTGACCGTGCAAATCAGCTCACCGTATATTTGTAAATTTACTGTTTTTGCGGTGCGTGCCGCATCAAACATTTTATTTCGGTATAGAATGGGAGGAAAAGTTAATAAACCTAACCAATACTTGGGAAATAAACCGATAATCTCCTTTTTTTCACGCGTTTTGGTTAGTAAAAATCTAAAGCTTTCGTTGTTCTGGCTATTGTAAATTAAACCTCCAAATGAAAAATTTAATTTTATGCAGAAAATGAACTACTTTACAGTTGCTTTAATAGCATTTGATTGAGTACAAAGCAAATTGCCCCAACCCGCCGACATAATAGGCAATGTATGAGTACTATCCTACTGTACAATACAGTGTACTGTATGTAGCGTATCAGAACATCAAAAATCAGCCTATGCAGCTGACCAGTGAAATGTTTGCGGATATTCTACAATGAACAAGATATGTATCATGCTTTCCTGCAACGGCGCATTTAATTGGCGGCATTTGCACGGCAAAAATCATATCGATCCTCCATCCTCGGCCTGGCGATAATCTGTTTTTTTAGGAGCTTTGATTTATAGGTCACTGCGGATCAAATCAATTGTAAGTGGCGTAGCAATAAGCATTAAGCAACTTGGGATAAGCAAAATTCGGACACGCTTATAGTTCGGCTAAGCAAACATTGGCAAGTGCCATAAACCTTGAACTTTTATGAAAGATTTTGATATGCATCTTAATGCTTATCTATTAATATAAACATGGAAGCAGTAGAATGGATTCTGTACTGTATTCTGCAGAACGAGCCGTACTGAAGATGGGAGATAGCTCGGTAGTTATCCCATGGACTGAATAGCAGGTCGCTGTCCGCCTTCGATTTCTAACAGATCGCTGCTTCTGTTATATACCCATATGAATTGCCCATGCATGAACGAACAAATTAGGCTGTAAATTCAAATATGAGATCATTTCACATCGTTCAATATTGCGGCTGCTTCGAAAGCTGCTAGGCCGATCATATCGCCGGATTAATCTTCTGTGCATATTCTCGCGATGCACAATTGTTATGTTAAGAATAAGCCCGATCACTTAGAAAGTATGCGCGATATCTTATACGGTTATACCTAATAACCAAAATGAACAGTAACAGATACCTTCTCGTAACAAACAGTAGTAACGTACCTACTCCCGCTGTCCCGCATGTATATAATATTGTGTGCCATTGTGTGATACTGCACAATATAATATACCTATTTGGAATTTAATCATTACGGGCACAGCAGGGAAATCCAAAATTGCACTCACATTATAAACATCCTTACACGCGAAAATTCTGTATGTTTTGTTTGTCCGGGAAACATAAACATTTGTCGCCAGCTGCGTTCATCCGTGCAAAAAAGCTGAAGTGGACTGTAAACAACATTTAGCGATGAGCAGAACTACTACAACAGCTGATTGCCGCAGTATCGATCGGAAATGGACTTTTCGATTTACACCTGCTGACCTGCGCCATTTTGAGTTCAGGCAGCTAATGCCTCATGATCGCAGTAAACTTTATTCCCTAACAAATAAAAAAACCAAAAATCAATAATCAAAACACAAATTAATTTTAACGTTCAGCTTTGCATACCGAATTCAAAACATCAAGTCTTCCAGTGGTCGGCCTGCTTTTAACTCTAACATAACGAGACTTCATCGCATGTGGAATGTAACACTAGTAGATTAATAAAATTATTACAGTTAACGTTAAACATACTAATATGCTGTATGACAACCACCACGAAACTTTTGCTAATAAACCATAGTTTATCATAATGCTTCAAGTGCAATCTCAACTCGAATTTCTAACCTGAAAGAAGGTTTCTGCAATATTAATATTAAAGATTTTGCAGTTGTTCAGTATATACGTATACGTATACGTACAAACGACACCTGCGAATGCTTGTAATCACAATTGTAATCAACAGAAAACGTTCAGCATGATGAACACGTGTTTTCTAAAATTTAAAAGATTTTGATTTGCAATCCATCCTTGAAACATAGTACGTTTTGCTAGAGCATCAGTGTAGCCACGTTAATAATACAAAGGAAAAGGAGCAGTCACCCACAATTTCTATTGCTCTAGAGCCATCGCCACAAATTTGTCAAAATTTAATTTTGACATTCAGTTGCGTATCCTTACGTTTTTCTCGTTACAGCGAAATGAATACGAATTTTCCAAAAATAATTTTAACTACACATTTTTTGGAAATGTGTATGACATCGCGATGATCGGTGTTATTACTTACGTAATTAAATAAGAAACGTGATCTTCCCTTGCCTAAAAGGGCACATATGTAACCAAATTGATAGTCTGCGGTACGCTAGACTATCAGGTTTACAGTGATAATTAGAGTGTTTACGTCCTAAAAAGTTTCAAGGCTCAGCTCACAACTTCCTAATGGTATTTATATTAATTATTTATAAGGTATTTATAGTATACGGATGAATAGCGGTCAAAGCATCTGGCTTGCGAATCATCTGACTTATATCATTATTTAATAAGTTTCTCTAAGTTAAAGCTAAACTTATTGTTAGCTAATGATTACGCGCTCCTTTAAAATTTGTGTGATATCTTTCCCCATATTCCAGAAAAGACAAGCAGTTAACACGATGCCGTTCGTACATACGCAGGTATTCAGATAAGGAAGCAAAAAATTGAAGTGGTGGCGAACGGATATGCAATCGGTACTGCCGGCATACGAAAATGCCGGCCGAATGCTATGGACAAACAAATCCCTTCTTGACGCATTGCAAAGTAAGCAAATAATGATAGAGAGTATTTAATGCATAAACACATTATCAGAGTTTTTTGGCACTTTTTGCTGTCAAGCTTACCGGTAAGTAAGACGCAGACCACTAACTGTGATATGATGGCAAGACGATGTGGCACGGGAGAGACCCTATAGTGCATTCCATCAAGACCCCGGAAGCCTCGCATTTCAAATTGTCTACACAATCCAGTTCGATTTAGCCCGTTAAAATATAGTGCTGCTTTCATTAGATAGGGAACCAGAGAGAAATCCGCTCATTAGGCAAATGATACACTTTGCGGAGAGCCGATTGAGGAGGACTGCACAGAACATTGTCACTTCCTTTGGCTGCTCGTTATCATTTGCGGCTGGTTTAAGTCATTCTGTTGCAATCCGACAGCTCTTTTCGGATCAAACTTGGGACATCTGCAACAGATGCACTCATGTTAAGGCGCGCATGCAATTGAAGTTATTGTAGCAACTTTTGTAAAAGTTATAGTTAATAAAGCGATTAATTTTACCATAACCAATAACAACATAGATGCGTTTTTCAGATGATGTTGCTGACCACGGCAAAAAGCAGTTGATAACAAGACATAAGCAGCGCTACGTACACGTCATACGACACTTATTGCGCAACGGTGATATACGACAATAGTAAATCGTTAAATTGTTATTACGCTCGTGGAGAAGGCTAATCCGGAAAATTGGTCGGTAGCGGCTGACGGAGAAAAAAATCCTCGATCATGAGAACGTGCTTGAGAATCCCACAACAAGATAGTAATTCCTCTTTGGCCAGCACAAGAGTACTCCCCAAGACGGGATCATGAACAGTAGGAGAAAATGCGCAATCCCAGTTAAGTAATAGGGAAAAACGGCTCACTTGACCAGCAGGCTTAAATACATGTGTTGCAGCATGCCCATGCTGTGCTGGCACTTCCGGGCCCAGTGCACACTGCACCCCATAAGAAAGAAGCCCGGTAAGGTTACTGGCGAGCGACCGACCGACGACGACGATGGTGTTCTTTGAAAAGCAAATTGGGGATAAAGCCAAGAAAATCTCTTAATGGAAACTTGTGTTCAGATTGTCCAATGCTTATCCCTAATGCCGACTAATTTTGCCAGTAGTAGGTCCCCTAACGGACAAACTGCGGTGATAACACACTCACGTCCGATGGGAATCAGATAGATGCCGACACACACTGGCACACGCAGGACAAGCGCCGCGCGCACTACACACGGCTAACCACTATGAAAGCAGTTAACTCCCCGTCGTTTCGTTACATGAAATTTCCCAAATGAGCCTTGTGATGACGAGGAATTATACAGACACGCTATACTAGCCGCGTATGCTGTCGTATATAGGCGGAGATGGATGTGATTAAGTTATATGGTTTCACACTGGATAATCCCGATTGCCGCTGATAGTTGTATAAATAAGTTACAGGCCAAAAAAATATCGGTACACAATCTCATATGCCGGTATACTGCAAATCACAAATATCATTGTGAATACTTTGCGAACTGCGATTTATACAAGCATATGTATTACAAGTGGGTTTTCTACAATGGCACTCATGTTTTCACCCGGAACGGACAGGAAAACAAAGCTGGATCCATTGAAAAGCGACTTGAATGAAAGTACACACACATATGACATAAAACTATCGACGCACAGTAGAGATCGGATGTTGGACTGGGATTGCACAGGGAAAAAGTGCCTTGTTTCGCTCCCTGTGTATAACGCTAAAAAAGGATCAACGCAGCACTTGTGTATAATTCACTCGGGAAGAGGATTATCCACTAACCTACCCCGAAGGCTTTCCGGATTCAAAAGCGCCTGTCCTTTGTAAATTTGCCGGTGCTTTATCCCCAACGACTAGAGAAATGGTCCTGTATGTGTATGTATCGAACATTCTGTATTGAACATACATTATAATTCCCGATCGGCGTTGGATAGTTGTAATCAATAATACGCCGTTATGCTGGTAGATATTGCTTATATGTATGGTCCAAACCCTCACAGTCAGCGCAAAATTGCGCTTCTATTGGACGGGCGGGATGTGCATTGTATATTCGGTATATGGTCAATGTGCAGATAATTGGTTCTTTCAGAAGCTAAATTTCATTTGCGAGTTAAAAAAGAGTTCGTCTAGGTTTACTGCATTCGATTACATTCCATGTCTAAACTTTTGGACAAGATTTGCGCATGACATGGTGTTGTACACAAGTTTAAAAAAACAAATATCGCCGAAACCGGCTGAACGTGCACCACCAATATAGGCGACATCGCTGAACATTCCGGCATAAGCGATAGAAGTATATATCAATTTGCGATTTTGCCTCACCATATACTTTCATAACTAATTTGTAAGAGATTTTAAATATAAAAATTTTGGCTTCTTTTTCCACTTTAAGGCAGTCTATAAATTTTAAACCTAAAACTTTCCCAGTTTTGACCCTTGTTAAAATTGTTTTAATAGGCAACAGCCATCAAAATAACAAAAAATTGCAAGCGCGGGCCCCTACCCTTGTTAAATAGATAAGTTACCTGAAAATTGTTTTGAAAGGATTTAGCTGTTTAAGGGAGTTTTTGTTTAAAATATGCACAAAATTTTACAATCATGGGAGTTTACAATAATTTTATAGATAAGTATCAGTCAGACTAAAAGATCAGTCGATTGGGATAGTCGCTGTAAACTGTATATAACTGGAAAATGGAAATCCTGGAACGGTTTTGAAATGCAGTGTGGACAGATTTTGCTCATGTTATGTCTAACTAACCAGTGGGAGAGCGCATAAGTGCTGATTTATATGCAATGTTGTCCCACCGTAGAACAGAGTTCAAAATTTCCTTCTTGTTTATTGATGTAATGGCGGCAAATCGACAACATCGAGCTGTTAGCCGATGTAGTGCTTTTCGAATTCAACAGTGATTTCTCGAAATATGTCAGTTTGGTTGTATAACATTCCATCTCAAACGCATTGACCAGATCATCGGTAGCTAAGTAAATATTGCACAGAAAATTCTTAATGGACTACTGTGTAATTCATCAAATACAACAACTCTTGCAAAATTTGCATCACATTTTGACCCTGATGAGATGCCGGTATATCAGAAAACGTTTTATATATGGCTCAGTCTGATTCGGCTTTTTCCACCGAGCAGCTCGTAAAAAGCATAATGTGTATTTGGCAGTTCGAAAGTAAACAGAAGTCACTTACTTCAGAGCAACCTTCGTCATTGTCGGCGATATGTCGAATGGTGATGTAATTGTGGGCATTTATTGAAGTCTGCAAATAATTAATAAAATATACATAAATGTTGCTTGTAATATCAATGTATTCACATATTTGATGGTGAATACGGCTTGTTTTAGTTTGTTGAGTATACCAGAGAATTTGACGAAGCGTTCTGTTCATTTTCTTGCAGCGGTACTGGCATGTCGTTTCAATATCGCAAAATAAACTGCAGAAAAGAATGCTGTTTTTCTCTTATAATGCTTAGGTACGTACACCAAGAATATTTATTTTTTAAAATGTAGTCGGCGTCGGTAATAGCATCAGGCGGGCTTAATACTGCCTGATTGCGCAGTTGTAACCATAATACGTTTCTGTGAGCGTGTAATACAACATCTGCAGCGTGCATGCAGACGTAAGTGCAGTATGTTTGCAGACATGTTGTCCAGAACTTGTCAATAGCATAACGAAAAGGTGGTTGCACAATCGCTTTAATTTAATTTGCGAGCGCGAGAGCAAGGGATCGGTCCGCAAATTATTTTGCCAAATGGATTTTTACTAATCTTCCCGAAATGATTAATCTTGTCTCCGGCAAAAGTGCTCTTTGCTTGGTGCGTTTAGCCATAACTGTTCCCAAACAACAATATTGAACAGGCGACCAGTGCATGATTACGTGGTCGGAAATCGATAGGATCGAGGATGAAAGTCGGATAAAATGCGATGGTACGTGTGCTGAGCAGCCAGAGAAAAAGTTGTCAACTTAAGAAGCACTGAAGCAGGCCGACCAAAAAATCCCATATAGCTGGCGAAAAAATATGGAGCAAGCGCGCTCAAAAACACGAGTTGTCCTTGCAAATTTTTCGACAGGAAACGGCTGCACTGAATGGTCTACCGCCCAGTGTTTTCCATAAAAGCCGTGCTTGATTGAGTAGGCGACTTCCTGTTGAAAATTCGACATCTTTAGAATCTTTGCAGTATTGTTTACGCACAGACGGAGCGAAAACAGTCACGATATACCACCCAGGTGGTCCTGTAGATAAATTTAACCTTATAAACCATTTCATTGCTGACGACGGAAAAGTAGGTTGTCAATACAATTCTACAAACACCCGCGGCACTGGGTGGTTTAAACCTCCAGAATATTAAGTATAAGTCTCTATCCGATTTCGGATCCACAGGAGATGATCACAACTAGATGCTGGCAGATCTGTTCAACCTTAATTATTTTCAAGAGTCATAGAAAAGATATAACGTAGGTGTATATCAGTTGTTCAAACTTGACAAAACAAATGGCACTACTCTTGTCGTTTGGTCCACAAACGGATAAAAAACTAGAATAATAAGCTGAAGGTAAGCGTATAGAAGAAATGCCGACAACTGTGAACACACCGACCGGCTTGTCTTTCCAGCTGGCATTCAAAAGTGAGGTAATTACTAATAATTTACAACCTACTAATTTTTTCAATCATCCCTGGCGGCAGGAATGCATCTCCCGCGTTGCGTTTTATTTCGAAACGGCCAAATGGTTTTACTAAAAATGATGACTTAAGTGGTCACTTTTAATAAAAACATTTAATAAGCTTATTAACATGCCTGCTGGTAGTAATTACGTACTGCATATGCATTATTTAATTAGGCGATATCTGACGTTTTTGCTATGCGGACTGCAATCTCTGCCCAATTGATTATGAACCAGCGAAGTTTTGTACGAGTATTTCGGAAGACTTCACGTACCACTTCCTAATTCCACAGCTAGACGTAGTATGAAATGGGGTGTGCTATGAACCAAAAAAGCAAAACGGTGGGTAATGAATCCGTCGCTAATTATCGACCAAAACGATCCCACCATAAAATTATGGAAAAATGAAGGAAACCTTTGCACTTCTTGAATCGAAATAAGGTACATAATACTACTTTGTACCGATACGTGCATTATTTTGCTCTTAGACGCTCAATAGCCAGCACCTCAGTCTTCAGAAGTTTCACAACTACGGCGCAGAAATTTACTGTTATAATAATATTTACTGTAATGATAGTCTTCGAATTAGCGGAGAAGTTAAAATAACCCGGAAAATTAAACAACCGTTGTAAATGTGATTTGTCTTTAATATACAAAGTGTTTATAATGGATTTCTGCTATATGTATGTATTAGTAGATTCGTTGCTAAACCGCATCAAAAAACTACGCTTAATAATTATTTGCGTGCTGCACCGTACATAATACATGCAATGTACATTGTACAATGTAATTAAAGCCTACCTGCATAACGCAACAACAGTGCAACAAGATATCGCAGTCTGTGATCATGATTCTGCTCTGCTTCGTAGGTTATGACCTTATGTACTTAAAGTTTTCGGCCTGTGACCTTTGAAATAGCATTTCTATTGATTCAAAAACTTTCAAAATATAAATTTTCTACAGGCAGTTGCTGCACAAGCTTAACCAGTAATTATTGAAAAGGTCACAATTCGGCACTTATCCGCATGGAATTGCGCTTTTCAGTTGCGTAAACGCAATTGTTGCGCCCTTACGATTAAACGACATCCGCGCGATATTCCGCGAGAAGTCTGGCACGACTTAATGCACCCAGGCATATCAAACCACATTTTTGATTTGATTTTAGATGTATCTAGCTAACCGTTTCACGCTGTCAGCCCTAATTCGAGGTTTTCAAAATTTTTAAAGCTTCCAACTTTCCTAACTCAACTGGGCGCACAGAATTGCCACCATAATTTTGTGCAACAAAAGCCTTGGAACCTGGAATGATGTGTATCAACTATCGAGCACAGTACTACCGTCCCGGGGATTACCATTAATTTTATAAGACTTAACAGTATTTATATTAGACTCAAGCAGTCGGGAGTCCATTCGAAATACTTGGATACGCAAGCGATTCTGGATACGCAAGCGATTCAGAAAAATTGGGAATGTAATTTGCATAAATCGCCATTTTCAAGAGCTAGAACATTCTATTTAACGAACTAAGGTAAAGCCTCCATTTCCAGCAAATTAAAATAACTTAAAAGACACAGCCAAACATTAAATCTTGACCATATATAAGCAACTCAAACATTCACAGAATAAAACGCTTCAAGTTCACGCAACGAACGCGTCGGGTGTCAAATCTTTAATAACGCATGTGGCATGTCAGATCGTTCAACTCCATTCGCGCTGCATGGCAATGATAACCTTTGCAGGCAATCTTGGTCCAAACAGTGGATTCAACTGACATAAATATGCCACTAACCAGCTGTAAAAAAACGCAACATCTCATCCAAATTATAAAAATTTTAATACCATAGGATAAAACTAATGTATCAGCACAATTAAAGTATATGTAAAGGCTTTTACAAGAATAAAGAAATTAGAAACGTCGCCAAGCGCCAAGTTTCCGTTTCACTTACAAAGTGTAGCAGCAGACCGCCGTCAGCGCAAGCATCGTTCGTATAAGCCTACAAAGTAAAGAACACACGGGTGAAAATAATAAGTAAACAAAATATGTCCAAATCCAAACCTACGTACGTGACAAGACAAAGAGTTTAAAACAGAATAATACGCAAATTTAAACACTGGATCACTTATCAATTTTAAATTACGTAAGCATTTACTTTCCTTACAGCAAAGATTACAAATAGAATCTTAATAGGTCAATAAACTGGGAGTTCATGTTTAAAAAAATGTAAAAAAATCCCGAGTTCTGATTTCAAAGCCATATAGTCATATACTTATATGCAACCGCTCCTGCTCTCCTAACTTTCTGCTAACTTAGATTATACTTCTCTGGCGGCTGATTAAACAGACTCAGAAAGCAGTCAGAACGCTGCATTTCAATGTTAAGAGCTCTTAATTTTATTTCTTTCCCCTTGGCGAGTTTCAGCACTTTTAGGTAATAGTAAAATAGCCAATAGACTCCTCGAGTAGATGTAGAGTTATAACATAGCAGAAGCAAAGGCTCGGCCTGTACGAGCAAAAAGCTCACCCTCTGTCCGTATTTTTCGGAACCAGAAAGGGGCCCAGGATGCCAATAGCAGCCCAAAACAGGGTGACCACGATCATGGGGATTTCGATCCCCATCCTGAAGAATTCGGCAGAAACCTACGGAACAAACACACGCTGAAGCAGATATCACATGACTGGACTCATGTCGGAACCCAATGGTACAAGCATGCTGTGTAACACGCTACAACCATTTCAAAGGTTTTTCATGTTTCCCATAAAAGGCAGACGTTTCAATACATACCTTCACAAACAAAAAATAATCACCAAACTTCGAAGAAAAATTTAAATAAGTTTTGCCTGAACCCTTCTACTTCCAGCTGTATGGGCTTGCAGTCCTGGCAGAAAAGATAATCGATTTTTTGGATGGAGGCTCAAAAACATCCACAGGGGTGGCAACTTGCGACAGTGTATATTTGCTGCACAGTGCAAAGCGTGCACTTGCACCTGTGCAACCCTTGCACTGTCGCTTTGCAGCTGCCCGCTGCCGCACTAACTGTGACGGAATCGCCGCCCGCGCGGCAGAGAGCTGTTCGAATATAAACTACCCTTCGGGTGGCTGCTTAATGAGGAGCATGGCACCCTAAAATAAAGAACAAGCGCGAACGTGAAAACAGAAAGGACTCTTGAAGTGGAAACTGGAAGGACGCAAAAGGCAAAAGTACAAAACTGAAATATTAGTTTTGTTGTTACTACCGTAGTATTTCATTTCAATTCGATAATGACAATTTCTTCGTGCAAACAGCACATTTTCAGCTTGTTTCGGTTCCTGTGTTAGGTTTTATAGCCTTGGTTTAGTTTCGTCAGATTTACAAAATTTACGTACGAGGTACAGAAAGGAAAGAGTTGGCACCTCAGCTCTCCTGCCAGATCAACATGACGCAGTCGTTTTCGCCACCAAACAGTCCTTCGCAGAAACTCACCCAGACTTTCGGTACGTACCGTTCGGAGTCTTCGTCATCCATTTATAGCACGTTATCAGACCGCCATTTGCCACCCTTTTCGGACCCAAACTCACAGACGGACCCGGGACAGACGTTTTACATACTTGTTGCCTCGGATTGTCATCTGGGCTATGCTGACCGAGATGAAATGCGCAGAATGGATTCCTTCCAGTCGTTTGAGGAAGTTCTGGATACTGCAGTAGAACAGGATGTGGATTTCGTGCTTCTGGGTGGCGATCTGTTCCACGAGAACAAACCATCCCGTTTCGCGGCTCAACAGTGTGCGAACCTGCTGCGACATTACTGTATGGGAGACAGGAAGACAAGCGTCCAGTTGGTTAGCGATCCCGAAGTCAATTTTGCCCACATGGCTCCCATGTTCCGACGGTTAAACACGAAGGATCCGGATTTGAAGATTTCCCTGCCAGTGTTCTCCATCCACGGAAACCACGATGATCCTAGTGGATCGCGATATTTGAGTGAACTGGATCTCTTGCACACGTACGGACTGGTTAATTACTTCGGAAAAGTTGAGAATATTGGTAAGCGAAATTGCGAAAACGCTTCTGTTGGCTATATTTTCGGCACACGGCGCCAGTTTATTACTTCGTGGCTCTTGACTGCTGTGCCATTTTCCATATGTGGTTTGCGGCTCGGAGATTTTTGCCTTATGTTCTTGCTTTCCCCGAACAAGTCAAACCTGATTCTTGCTGTATTTAGCAGTAGTGTAAATTGTGGTTCGGTTAAAGTTTAGCAATATGAATAGTGTGAATACTGGTATTTTGCATTTTGAAGAAGCTTGATATACTTTAGTAGTAGAATAATGCGTTATTAAGCTTCGTATAAAAATTTTATTGTGCTAGTGGTGGCGGCGAGAAAAATGTGCTTTAATGAAAAATTGTCGTATTTTCAGAGGAAATCGAAATTGAGCCCTTGTTGTACAAGAAGGGTCGCTCAAAATTGGCCATTTACGGACTCGGAAGTATTCGAGATGAGCGGCTACATCGTGCACACATCCATGGCAAAGTGAAGTTCGTGGAGCCACCTGGTGGACCGGAGCAGTGGTTCGATGTTTTCATTTTGCACCAGAATCGCCCCTCTCTCCGCGGTGGTACCAACTACATTCCCGAAACATTCATACCGGATTGGATGGATTTAGTGATCTGGGGACACGAGCATGATCCCATTCATATTCCGGAAAAGAGTAAAGTGAGACGCTGCGACATACTTCAGCCCGGCAGCACTGTGGCGACGTCGATGAGCGACGGGGAAAAGAAGCAGAAATACTGCTATCGGTTGGAAGTGTGTGGAGGGAAGTATCGCACGGATCCGATTCCGTTGAAAACAGTGCGTCCTTTTGTTATGGAAGATATTGATCTGAAATTGGCTGGGTTAAAAAAAGATGACATTACACTGGGAACTATCCGTGCTGATGTCGAGAAGTATCTGACTAAACGAATGGAACGCATCATCCGGCATGTGGAAATTAATCGCGGGAAAAACAACCAAAAGAACCGCTTGTGCGTTTACGTGTCGACTTCGGCAACATTGAGCCTTTGAATCCGATTTTGTTTGGACAAAAGTTTGTCGGTCGGGTTGCCAATCCGCGTGACATAATATTACCAGTGAAGTCCAAGGAAAAAGTGCCTGCGAAGGATAAGAATCTGGGTAAAGCAGTTTATAAACCGACCATCGTGCTTGATACCGTTTCGATCGAAGATCTTGTGGTGGATTATTTCGTGGCCAAGTCGGACGAGATGGTTTTGTTTGATCCAAAATTGCTTACGGAAGCATTGCGCGAGTTCGTTCAAAGCGTGAGTTTTTTTGTAAACTGACAGTAATTAAATTGTACCTAGTTTGTAGTTTTCGGTGTTTGAAAGAATTTCCTTTTTCTTTACTAAATTTTTGGTTAAATAGAAGTATTGCTTTGTAGGACGATAAAGATGCAGTCATGGATATGTATGAATTCCAAAAAGGGCGCGTCGAAGAGTACCTATCCGAGATGGGAGAGACCGGTTTCGAATCAAAAGATCTGCGCGGAAATGTGCTGAAGTACCATACTGAGCATTCGGACATTCCGGCCTGTATCAAAGATTTCCGAGATTGGCGTGCAGCTAATAAAAAGCCTGTCAAGAAGCCAGCTGCTGCTGCCAGAGGACGGGGACGAGGGCGCGGAGGAGCCACCACTGCAACGCAGTCGCCACCTCGTCGGCGCAAAGCGAAAGTGGAAGAAATAACGATTGATGATGATGATAGCGAAGAGGAATACGTCCCTAGTAGCAGCAGAACAGCACGTGGTGGTCGTGGAGGACGATCGCGAGCTGCAAGTCAAACTGCGTCCACGCCTTCGTCACGCTTACCTGCTGCTGCTAGAGCCAGAGAAGGACGTGGTGCAGGATCTCGAAAACTTACAGAATATTTTGATGTCACTTAGTATTTCCACATTGATTTCTTTTTCGTGTAATGAATTATGGTGTTCTTGTTCTAGTGTGAGAACTACTATTGTGTTTTTGTATAGTCTGTACATACGAGAATTAGGAATCTGGAATAATCAGCTTATTGTGTTCCGTTATATTGCGTCGAGTTTTTATTGCTTCGTTGCTGTTAGCCGACTCGAGAATAAAATAATTAAACTGTGGTCGAGGATTTGACGGCGAATGTAATATTTGTAGTTAACGTTATTCTCGTATGAGCTATGGCACACTGCAGCATTAAGATTTAAAACGGTCAGACTTTACTGGCTCCACTCACAAAATGTGTGGCTTGTGGAAATGTCTACGGGATTGCGGCATGAACACTTAGGTCTTAGAAGCAGGCATCTTGGGTGTTTCATGGTATTGGTCAGCATGACAGCACAGCTACTTAAGTCAAATTTTTTCCACACTGACAATCTTTATTGAGCGGTTCCTCCAAAAGCGCACCACTGGGCCAGAAAAAAATCCGGCAAAAGGCAATTATTTCTCCCTATTTAACATTACATTCATCACAGTTTCACTATCTTCCCGATAACAAAATAAATGTAAGAACTAAGCATTTAATACTCTATAACAGAATGCCAATATTTCCGGTCTTCGCTCTGGTCCACCTTTTTCGCTTCCGAAACAGCATTAAGGGATTCGATCTTGCCCTCAATTTCTAACCATGAATACCGTGTATCGATCTGAAAAACAAAACTGCTAATAAGCATACTCAGGACGTACCGGCAATATTTATTCGGGATGGATTAAACTATTAGAATGGACTTAAATCGTAAAAGCTGAAGTAGAGTTTATATTACTTCCACTGCAGGAAGCCCACCTAACGGGTATATGTGTACCAGGTACTGCAATTTATGCACCAAAAGTGCATCCAAATCTTGAGAACGATACTACAGATACTAATCATAATACCTCAGTAAGATTTAAACTCTTATTTTATAATTCACAATTACCGCATAGAAACCGTGACGATGATGCGTAATCATTTGCACTCAACAAAGAGTACTGGTACCTCTTCTGATATGACGTGCTGCAGGTCAACCAGGACCTGATGGGCATCGGCTGCAATTGTCCACTCCATAAAGTGCGATTCAATTAAAACCGCTATCCATGTGATTCCCTACATAAATAAAGCAAAAATATCGTTTACTGCAGTAAAAGATGCAAATTTATGTGTTCGGACAGCATCTACCACAGAAGCACTAAACTGAGGGAAACTATTTTCTTACGAAATTAATGCACAACTGTTGTAAAGCGCCACGATGCAAAGAAAAACACGAAATACTGGTATCGTATGAATGATTTAGTAAATTATGTACCTCCATAGTGCAAGGATTATCGTGGAGATTTTGGAGAATAAATTCGGCTGCGGCAACTATGGAAATGAAAGGTAATCTTCGTAATCTACTAAGCATTTTTCCATAGTCGAATCGGCGGCACAAGCAAGCTTCCCTGTAAAAAGTTACAGCAAGTTAAACAGATCTTGCCATTGCGAATTTAAAGCTGCATAACGCCAAAGCAGTGGTACTTACAAAAGCGCATTTTCGTCATCCCTAAATGCGGAATCTCCTTTAGAGACTTTTCCATTTAAATCAGAGCTCCGTGCGCAACGATTTCTATTAAATGCAGACCAAAACTTATTGCAACGAGAACGAACAAATGAAAAGAATGTAATGTATGTACTCATGAACGACTGCCAAACATCTGGAGAGAAACCACTCGGGAACAAACTCCACATGTCGCACACACAAGGTCATATTTCGAATATCCTTGTCGTTCGCTGTCATTCTAAGAAATTCTAAAATCCAACAAATAAGGGATCAGTTCCAAATCACCCTGTTTTTTCTGCACTTAGATAGTTCCAAAATTCCAATGTGCACGTTCACCAGCGAAAAAGTACTGCCGATGCGCTGCGTGCAGTTATGGGATAAACTGCAGAACCTTAAACGGTCCCCGGTCTTCCATACCAAAGAAGACTAAAAAATAACTAAAAAACCATTAGGTTTTCTAGATTCACCAGAGTTTGCGTGAGATAAGAGCTGCGTCGACGTCTGCGCACTGTTCATTTGCAGGAGGACGGCATACAAATCGGGTGGCGCCGCAACATTGTTAATAATGTGCAATTCCTGAACAGTATCATTCAGTTCAATCTCAGAATTCATAAACCTAACAACGGAAAGTAATGTTTTTTAGCAAGAATCAGCCTGCTATGCCACCATGGTCGCTGAGCTTTACCTGGCCGCATCATCGGAATTCTTTAAGCCATTCGCTCTACTCTTTAACGCTTTCCTCTCAAATGCATTAAGCATCTTCCGCAATGTGGCCTCATCAATCGGCTCAACCTGTGAAGATATTGTTCCATCAAATGCTTTGTCGGAATTAATCACGAATGCCGGAAAGCGCTGATTTAAATTACAATTGGTACGGCATCAATCTTTGTGATCTCCTCTGAAACGTTTCCTCCCCTGCTGGTCAAAGTTTTCTTCAGTCCATTAGCAAGCTTCCGCATTTTCACTGAGGAATCGAGGTCTCCAGTCGCCCAATCATCGTTTCTCTTCTCGGACTTCTTAGTCTGTAGATTCATAGAAGAACTGAAAGAAACCAACGAGTTTTCGAGCATTGATATTTCAGTACATATCGTATACATACAGTATTTTCTGCAAACTTCTAAAAGACAGTTTTTAATGATCGGAAAAACATTACAGTACTAGCTAAAATAACGTTAAAACAAGAATTAAACCTCCGATTACTGATTTCAGGCACAACATAGGTGCCGATGTTTTACACATTATGTAAGGTGGAGAACTTAAGCACACTAACTGACTAACTGCCAGCACGTGCATCATCACAGCTGCAAAACACTGCGGAAATCCTCACCTTGGAATAGGGAATATCACCAATACTCATAACGAGGTGGAGGTCTCGATTTTGCTTTAAAATCTGAATACTCAATATTTAATAACAAACCAGGAGAAGTATTCCAAGGCTTTAGAAGAACTAACGGTGAGCCTACAGGATGCTATTCCAAAGCAGGGAAAGCACCGTAGTATCATAGAGTCAAATGCTTCGCACAGTATTATGAATAATGAAACGGCGAACCAAGGCTGCTGATTACTATCAACACTTATCAGATAGCAAAGTAGTAGCCAAAATAAAAAATGTCATTAATTTCTTGATCGATAAAAAATTGCTCCCACGCTTTCTGATATTTTATATTCAATTAAAATCATAATTTATTAAACGCCGATTCAGTGCCGACAACGGAAAAGCAAAGAATTTTGAAAAATTCAAGCCGCAAGCTTCTTTCGACTTTGTACAATTGTACGAGAGATTTTGCGGGTTTTAAACCGTACTCGAACCGTCTGTACAGTACTTACTGTGAGTACTTCCGTCTCTAGCGATTCCACTCAGCATTTCCGTCTCCATTTTTCAGAAATTCCATTGTTAATGGAATTAAACGGTAGTACCATAAATATGTACATGCTGCATTATTGAAATTTTGATTTGAAATTTGCTAGTTTCTGCCGTGTTCGTTTCCAGTTCCCACAATTGTAATACCGTACTACGGTAAGTATCCAGCACAAAAGTTCAGTTCATTGGAGAGTTTATGGAAGATCTCAACCCTTTTTTCTTATGGGTCGTGTTACTATGGTTTATTCATTTATTGGCCTTAGTATGAGCTATACAGTAAAATAAGAATTTTAAGTAAGACTTCTTTCCGAAAAACTCTTTGTATTGAGCGATCAGTTTATGCATTTGTGATTTGCTACTTTTATTTGCAGCTTTCTCGCTGCACCGGTATACCCGCAAAAAAAAAGTTCTGCTGTAAAGGACTAGAGCACGCCTTACGAGCGAGCTTGTTTCTCACTCACCCTTCCATCTGGATTTTGTTTGCTAAAACTCTGCACCCCCTCACGAAAAGCGAATGGCGGAAGAAATACATTATCACTACCACCACACGCATCGTCGTCATCACGGAGGGAACGACACCTCCCAAGAAGGCAAAGAAGCAGAGATTATTAAACCCGGACACAGTATGAAAGATACAGAAGGCCGACAACAACATGAAAATTACGACAAGAGTGATCATGGTACTGGTACAGTGGTACTCATGGGCTGTCGCACTATGTGTGAAACCGCGAATATTTGAAGTATAGGTTTCATGTATCTGTATGATAGGATGAACTTAACTATTTAACTAGTAAGTTAAAGTTACTACTCTAACATATATTATAAATTAAGCGCAGACTAAACAATAGGAGTATTTACATTAATGCTGTTTTTATTACTTATCAGTGTTAATTATTATCATTTTGTCATTTTCTTCAGATTTCAGCCTGTTGCTTTCTGCCTCGTAGTTTTCACCGCTCTGCACCCGAAAAATGTTACCTTAAACTAAAAACATCAAACTGAAATAATAAGCAACTAGACTAGTGAGCAATGAAAGTCTGTTTAGTACTCGTTTTGACTTTCGAATGGCAATGCGGCATTCCATTTGAATTCCGCTTTGAGAGTGCTTCTGGCTAGCGTGATCATGAGCATGCAAGGGAGAATAATTATTCGGTTTGTGGTTGTGATATTTTTTATTTCTGTTTTAATATTAGTGTACCTTTTGAACATCTTGCAGCCAGCAGCGCGATTAAAACCATGCTGCAATAGCCTGTGCACGATTTTGCAGACGAAGAGCAGCATGTGCCCAGGAAAGTCCCGGAAGTGAAGCTTTACCACACACGCTACTTCGAGAATCCTTTTCCGGAGTATTATGGGCAGCCAGTTGGCGATTCAGGGATAGCGTACCTTGAAGACGCGGTAACTTAAGTAAAAGATATAATTGCCCTAACAATTTTAATAGCCTTTTCTTATGACTGACCTTTTCCGCGCTTTGACCTTTCCCACGTGTAGCCGGGACTGCTGCGAAAGGTTTACCACTATTACAGCGAAGTAGATCTGACTGCACAACATGCAGACATCTACACTGGACTAGCAGGCGTTGCATATTCCTGCATGCGGATTGCTCAGACGCGGAACATTGCCGAGACGGATAGAGAAATGGCCGTTGGTCTAGGACGACGTCTTCTGGAGGCTGCACTGGTAGATACAGGTGAAAAAGACGACGGTTTCCTTATCGGTGCGCCGGGCGTCTTTGTTGTTGGGGCACTGTTTTACCACGCAACGGGGGAAGTTGAAAAAGCTGAACAATGCTTACTGACCTTTGCTGATTTCTGTAAAAATGTCGACTCTATTAAGCACCATAAATCCAGTGGGGATGAGTTATTTTCTGGCAGAGCTGGCTATTTGGCGGGTCTTCTGGAATTGTGGAAAGTTTTTCCTAATCACGAGGTATGACAGATAGTACTTCGGTTAATTTACACTTTGTAATTTAATTTCTTATTGCAAGTTAAATATTTGTATTGTAGATTCTGAAATCTATCGATGTGAAAGCTATTGTCGAAGCAATAATTCATTCTGGTCGCAAATACAGTAAAAAGCAAAGACTGGAGGATGTGAGCCCGCTGTACTTTTATCATTTTGATTCCGACTATCTGGGTAAGCGACTCCCGATGCCAATCAATTTTACCCGGTACGATTTTGCACGTTTGGCCGCAGGTCATGCTCACGGGGCGTCATTCATACTGCAAATGCTGCTGTCATTCCTTCCTGTACTGAAGCAGATCTCCGGTGCCGAAGAGGACATTAAAAAAAGCATTGACTATCTTATTGGTCAGCACGATAAAAGTGGCAATTTCCCGCCTGTGTTCGGTGAGAAACGCTTGGATCCTCATGATGAATTGGTGCACTGGTGTCACGGTGCTCCCGGTAAGCCAAATCCTGCTGCTCTAGGAACAACTGTAAATTTATATAGAAAAGTGCGATTATATTCAGATGTCTTATTTCTTTGAATCAGGTGTCATATACATGGTGGCGAAGGCTTATATGGTATACAAAGACAAAAAGTATTTGGATGTCTGCGAGCTGTCGGCCGACTGTATTTGGAAGAAAGGATTGTTGCGAAAAGGTAACTGAGATTTTCTAAATTATCTTGTGGTGTTTTGATAGTCGCGCGTAATCTAAAATAAAGATTTACGCCTTGTTTTGTCCAGGTCCTGGAATATGCCACGGAATTGCGGGAAACGGTTATGCATTTCTGATTATGTATCGTCTCACCGGACAGGCAGAATATTATTATCGAGCTCAAAGTTTCGCTGACATTATGTTCCATGCGAAGGTTCAAGAGAAATCTCGCACGCCGGATCATCCATATTCGTAAGATTTCGACTTGAGTAATAGGGATACTGCATAATGCATTGTTTTCCGGCTTCTAGGTTGTTCGAAGGTGTTGCAGGAAGTGCGTGCTTCTTGGTTGATCTGGTGAACCCTGAACATGCCCAGTTTCCATTTTGCGATATTTTTGCCAGTTTTTAACTTTTCTAATATTGTTTGATAACCTCTGTGACGGGTATCATTTCCTCTTTGATGTATGTCTTGGATTGTCTTCCCCAGGTTCACATCGCTTTTTGTCTCTTTCTGTATGATGACCTTGATTGTTAAGTGATTGATGATTCTTATAATTTTGCAAAATAATATTCAGCCTGGACACTGATGGATGAGATCGGAAGTGTAATCACTGTACACCTATGTGTGCTTTTCGCTTTCATACTAAATGTGTAGAGCTGGCCCATTAAAGGAAACAGCAAAAAAAGCAGCAAACTGAAAACCTTGCAGGAAAAGGCAAAACCCGAATTCTCAGCTCGCACACCGGAAAGTGGGGTATTGTCCTAACTTTATTGCAGGGAATCATTTATTGCAATTAAGTTGACACAGTAACAGATAAAATTGTGAATACTGCATTTAAATTCATCCTGGCAGTGCTGCATTTGTTATAGTTAGGTTCTGTCGTAAAGCAGCATGGACTAGATGAGTTGGTTTCGGTTTAGTCGTTTTATAGTAAGTCAGGTTTGACCAATGGATTTTGCGATTGCTATATGATTTCGCGCACAAATTACAGAAATTTCATAATCGCTTTTGTTTAATCGGTACCGATTAAGATTTTGACGTATGATGGCTGATGCCGATTAATTACATATTCGCCCAATAATCGAACCTTTTGTAAGGTTTTCGACTTCGAAAGGCTGATATTACCCTGCGGCTAATTATTCCAAACACTCATATGCATCCAGATTTAAAATGTTTTGTAGTTTGCTTCTATCGACAAAAACGACTCGCACTTTAGTAAATTGCAGTTTCGAAAGGTACAGCCTTGGCAAACGACCGATCTGTAGTCTACAGATAAAAATTATAATTAAATTATTTAGCAAGATAAAGGATTTAAGCGTTAAACCCGGAAACCCAGAATAAAATGCAAAAGAACAGCTCTCGAGTTTTGAACTTCAAAACGGTTGTCCAAAGTATAACCATAAGCACCGCAGCTCAATTCACAGGTTAATAATCGATAAACACTTCCGAAAATGGAAATGAGGAATGATTAGGATTGGTTAGATCAGCGAAATAGCAAGCCGTACCCGCAATTCCTTCATACAACCTAAGAAAAAAGCACACGAAAGCAATGCCTAATTCCGTTTACAGATACAGAAAAAGCAAATAACGAGCAAGACAAACTTACGAATAGGGATGGTCTGGCACGGTACATTTTTCTTTTGTGCTAGGCTGCAGAACTAAATCCGCAAAACATTCTGCTTTCGATAGCCATTCCACCTGACCAGTAAGTTGATACAGAAGAATAAAAGCATAACCATTTCCAGCAATACCGTGACAAATCCCTGGCCCTAAAAGGCAACAGTTTGGGAAGTCACCATAAACCGTCTTGAAAATTAGTGTAAGAGAATGTAAAGCAATGACACCCAGTACGCCATCGTTAAAACCGTTAACGATTAATGGTACTTGAAATAACGAGAACTATCTTTGTACCTTTCCGCAGCAGTCCTTTCTGCCACGTGATATTACCACAACTGATGCATGCATCCAAATATTTTTTGTCTTTCCAGACCAAGTAGGCTTTGGCTAGCATATATACCAAGCCTGCAAACAGTTCCGTTGTGACATGTTCGAGTACAACGCGTTCTTTTTAGTTTCTTCCTACCCGGAGCTCCGTGGCACCAGTGAATCAGTTCATCCCTGTCTTCACGATACTTCATCGGAAAATTACCACTCGGAAATTGCTGTTGCAACACGAAGTCAACGCTGCATTTAATATCCTCTTCAGCACCGGGAACAGCTTTTAACACACTGGGAAAGCATAAAAGGCAATGGTAAATGCCGGACAATCCATGCGCCGGACCTGTAGTGAAAAAAACACCTGTAGTGAAATTAACAATTTGAATCCTTCGTAAGGCACTGATAAGGCACTGACAAAATTTATACTAGTGAAATGTTTCTTATCAAATCTTATCAAACGTAAAAGCTAGCGGTTCAAAGAGGTGTAAATAGACAATTAAAGAGCTGTTTATCTCAGTATGATCATAATTCATAAAATGGAAATCTAATGACACCATATTTCATATCCCAAACGTACCTACAAAATCCATACCCATACAGTAGTAGAATAAAGGACACCGGTCAGTCAATCCACGGGATTTGCTGCATTTTCTGCCAGATTCCAGAACAGCCAAAATAATTTTCTTAACATCAACACCTTCCAGAATCTACCCAAACATATGCTCGTTACTTTTACTGCATTTGAAGGGCCACAGCCATGTTATAGCCGCAACAACGAACGATTCAAAATATGGGCAAACCTTGTTGTTTGGGAAAACTTTCCACAGCTCCAGAAAGCCCATCAAATACCCAGTACGACCAAACAACACTTCATCACCACTATTCTTTCCCCCAGCCAGATCGATATCCGCTTCCACAGTCTCGCACAGCTTCGCAAACGATTCCAGTGCACTTTGTGCGCGCTTCTCATCACCGAGCGTTTTGTAGAATAATGCTGCCACAACCGCTACGCCAACGGGTCCCAAAAATAAACCCTGATGTTCGAAGTTTTGCGCCTTTTGGGAAGACTGAATCAAGCGAGCTCCCATACCCAGCAGCATGTCTCGTTCGGACTGCGGAATTTTCATAGAAGCCACGCGGTTGCACGCGTAGGCGATCCCAGCAGTTCCTAAGTAGACGTCAGGCGAGGGTTCCGTTATGGGCACTTCGCTATAATGGTGGTAAATTCGCTGCATGGTGCCGAGTGCCGCTTCGGTGTAATCGTCCAGCGAATTGAGAGGCTCAGTGCTGAACGATTCCTCTTTACCCAGAAAGGGATTCTCCATGTAGCGCTCATGGCAAACCGACACGCATGGAATTTGGCGTTTACAGCTGCTACGTCGCCTAGTTAGTTCAGCGCCTAATAATCAGTTCTTCACATGATTCAAACTACAGCAGCAGTAAAGTTTCAAGCACTTACGCTTGGCAGTAGATCCAGCTGGAGAAGTGGCTACCACGTCCGACATGGGTACAGATCACAAATTAACGGCACACACAAAAACAGGTGACTTAAGAACGCCAGCGGCCAGTCTGGCAACAAAATCTCTCCAGACAATCTGATGAAGCAAAACCGGAAATGCAGTATCTACAAACTTCCACTTTTAGTAATGCAAAGAGTAATAAGATATTTTAATGCAAACCAATCTCTGGACAGAGTGAATAAAGTTGAAATACTTTGTAATATTATTAATAAGAAGAAAACCACAACACAGCATTATGACACAGAATTGTCTTACTGCCATCGTGGTAGGGTGACTGCGGCAGCGGAATTTTCCATGAAGACAATAGCCATCAGCTGGCTGCTATGCTAAGCAAGTGCTTACGTCGCGAATCTCGTTATTATTAGACTCCGGAAATCTTTTTTGCCATTTGTAATTTGCTTCGGTTTATCAAAATTTTTAATTCCTCTTTTAGTCTTTTTTTGTAGGAAATTCAGTCAGAATTTGAAAATAACGATTAATTTGATCGTTTTAGTCTAACACAGAAGTGCTTACAATGTTTGGATGGATTAAGAATCGCGTAAAACGGCTGCCTGGTGTGGGACACCTGTGGGGCCTCTACTTGTGGTACACCGGACACGAGGATGAAGCCTGGGATACGCTTCGTGCGGCCACAAAGAGTGCGCTGGTTGCTTTCTACGCCTACATTTCTGCTAAGCTGCCCATCCGGTGGGTTCCCAAGTGGATTCGTAGCCGCATCACTCAGGCTCTCATCGGGTATTTCGGAGTGTACATCACAGGCATCCTGGACGAAGAAACGCAGGCTCCAAAAACGTCCAGCATGTATTTAGGACGAGTTCAATGGGAGGGCTATTGGATCACCATAGAAAAAACCTTGGAGAATACCAGGATTCCCAGTTACGATTGGAAGATGTACTTCGAGAATATTCGTCTGCTCATGGAAGAGGCTTGGCCAGGCAGTAGTGGCGCTGTTGTAACCACCGGATTGAAATCCGATGTAGTGGAAAGGCTGCATGCTATTCTTCTTTCCAGTGCCAGAAGTGTGTACCTACAGCCGACTTTCCTCTAATAAAATTGCTAGGAAATATTCGATTTTTTCTTTGCGTTGTCATCTCTAGGACTTAATTTACACCCGTAATTTGTATTATAACTTTTTAACGTTTCAGGAATTTCGTTCTCCGAAATGGATAACATTGTGGGCCAGGTGATGCGCTCCTTCGCGTTTGAAAACCGGGAAAAAAGCCTAGATCCGCGTCGGAAAACAATAGATGCGTTGCGGGAACAATTTGGAATGAGCCTTCTGGGCGCTCTTTCGCAGATAGATCGTCAGATGTGATCTTGGTCATCAGGTTCTCCATTCTTCTGTGATTTGCATGAGTTCAAGGGTTGTCTATGCACTGAAAACGGTGCACTTGTAAATATTTTTTTAACTTTAAGCCGTGTTGTCTCTTTTACTTAAAATTAGGAAAGTTTCCAGCATGAAGCTGAAAAATGAAAATCCGGTTTTTATTATTTTATTAATTTTTATTTACTTAGTGCTTTTTTCATTGTTGAATGGGATTGGATTCTTTATTGTTGTTTTTATGTCACGCGTTTGAATAAAATTTAGTCTTGGGTGTGCCGCAGCTGATTTTCATTATTTAATAAATTAATGAAAAGTTGGCGGCACGATACCGTTTAGCCGCAGGTCCGCAGTTAAGTGCTTCAATAAATAAAGTTAGTAGAAACTCTTATACTTTTGCTAGTCAATTTAGGAGAAAAGGTTCTCACACAATACTGTAGCAGGACCTTTTGACGATGGTGATGGTGCATTTCTTTTGATCAAGATCCCATTGTGCTGGGACTTAAATACTAATTCACATGTCAGTTAGCGCATTATTAGCATAGGATACAGTGATACACGCTCTGTATTATTTATATTAGTTTTGATTTCAACAAAACTGTAGAATTGTGTAAGAATTGCTCAACTGTGCTACTGTACGTCATTCATTGAATACATTAATGAACACTGAATACATTTGCGGTTGATTAACTCAGGATTTATTTTTTCACGTAATTTTGAACATCGGTCAACGTGAATGGACCAGTTTTCAGTAATAACTTTCTGCCAACCCAGCCTTGCCATTTGTGTTAACTGTAAATCCTAGGTAATTAACAGTAAGCTACAGATTCTTAAAAAATGACTTAGATTACGTAAGCTTGAAGACAATGTTCTTGCAGTGCAAACTCCTCGTTAGCCCTACCTGCTGCGCATACTAAAGGTCACGAACCAGAAGTAAAACATAAAAATTAATTTTCGCGCTGTTATCAGAACTCCTTACTGTACTGTACTTGCGGTACTTATTGAATCTGCGCACCTTCACCTTACCTTATTACATTAGTTAAAACTATTGCAAACAATCTTATTTGAATTTTAGTTGCAAATGTACAGACTGTAAGTACAAAGTATTTCGGATAGACTCAACTGATGTCATTGTTTTTTGATATTTACTTAATGCGTGATTACTAATAACTCGTACGCACTCTGCACATTAACTAATTCTGTTATACCGGGTTTATAAGTTAAGCCGAACGCCGTGGTGTATCTGGTTCGAATCGTTCAGTTTCACTGACATCATTATTATTTATACTTACTCCATTAATGTGACGTTTTGCAAACTAACTATCATTATCAACCATCAGCTAGTGTTTGGGTACGAATAGACAGAAAAAAGTTATTCGGTCCATAACATTATGGTAATTGTAAATGGCTCGCTTTCGATAATTTACTTTTTGTTGACAAGAAACGTATTTCGTGCTGTCTGCATAATGTTGACTAGACACTGAACCCTCTGACAGTTCTTCAAGTCTGGTAAGTATATTTAGAACTTTCGATCGACTTCTGGAAGTATGTGTTGACGGATTCAAGTGTCTCTGTCATCAAAGAATTTATGTATTTAATTAGCACCGTTTTCACGCGTCCATAAAGTAATGCGCTAGCATGTTACTAAACCCCGGATCATGTAATAGTATTGCACACTGGTCGGTCAGTTGCTTAACATTTACTTTTGTCCACTAATGCCAACATTTACTGAGTAATATCTTATAATATTGGTGCATAATCCATAGTTATAAAAATTAAGTATTGTACTATTGTTGCATTATTTTGAAAGTGAAGTGACAAGCAAAATTTCAAGATACATGTGATATAGGCGGAATACTCGTAGTATTGAGCTTCTAAATCTTTTGGCCCACAAACTCATTGTTTACGGTGAATTAAAACTTAAGAACCACAATCTAACTAAAAACTGCATGTGTTTCTGTAGTGCCAACTGCCAAGTCAACTTTCAACGACCACTTGCATAAAGCATTTTAATAATTCCCTAAATAATCAAGCTAAAAGCTTCAGTAAATAGTTATTTACTTAACTTTTTATATTTGTGCAGTAGTGATGGCCATGAATGCTACGCAATATCAATTAAGTAAGTACGAGTACTGGAAGTAATTAGTTTCAAAACTTAATTTATTTTGGCAACTGCTCTTTGCCTTGGTTACCGGCTGATTTTTTGCAGATAACTGTGTTAAGCTGGCACAACTTCATTTGCGAGTATTTTATTTAGACTAAGGAAGGTCGCAGCAAGTATCGTTCAGAGTCACATTCACAAACGTTTCCTGATAAAATTATACCGCCATAACTGATTTGGTTTTACTCGATACTTCCGCCACATATTTTTCACGCCAAGCCTACGTATTAACACACAATGTCCTTATTGGATGGTCCAGACTGTCCTGTCTTGCCTGCCCGCCGATCTCATTCACCGCATTCCCCGAAAAAGGCGAACAAACATCGCAGCACTTCCAGAACCAAAATAACGAAAAACCATCCGGCTGTAAGTGACTGTTTGACGCACTCAGCTAACTGCAAGCAGGCATCGTCTACGTTGAATGTGTTTTATTGTGCAATTATTCCGTTTCACTAAGTTACTGCAAGTACTTTTGTGGAATACTGTTGTATACGTCGTTTAGTTTGGGAAGAATCGTTCCCGATCCCTCTCAAGTCGACGACATGGACACCGCAGCAGCAGCAAGGTCAACCGACAGAAGAACGACAAAAAACGCCCGAAACAGCTCAAGGCCGGCGTGCGCGGAAAGCAGCCTGCCAAGCGCCTGGGAACAACGAAGAAGCTGGGCAAAAATTATGTGCGCCAACCTTCTAAACTTTTAACACACAGCACTCGCATTAGGGCTTCTGATAATATTATTTTTTATAGCGAGCACCCAATGCGAAGAATCGAAATGGGAAGAAAAAACCACAAGTCAAAGCTCGACTAACGAAGAACAAGCCCCGCATCATCAAACGGAAAGCAGGATCGGCGCCACGCGCACACTGAGCTGTTGATGTCTGTCTAGTTAGCGCAAATATAATGCGTTGTCTCGTGTTCTTACAAAAAAATGCAAAGGTGACAATGAAGACCGACAGTACTGGAAAAATACCATGAACATAAATATTGTAATAATATAATTATTTGAATACAAAGAAATAGTTATAGATTCGTTTCCAGTATTTCTCAAGCGCTATGACATTGTTAGCTATCTACACTGCAGAATCTGCATGGTATATTGCGCTTGCTGTACACACGTACGTACCGGACCATAGTCAGGAATGTAAAACGGAAGAATGCAAAGTTCGAGAACAGTATATGCTTCAGCTGAAACACCCACGAAATCAGCATAAGTATCCGAATTGCCGAAATAAACCTGCTCCATTTGCCAGATTTTGTAAGAGCTGGATCCTGCAGGGCGTACCCATATTATTATAAAAGACATCTGGAAGCGCACACAGCTCACCCTTAATGGTCGGCCTCGGCACGATCTAATAAATTTTATTTTATTGTATTTTCCATGGAAGTCACATCAGTATCGTAGAAAATATTTTGCGCTGATTTAAATGCCATATTTAGTGCCTCATATACTTTTACGCTGGTGCACACTCAGTTCTTGTCGCTTAATGAATTCCGGTTGATTGTGATGACCTTTTCAACAGCCTCGCACTAGCCACATTTCCCGATCTGATCGGTTTGCAAAGTTATGGTACTTTTCTGCTTAAAATTCAGAAACACTTTGCTGTTATGAAATTTTTAATGAATACGGTGATACAAGATGGCTGCGTTGTTTGCCCTAGCATGTTCACTCTGAACCGAGGTGAGGATACAACTGTTGTATACATACTTCATTAACTGTGTTTAGTTGTTAAAAAAGCGAGTACATAAAAATAATTACAGCACACTCATAGTTATTTTCGCATACTCCCTGCGACGAAATAATAATTGTCTGTCAAGCTTTCATATGAAATGGCATACATACATACTACATACTAAAAAGCAGTGTTGTATCAGACGTGTGCCTTGGATGGATTGTCATGAGTGATTATTTAGGCACATCCGGTCCATGCTAAAATATGCTGTCATCCCGGTAAAGAACTCAAGGATTGTCGTGTGGCTAACAAAATCAATTCATCAATTTCTGAGTAATATTTGTCTAACCTACATGCGCATACGTATGCGTACCAACATCTACAGATACAGATAACATACAACTGATACAAGTATAGATAAAACTAACTACACTCTTGTATTTGATTCGTTCACATCTCCAACTTACTATAGAAGTATGGAAGTTGCAGTGCAGTATAACAAGTATGACGCTACAATCGTTTTTGAAACCATATAATTATGCATGAAAAGGCAGTAGAAAATATTTGCATTTAAATCTTGAATAGTGTGAAGGTTCAATAGCGAAAACGATAAATCAAGATGCCCAACTCTTTGGAAACTCTGAGTTGTCGTTGTCTTTTTGTAACCTTGCGTGCGCAGCCAGAACAGGTGGCTTTCTTCTTAAAATCATTTACATGTTGCGTAATTAATCATTCTTAAAAACGACCATTGTCAGCGTGCACATAAGCGTAGCAAGTTTCACCGTAGTTTTCAAGTGGCGGATGAGAGTTCACACTTATGGTAGAGCAGGCTAACCAACCAACTGGTCGCATCCCGCTTCGCTTCCCGTTTTGTGGCCGGCGTACAATGGTGAATTCGGCTGTGGATTCTCTCATGAAGTATCAGTAATGAAATCTTGACAATGATAATCTTATTTCATTCCCTTGTATTATGTGTGTTTTCGGCTGTGAAATTTCATTTGTAAAGCTCTACAAACTGCTTCCGGCCGACCGGCGAAATATATAGCAAGACGTTCCCAGTCATGACAAGGGAAGAGCAGTGTCATATGCGCACTTCAGTGTGCACCGGTAGAGTGCTATATGGTGCCATGTACTGCATGTACCCAATTGCTATGCAAACTTTTATGCGAACATGCTTGGTTTAATATGAGCTCAGTCAACTTTTTGACATGTTTGCGCTATGGACGTCTTGAAACATCATCTGGAACATTATATCTTTACGATTGACTTTATTCGAAAACATCATCAAGTTCCTTCTATACTTGAAGTACGGGTACTGGCTATGATGCACTCCATCAGTGATTAAATCGAAAAATGATCCGATCGTGTAAAAATCTTCGATGGATCATTTTCTTTATGCGTGGATGTTAGGGCCGGCTTTTAAAAATCGCTTGATGTTGTGCAGTACAATCGCAGCTGTTATAATTAATCAGATATTGACCTTGCTTACATAGAAATCGTTTGGTCGTGGTAAAAATAATCAACGCATGATGCACTACATCTATACTACAATTATTAACATGAGTACATTGAGTAGTACTTATATAATTATTGTGAAATCATGAGTACGGATGCCATGTTCGTCCAAAACTACTCGGTTTCGTATAGTCCTTATACTAATTTTGGGCGGAGAGTACTTATGCCAAGCAATATTCTCGTAATTTAATCAGTCTTCTGTAGCAAACATGAGGCTTTACTAACAGCCTTCATACAAAAATGCCGCTAAACCATTGTAGCAATAATTATTATGATTTGTAGGTTGCTACAATTGCAATACTGCTTTGTAGGTTTTTTCCGTTGTTATTTAAATATAAAAACTTTTTAGAGTGGGATTAACTTATGTCCTTCTCTAAAATATTGTTTTTTTGAGTTGAAATGGCAGCGTAATTAGTGCGTCCTTGGCAGAAACTGGTCATTAGTGTCCACTGAGATTACAGCAAATTTACTAATAAGTTTACTGACAATGTACTGGCAGCCAACAGCACATGATACTGTACGTCTGTATTTTGCCTCCAGTGCGTCAGGATTCGGTACGGCGATTTAAGAGTCTCAGATTCTGTTCCCATTTCTTTTTACCTGATCGCTTTTGTCAGTTGTCATCATAATTACAATGAAGGTGACTCCGTAATATAATTATGCACTTGTTACTGTAATTACTCACGTGCAGTTTAGTACCGTGACATAATGACATTTACGATGTAATACTGTTATACGTATTCGGGAGCTTTGCAGATTTCCCGAATCGTAATCACAAAGCATGCCGTAGCCCAATAACATAAATTTCCTGTCTTTGTCTCTAACTGCTTTGCAATTTTTCATGGTGAACTTATTTTGAAAGGGTAAATTAATAGGAATATGCGCTAGTAATTTGTAGAAGGTTGCTGCTGGAGGTTTGAATTATAATCATGCAGGATGTTGCATGCATCAGGATGTTGCATGCTGCACCGAAGGAATAAGTAATAAACATTTGCACTCGTATAATTTAATTTTATCCCACTGTTTTAAGAAATGTTGGCTTTGTGTTGTCTACCGGTTAACAAGTAACAACAACAAAATGCTCAAGTTATAAACCCGGCCCATTTGGCATTTTCGTACCATTGCCGTACTATGCGTAAATAAAAATTATCGGAATTTGGAAAATCTGAAAGGGGATCTGTTAAAAGTTCTTGCTCATACCATAAGAACGTAGAAATCTAGACACATTCGTTAAACACAGAAAAAAAATTTATTTTTATGATGATTATATAGTAAGTTGTCTGTAAACGCTATGAGACATTGTCCTTGAATTTTACTTGGTTTCAGTGAAGCTGCAAAATCAGCGTACACACATTACTAAAGTTGTTGCAAACTCCTTGTAGTATTTTCGGGAAAAGCATCCACTGCCTGGACTACAGCCTGCGATCGTGCACGGCAGTGCAAAAAGACTTGATGATGACCTACGTAAAGCATATCAGAGTGACCATGGACCGCTTATGCAACGATGAAATTACTAGGACAGGTACATATATCTGAAACTGAATTGCTGTCAAGCTAAATATCGCTATTAAACTGAAACTGATCTAGTAAAATACAATTTCTTTCTTCCAAACGAGGGTGTCATATACTGGCACATGTATGTATATATTGTATACTCACAATCAGACTAACAGGATATTTCCTACTTGTGACCTTTCAGCTTTCCTGGCATATTCTCCATGTTTCAAGAAAGCCTACGCACGCACCGAATACTGCCTCAACTACTTTCTCCTCAGTATCCGCAACAGTACGCTGGCCAGTGGCGGATCGAGCACTGGATCGTCGCCCAAGTCACAAGGAGCGCTTCCGTTAGAAGACTTCATGTGCGACGCCCTATCCAACATGACCACCTGTGTGCACAACGCTGTCAAGTGCAAGGAGAATTCCAGCCGAGACATAAAAGATGTGTTGAACTTGATGTTACGTGGCGGACTCTCCACATCACTGTTGCAGCAGTGCTATCCGGTGGGAAAGAAGCCCAACCACGCTCATGTCGCTCGTTCGTCTGCTCCTAGTGTGCGTTCCCCAGGTTGCATCAAAGTTAATTTCCAACAATCCTGTTTATATTTGTCACTATGGATAATTTTGGGTGTATCTTTATTTCTAAATAGCTTTCCTACTGCACAATTATATAACTGCATTAGTTAGACTGATTTTTGATTTTGCACAGAGTCCTAGGCCGCAACTTTACATTTGCGTACTTTCTTGATGCTGTGATACTTTTGTTCGAGATCTGGTTACCTGAATCATGAAGAAACTATTTTTGCGTATTTGCTGAGTGGAGTTGTTACATTGTGCTGCAATCTGTAATCGTCGGTTTTCTTGAATTTGTAAAGTTAAAATGTGCATTTAAAATCAAAATCGTCGTAAAACTAAATAAAAGTAATTTTGTAACCACACTATAACGAAAACATCTTTCTTGAATAAAATATTTTGATACCTTGCTATGTTCGTTTTCGTAGGTGCAAAATTTACTATCGTAATGTGGTAGATACAAATCTTTTATGGTTATGGTCAATTCATTATCGCGCTATCAAGTGTTGGCCATGCCATACTTGAACATTAAGGTTCAGCGTTCACCGTCGATGTAAAAAACAAATTTTGTACATAGAAAATGGAGCATCTACTTAAATGAGAGCAGTGCTTCTTTTAGCGCGAAGGAAAAACAATCTTTGGTGATAAAAAGTTGGAAAAACAGTATAACGGTACTTAGGTATTGTACATGGTCGTTTTACATACCTGTTTACTTCCGTTATAATCTATAGCTATCGAGCGCTAAATGTTTTTGCCTTTTTTGAAGAAGAAATCTTTGTTCTTTGATACCTATCCTACAAATCAGTATTACTGCATATGGGTGCCTGTACTTTGATTGCTAGATCGAGTAGTAATTCGTACACTGTAGTTTTAGTACATCCGAGATCTTCCGGCGCAACCAGGAACACTCCGAACCATCTACTGGTAAAGGTGTGTGCAGTTCTGATTACTAGTTTTAAAGTCTTTTTTAAATTCTTCCAACTTCCAAGAGGAAATAAAAAACCGGCCATTAATTTGCCGGCACTATTTAGACCCAAGTTATTTACCGGTTCGTCTTTAAAGCCGATCGCCGATAATTATCGCTATTAGGGTGATCATGACATCTGTCTATAAAAATATGTAGTTTTTTATGACCACTAACGTACACGTCTTTAATTTATCATCGACTATAATCATATTTTAATTTAAGAATACTATTAAGTACAAGATCTATACTACGCGCGGCGCCCCATAGTTTTGAGATCTCTATAACCAAAAAACTTCTGGAAAAACGGACAACGCCATTAGATCCGGGATAGTTCAGAAGTGGCCGGCATGTGTTTTTTTTATGAAAATATCAAGCCGGTATCAAGCCGGCATCAAGACCAGATTGATCCAACCCATCTTAAAGGTCACCTTGAAACTTAGAAATATTTGCCTAGATACAATACAAAATACCAATTGACATAATTATCACACTAATTAAACCGAAAACAAAATAAATTATTGTACTTATTCAAACACTCGCGTTATTCAAACATTGCTGCCGGTGTTGCCGAGCTCGAAACGTTTAAAATCAACTGGTATAAAATGTAAAAAATCAAATATAAAATCAATACGAAAAATCACTGGACGAGTGAGTGACCGAAACACTATCACCGACCACTGAGCGGAATCTACCGAGCTACCACCACTGACCAGTAAGAAAAATCACTAGACAAGTGAGTGACCAAAACACCATTACTGCCCACTGAGCAGAATTTCTAGGTGAGTGAGTCATCGAGCGGACTTTGCTCGTGCTCACCTAACGGCTCTGTGCACTGGACAGTAGTTGTAGCAGGGTTACATCCTCACGTAGCGATTTTTCTCCTTACCTAGCGATATTTCTTACTGGACAGGTTGAGCTCGGTCAGTCACTCACCTAGTGATTGAGTGCGTCAAAAAATCGCTAGGTGAGTACGTGACCGAGCTACCACCACTGTCCAGTGCCCAGAACCCGTTAGGTGAAAGAGTACCGAGATACCATTACTTTCCAGTGCACAAACTCCGTTAAGTGATCTAGTCACCGAGCTACCACTACTGTCCAGTGCATAGATCCCGTTAGGTAGATGGGTGACCGAGCTACCAATACTGTCCAGTGCACAGAGCCCGTTAGGTGAACGCGTGACCGTGCTACCACTACTGTCCAGTGCACGAATTCCGTCAAGTGATCTAGTGACCGAGCTACCACTACTGTCCAGTGCATAGATCCCGTTAGGTAGATGGGTGACCGAGCTACCAATACTGTCCAGTGCATAGATCCCGTTAGGTAGATGGGTGACCAAGCTACCAATACTGTCCAGTGCACAGAGCCCGTTAGGTGAACGCGTGACCGAGCTACCACTACTATCCAGTGCACGAACTCCGTTAAGTGATCTAATGAGCGAGCTAGCACATAAACTCGAGACCGAGTTACCAGTACTGTCCTTTGCATAGATCCCGCTAGGTAGGTGGGTGACCGAGCTGCCAAAGCTATCCAGTGCACAGAGCCCGTTAGGTGAACGTATGACCAAACTGCAATATTACTGAGCAAAATAGAGCAGGGCCTGCTAAGTTCTTAATGAGTGACCTATCTAGCACCACTGTCCAAGTCTTAGCGTCCTTTTAGTTTGTAATGTGATACTCTCGTGGGTGATTTGATTCGGATGGTTTTTCGCTAAGAAAATTTAACAAAAAATGATCTGTAAAGTCAAAGTAATTGCGTTCGACTGCACGAAAGCAAAACATCCATTTTTTTATAAAATTTTTGTTATCGGGCTCTTCAGATTTATCCGTTCTAAGTTAACAATCCGTAAACCGGCCAAGGAGTTTAGAACCCAAGAAACGCGGAGGCGAAGCCGAGGCTGTTTCTTGTATGTAAATAATAATATACCTTAAATAATCGACCGGAGCGCAGCAAAGGTCTTCTATATTTAAGACCAACGCTTCCATTGATTACCTTAATTGATCATTTACTTATACTTCACAAGACATAATCTTGTAATTTCAAGTACATAATATGCTGTTGTATTCGTTGTCACACTCCCATCACCATCAAAGAATGATTGAATCAGAATGCGACACTACGAAGGAATAACAGAAGTGGCGATATACTACATAGTATATCTGCAGGTCTTAAAATGTATAAACAAGATTTTTGTAATAAAATAAACGTAAAATATTTGTTTAAGCAATTAGTGAATTTAAAAATTTTGTACTCGCATATGGTAGCACGCGCTTAAGTGATGTAAGTGCACCATGGCGCAGTTAAAATTCAAGCTAAGCGCTATCGCTGTAATGTTATGCTGAGGTTTAATTGTTCTTTATCAACTTATGAGGTATAATGACTGTAGTTTAACATGGGCGCGCGCATCCATGTTTTAACCCCTTTATGTGTATAAGATATATTTAACAGTGATAAAATTACGAGAGTTACTTTATCGTATGTACAAGAACGCGGATCAGTTTAGTATGTTCTTGATATTCAAACTTTGTAACTGGCAAAATGTCTGATTAAAGTTTACTGATAATTGTAAAAGGCATGTAGAATTGTAGAATGTGAGTAATAAGAAGTTGCTCTTAGACCTCTTAGGTCTGGCAAATGCGCGTTAGTCCATGTGCAGGCTTTTTATAATCGTAGCACGATTATTCGTGAGGTGTATAGAACCTCGAAGCTGGATACACTTTTGTATCACATTTGGTCATGACAGTTTATTAGCACTTCGCAGCGTTTAACACCTTGGACAAATTAAATAAGTACTTCTAATCGTAGCGTAAAAAACAATCAGATCCTACAACAAAGTGTGGAGTATTCCCAGCGGAAATCAAGCAGTCCGGGGTGGCAGTCCAGAGCTCGGTACGGTTTCGTAATAGCCAGCGCAGTTTCGCTTTGTATACGCCGAGCTCGGTTATGATCATCGATTGCAATTTCGTATTGCCGCCTAAGATAATTTGAAAAGCCGCTAGCAATACTCTCAGTAAAATCGACTTTATCGATCAATAAATGTAAACTACTATATGGTATCCCGCTAGCTAGGTTTATTCTATCACTTCAAATAGGCATAGTTTGTGTCAGAATAGTTCTTTCTGGCCTTTGTAAGAATTTAAAGGTTGCCGCAGGATCTTTCTGATAGAAAAAGGACTGCCTAGATATTGCAATATGAACTCGGTGATGATATTTCTGTTCTTTTAAACGATTTTATTCTTACTGCCTGAAATCTGTTTTACTTGAAACTTCCATTTGATCTTATAGTCTGATCAGCAAGCGAATTTTACGGAAATCGGTCGATTGGTTACCGTAGCTAAACATTTGAGATCGCCGCTCTTGCAGCTTTAGCAGATGCGAAAACGCCATTAACCAATAATTTCAAGCTAGATTGTCTTGATCTCCTGGCTAAATTTACACATGAATCGTGTAAAAACGTAATCAGTTATGTTTTAATCGGATTTCCTAGTTCAAAGTTTCTGAATTTTCCAACTGTAATCGGGGCCTTTTTTATGGATCGCTTGAACATTCGCCGCAAAGCACCAGTTTCCCAACTATGGAGCTTCTTAACATCAAAGTGTGACTGGTCGTACACCTTAAAACAGTGTGAATTATTATTTCTGAACTCAGGTACTGTCTTATATTACGAAAAATTATTTTGTAAAGAGATGCTAGAGAAGCATCATACCATACGTAATGCATTATATATAGCATAAATGCATTGTTAATCATGCTAGGCACGACATTCGTCAGTTTGCCATGATAGGAAGCTCTTTTATATATGTAGTTTTGCAGTTAATTTTTAAAACTGCGCAGGTTTGTGCTTTTACAGGCGTACATGTCGTCGCATGAAAGAGATTAAACTTACAGTAGGACTGTGGCGCGCCACACTTTGTGGATGAGACAATTTTTATAAATATAATGAAATCTTCCTTGTTATACTTGCTGCCCTTCGTTGTTTTTTTTGTTAATCTACTCGGGATCTTAAATCGTTCGGCGTGAGGGATACACACTGCATACACAGGGCGGCACGGAATTTGCTTTCCACCTTTTGAAATTCCAGATTGTATAAGCTGTTTGCGAACTTGCTAATGCCCCAAAATCATAATTAATGCGACAGTGGCGTTGACGAAGTCCAAGTTTATACATAAACCGGCTTTTTCACAATAAAAGGCAGAATAAACAGCTTTTTAAATTTAGATTCATTAATACGTCTGGTTCTGTTTAAAAAGTACTTACTATGCGATAATACACAAATCAATCTAATTTAGCAATTATGTTTCGCCGGTAAGGATGATTCCCTATCCTGAAAATTGTGAGCATACATTAGACGTGCGCTGCAGTACGATTCTACGAGTACATATACTGTAGCGATATTCTTGTTCGCACACAAAAATCAAGCAAGAAATATTATATTTCTGTAATCTCGTATTGAACACGTACAATTAGATCTTTCACAAGCACGGTACATCGGCAAAATTACTGCCTCATAAAAACGTAAGTCTTTGTGTTTTTGCGTACGTGTATCTGTACAGAGCTAATTCCAATTGCAGGCTTTCTAAACCACTGACGAAATGGGCTGATAACTTTCAAGTAGGGTATAAATTTTGGAACTATTTGTACATATGTATACGTGCCGCAAAAATTGATTGTTTGGCACTTTATTCCCGAAAATTGGTTATAATAAGGATAAACTCCCATAAAAATACTTCTTCGTGTTCTGAGTTAACAATAACTAGCTTATCTGGTACGGCACTGGGACGCCATCACATTGTTCGCTGCCAACATCAGAAGAATAAATGATGAGGAGTACAGTTGAATGGGTTCGTGGACTGCATGAGTGTGGTGAATAAGTAGACCGGAAAAACCTTTAATGAATTTGCAGGACAATTTGTATTCGGCAATTGATGTATAACGACCAGAAGCGTATTCATTGAGTAATGAGCTTCACCAGCAATACTGCCGCCTCTCGTTAGCTTATCCCAGCACATCTCCCGTTATCCAAGAACGTCAACTATATGTAACGTGTACAGCAGATGTTATTGATCTGCGTGATCTGTTGAACCACTTGAATTTTTTGTCTGCTCTTCAACTTCGAGCGCGTAAAATAAAAGGAAGTTTTTCAATCGATTTAGCAGCCATGATGAGGTAGATAAACGTTTTCGAGGACGCGGTTGGTAGTTTGTACCATTATAATGAATAACTATGTTTTCACCATGTATGTACCTAACTCGGCAAGTAATGTATAACTTTGTATTTACTGTTATCAGTAAATTTGCAACAGCTAGCATAAATCATTCTGCAATACTTACAGTTATTAAAACATAATCAACGTGGGACAGTCAGCAAATAACTACTTAACGGATTACTACAATTAAATGCAAAGCTGGATCAGTTATTGCGCAGAAATTTAAATCATATCTATCTATTTTTGTAGGTTTTTTACTCTGGGTAGAGAAATTTTACTACTAATAGCTGGTATTTTGCAATTCTACACAATGCGCATGTGTCTATCAATAAAGCAGTATTTTGGGAAATATGTATGATTAAACGTCGATATCTGACAATGTCAACTGAGTCAAACTGACCTTTTGTGCAGAGTTGGAACATAACATTTTCGCTCTATGAAGATTTTATATTAATTATCATTGCATTACATGAAGACTGCGGAATTTATACTGCTTTTTTCTTAATTATGTACAAGCACATATTTTAATGTTTGGACTAGGGCTATGTACTTCGTGTTTTTTCGACTATCAGACATTCAGACCTGATGGATTCCTGATCATAAACACTACTAGCAGACGTAAAAATTTACAAATTCACACGTCTATTACGCTCGATCAGTATTTCAGTATATTGCGCATAGATATACAACAAAATCTTTTGAAAAATACACTAATTTTACAAACGTCTATTTCTTCAGTATAGATACTTAGTGCATCGCTACGCTGACTGTTACCAGTAAAGTATTATCAACCACCGCCTCTTATACACGGAAATCGATTAATTTTGGAAAATACATAGACATTGTTCACGTTTTATTTGTGTTTTATCGACTTTCAAGATTTTTTAAAGTTTTCCAAAGGTAAATGATTTCCCTGTGAGTAATGAGAGCCGGAGTTTAATGTAAGCCTGTTTACTGTACCTGTACATGTTCTGCATTTTTGACACCGTGGCTGTTACAGGATCACAATTTAGATAATTTGCATTTTATGATTTAATCGTTCTACAAAACTTGACACATTATTTTAATAAATAACATATTACAGAGTGGATATTTGCTCTTTAGTGCATCAGACTGGCCAGCCGCCCAGACATAAGAAATGGATTTCGGGAGAAGAATTATTCCCTTCGCAACTTTACCGGGGCCCTTGGGATATCGGTGGTTAATCTTCGCTAATACCTTCTTTATACTCGGGTTCACAGGTAATACAGTTGTTTCATTGTATGTAGTATTGTAACTGACTCACGAAATTACAAGTCAACATTTTACATCATGAGCGCAAAATACCGCATAGTACTACTCCAATAACGAGTGTTATTCGTACAAACTGCACTCTGTACAGACTGTAATTCATAATCATTTTGAGCCACAGTAATTTTCTCTTTTTAAAAAATTGCAATTTAATAATTAAAGGCCGGTCCGCCGGCGGGTCCAGCGGGCCGGAAAACGGGGTACTTGGTATCGCATATGAAAAAACTACGTACTAAAGTGATAAATGTAACGTGCATATTCTTGTAGTGGAGGATAGAAAAACCTTTTTAGGTAAATCGGTTTTGCCTGGTTGGCTGGTTCCCATACCGTAGTTCGCCAATTTTACATTGACTTTTAATTTCAAATTCAAACGTGCAAACGCCTTAACCATGCCAATTGGTATTAAAATATTTTCAGGTTGACTTTAAAATTAAGTGAGAAAGACGAGTAACGAAATAGAAAAAAAATATAATTATGTGATTACCGTTTTCTTTCTGATGAGCACAAAAAAGAGCGCGTTATCTCTGAATAGTCATCCTTTGATCGTTTTTTGTTGGTTTAATTCATAATTGTTAGTGTAACTGAAGTCAGCTAGCAGAACAATAAGGCATAATATGCTTGGGGATTTTTTTAGCTGTGAATTATTTTAAGCAGTTAATGTCGAATTTTTTATATCGTCTTTGAGGGCATGTGGAGTAAATGCATAGTATGTAATTATGTAAATGGTATAAACAATTCTCACCGCGCAAGTAGTTTGCGAAAAAGTTGGCCGATGTCTGGCAAATGCCGGGCATTTCCGATGTCGTATTCTAAGACACCGTCGCTTTTGTTGAAATTTAAGAAAGAACTTAGCGAAGACCTGATGCACGCGCAAAAGCTAGAATAAATTTATCTGGAAAAATGTTTCATAATATGAGTATGCGATAAGTTATTTATTAAAATAAATCTCAGTTTTTTTTAAAAATTGTTCGTGGACAATAAAAACTGCGCACTCGTTTCGCATAAGAATTGTGTTATTAACTTATTATCACACGAACTGTAAAAAAATAATTATGTTGCGAAATAAATCTACTGACGGCGGTGACTGGCCACAAACTGCATATTATAACTTTCTTCGAAGAATTCAAGGTATTTGTAATCACTAAAATCATAAAAAGATATTCTTAATGCACATTGTAAATACCAATGAGATAGAGTTTGGAAGGAACAAAAGCGACGCACCGCTATGTCTTCGAATCACAGGTATCCGTAAAATAGTGCCCAATGAACAAACTCTGAAGATTGTGGCACGCGCAATTATAACTGACTGCAAGAAATGGTGCTATCTCATTGCTGAACTTTAGGAGCAAATTGTAAGACAGTAATTATCTATAATTAAATCGTTGTTGTTTGCAAGAGGTTAGCTGTACCCTTTCGCGACATTTACACCAGGAGTCGAGGACTGTCAATGCAGACATAAAGGTTATACAGTGGGCTTCGGTATATATGTAGATACTGTAAATTTGTTATTGCTGTATGTCATTCACCCGACGAAATTCCTCGTGTAATTTCGAATCTTTTTGGCAGTAAATTTTACAGTTACAGTATGTGCATCGGTACCGTAATCCATTCAACGCAGAAATTTACACTTGAAATTCTTAATTGCAAAATGTTAAATGGCGCGCGCTTTTTGTAAAACTGGCGTCATATCGTATGAGTAAAACGCCAGTTGCCCCGTCAAAGATTCGCCCTGGCCAACTTCATTGCCATCCATATTTTATTACCACATCGCTGACGAAAGCAGTTTAGATTTCAGTCCGCAGCTAAATTAAATTTTCCACCTACGTAAACACGGAAAAAAATTCAATTGATGCCCGAGGATCATCAGTAGTGTGAGGTCTTAATCAAGAGGGAAGGCTAACAGACCCTGGCACGCAGATCATCTTAATTCAACGATTGTGCGCCGGAAGTGATTCATTCCCATTCCTCAGTCTAGCAACACGCAGCACTGGGCCGTCCATGATCTCTGTACGCACTACGCACAGTAGCCATGGACGTTGAAGAGGGCGATGCAGCAGGACCGGGGAAGCGTAGACTGAGAAAGAAAACAGATTGTGATAGAAACTCGACAAGACGGGTCATCACTTTAATGCATCCCTAGAGCCATTTGGTCCATACATGGCCGTTAAAGTCACTTTAGTCTCCAGTTACAAATCCCACTGAACCACTAACCCAACCGGGAATACTCTAACAAATGCACACGTACTGCAGACAGCCATTGCCCCGTTACTGCTGCGCCCTTAAATATATTGTTCGAATGCATCAATTGCCCAATGTATGGCGCACATTTGGAATTCAGCCGTCTATATATGCCTAAAGAAAACGCAACTGTCCGATCGCATTGCAAAATATATCCGGTTGTGTGGTGCATGTGGACCGCCTGGGCCGGTGCAGTGTTATGCAGAGTGTAGGCATTATACGCGATTCCCATCCAGATGCAGATAGCGACGGTCGCTCCATTGATTGGGTGTATAACTATTGATCAGCATCGGCAACATGCAGCAACCCCCCTTTTACGCGCTACTGCTCGCTCTCCACTGTTTTCTCAATTGAGTCCTGGAAAATGTGTAACTGGTTAGCAAATGCATTATGCTGCCTGACATATCTTTAAATGATCGTTCCCAATCGCGATCGCTCTCGTTTCCTCTTTGCGACTGTCAGTTTCATCCGGAAATACGATGAGTTACTGAATCTCTGGCACATATATATTCGCGCAGCAATTGGCAGCTAGGATAATTACCTTACTTAAGCACAGAAAAAATGCTCGGATAAATAGCCGTCGCGACATGATGCCGACGCAATTTTTACCGAAATGCAAGGTCATGCGGTTTTATATTGCAGAATGTTTTATCTAAACAAATCGTCTATTTATAAACCTTAATGTTGAGATGCTCCGTTATTTCTAATTATACCGTCTATATAAAGAAAAGATTTCATTTTTTGGTGTGGCAGAACGGTTTTCTGGTTTCGCTAAACCACGTTTTTACTTATAATACACATCGGCGCTGCTACTTCCACGAGAGTTACACATGATTGACTAATTGGCTGAAAATGACACATGTTCAATCATTACCGGAAAGTGCATGTAGCATACTGCACATCCCGTATATAATCTTTGGAATATCCCTGGTCATATTTGCAGCCTATTCAACGGACGCCCGGACCGATTGTGCGGAATCGGATTTTCAGGAGTGCCTAAAAGAATTTGATACCATAATAAGTCATCAAGAGCTGGGATTTGCTGCCTCGGAAAAAGAGCTCAACCAAGCCTGCAGGTAAAGGAAACGATGCCGATAAGGGCCTTCAGTCAATCGGCTGTACAACAGTACTTCTGCGCTGGAGTAGCTCCTTAAGATGATTACCATGCTTACATCCGCATACATATCAGACTACAGATGCTAACCGTATCCATGAACATAGGTTTTCTCTTGTACAAGTACCGTACATTGCACTGATTTGCATAATAACTCAGCCATATGCTGATTATATTACTAAATAAAATGCAATAATGATTGGTTTTCAGAATATTGCATTTCTTTCGGAGCCATTACGCAAGCTGTTATACAAAAGTCGCGGTACAAATATTTTATTCCCTTCATACATAAACTACACAAGAAGTGAAGTGAAATTTTGATTTAATCATTAACCTAGCGTTACTTACAGCTGAAAAAATTATTAATACGCCGGCTTGTTTTCAAAAAAATATTCTTCCAGCACTCAAATCGAGGCAGAATAGCGCAAAGTGCAAGGCCACGTATTGCAAACGTTAGTAGCAATTTACAATTATGTTAGATGCATTTGCCTTTGTCGTAACGGGCATCGATTAGAAAACTGATGATTACAGTGCGTGACCTTTAATAATTCAACGTATTAACGGGATGAAAGGCTACGTAACGGTTGTTTTGCAGGCATTTGAAAGAAGGAGTGAACTGCATTGATGGATTTGTTAAGCGTTGCACAAAAGATAAAACCCAGTTAGAAACTTTGACCGTTTCCGTCAAAGGAGCCTTTGATATTTTGGAATTATTGTGTGAAAATACGTATCATCGCAACCAGTATCTCAAACATGCCGAGTGTTACCGGCAAATCGCCAGCGAAATCGAGGAATGCATGCATCCCATGCGGACAATGGGGCTGCGGCAGCAACACCGGGAACAATACACTAAAAGCAAATTAGACCATATGGTTTGTTGGTAAGTAAAATGGTACATTGATCTTGTGAGAATCGACTAAAATCGTGAAAAGGACATCCAAAGCGAACTGAATCAGTAAAATACGCTTTAGATTTTGCCTAAGCCTATATAAATTTAGTCTAAAAAATAAATAGTTAAATGTTTTAGAAACAGCGAAACTGAAGGCATAGCTTGCAGTTGTACAGCTATATATCTGTACTTAAGGTTACTATCGATCTTGTCGTTAATATCGATAGGCCAACACTTTTGACCTACAACCTGGGCATCAGTTCGCGGCTGTTCGCCCATCTGTTGTTACGATTTAATCTTATTAAAACGTACTGATTTTCAATAGGCCTGTATTCTGTATTATAAATCATGGAATCAGAGATCTGGATGCTGGTGCATTCCAATTACGGACCAACAGCAGAGTCTGCAGAGATCACCCACTCATTAGCGCAGGAACGGGTTTTTGTAATTAACAATTTTTATAGTCGCAGAAAAACAGCAATTATACTGTTGGAATATATATAAGAATTATGCAGGTTGCCCATAAAAACCAGTAGTGCCGGCACATACGACAGTAGAATGAGCAGAATACGTATTCTGTAAGTACTGATACCGAAACAGATGTTCTGCCCAAAAGTTACAAAGTGCGAATATTTAGTAAAGGAAGACGCTCTTTTTGGAATTTAAGAAAAAAACATTCGTATTTTATTATTAAACCTTAGCCTACTCATCGTATAATGTCCATATTGTCATGTACATGTCATTTATAAGCTGTACACGAGCGTTGGAATAAATCGTGCAGGTATATAGTGAATATACTCGTAGAACGAGTACTCGTATATAAGTAGGACTTATATCTGTATATGATGTGAGCAGACTATAAAACCCGCGCCCATGAAGATCACTCGAAAAACTCATTACGTATTTTTACGAAACTCTTTCGAGTTGATTGTAACTACAAAATCGTGCGCATTAAAACAGTATGCATGTGCGCTGTTTAGTGTTTACTTTAGCTACCTGTGGTGTGCAGCAGTTTAAAACAATCAATATTTTCGATTTCGACCGAAAAGGAAAGTAGGGTACGGTCATAAAGGTACGATGAACTGACCATTCTGAGGCATGCCTATAAGCTGAAGCTGCCTTCCGTCCATTTTGCCCGTTTTCATTCTTTGTTTCTGACGCAAGGTAACGGCGAACTGTAGAGATTCTACCCTGACTTGTTAGGTACTCCGTACAGCAGTAACGCCAAACAATAAAAAATTGCAAATATAAATACATCATTATGCGGATGAAGAGCACGTCTAAACTTATGTCATTTACAGTGCGTATCACAATGCAACGGAATGCATTCACCGGGTGTCAACTAAACGCTGCAGTGACCGTGCAGCCACCTTCCTAAAAAACTACACTGACCGCGCCGCCTATCCCATCACGCAACAGTGCCGGACATTCAATAACACGCTTTGCTCAAAACCCTCCAGCTCGCCTGGTCTGCTTCCATTATCATGGCTCGTTGTACTGCCCTTTGTGGTCTATATCATTTAATCAGCTGTATGTCTTCCCAAATGCAACTCGGTTATGCAATCACTACTCGACAATCCAGGGGAAAAATCCAATTTTCCTACATTTTGCGGCCCATGTATATTTTCGTGTCAATTTGACCAACAAGGGCAACATCGCTTAAACCAACATTGCCGCAACCGACACACACTCACATACACACAATCCGTATTCATTATTATCCATATATAAAATCACCGTGTCTGTGTGAAGGGAATAAATGCCTACGTCTGGAACGTTTTTGACAGTGCACAGCCAGCTCAATTGTCGGTCTGGCAGTATCAAGAATCCAAACATCATTAACTTGCCAGTCAGTCCCACGCAGCCATTTACCACCATATACTGCAACTCGCCGAACGACGGGACAAAATGGACTGTGCCGAGGCGGATTCCCGTAGTGCAACATTTGCACACCTATTCAAACAACTAAGTGGCTCATGTGTCGCCCCAAAAGAAGAAAGCTCCCATGGTAAACGTCATTCATCTTCCAGAAATCTTATGACTTCCACTGAACCCGACATGCCTAATCAAACCCAGTGATAATTTCGTCCACAGCGCGCATGCATGGAAAGCTTACAGCGGTCTACTGTACATGCAGCAGTGTAGCGCGCTTACAATTAGCGACGACTGTGGTGTAATGGATCCAAATCGCAGCGAAATTAAGCAACGGCTGTATCGTCTGTCAAGAATAGCAGTATTTTGTTCCATTTTCCAGACCTTCCTACGTACAACAAGAAGAGAAGATAAACGACATGAACGATACATTTACACAATTTTTCGCCGCTGCCGCACTAATACCATCCCGCAAGAAAAGCAGTTGTGCTAATGATCAAAAGAAACTTCCTCGCCAGCGGATGCGACAGATCATTTCCGGTGTTTTTTAATTTCGCCGTCTTGGACTTCTCGTTCGGTACGGTCTTGATGCTGAACGTCTTGGGTGATGGCGCATTGGCGCTGGCCGCCGCGGTACTGTCGGCTGGGTCAGCATTCGCCGTGGGAGCCACACCCGGAAGCGGTAAACCCGCGGGACCGGCCGCCAAGATTGTCGGCGCATCATCTTCAGCCGTCTGGTTGACTTTCACGGAACTACCCTCTCCATCCGGGACCAGAAGCGGCCGGGATAATACGGTGGTGTCGGTAGCCGCGGGCGCTGCATCAGCATGCGACGCCGCTGAAGGAACGGTGTTGGTCAACTGCGCCTGCTGCTGCACGCTGGAACGGGTGCCCGTGGCGGCTGCGCCCGTAAATAGTGTTTCCATATTGTTACTGCTGGCGCCCTGCATCGTGCTGAAGGGCGGCGGGGATGAAGCGATAATTGCATCATCTACACTGCTGCTACTCGTCCCCGCATCCGGCTGGGTCATATTGGGCAGGGAGATGAGATTGTGCCGGTTGGATAGGGGATCCTCAAGGCCCAAATCACGGCCGCACTGAGCTTGATATTCAAAACACTGTTGAAAAAGACAAATCAAAGCGTTGTTCTTCGTTACTGCTCTTTTCTCTTCTCCAGTTGTTGTTGACTGGTTGTACAAATTAAATTATATAAATTTAGGTTACGACGTGCGGTATATAACTTACAAGGAAAAAGCAAGAGTGCAGATATAATTGTTACCTGGCGTGCTATCCAGTCTTGAAGTGTGGATTTCATCATTTTATAAAGAAACTTTTTCACAAAATCCGCCGATGATGGGTGGCACTTCCGCACGGCTGCTTCAAATGAACACTGGGTAAGCCTGTGAAGCCATCGCTGTCCAACAACAAAACATCGGTTAACCACCAGTCTCATATTGTTCTGCTTACATAACAGCTACCCTAGTTAACATAAGATCTATGGGACCAAATCATTTACAGTACATATTTACATGAAAAAAAAAGTGCCTTGATTAATGCTTATGGTTAATTTTATTATTAAGAAGAATTTTGAAGTCCCATGTTATTTTCACATAAATAAGTAATGAATGATTAGGTCCATAGATCTTATGTTTCGCTAGCTGTTAAGTACAGTAAGGCTTCTTACCGCTTATCAAAAATACAATCCACAATTTGAGGTGTTGTATCTGCCTCGACAACATATTATGCATCTCAACAGCACCACGAACCGGAAAGAGAAAACGTAGGTACTCAAAGAAACTGGATTAAGTGTAAAAAATTATTAATCCCACGTATCGATATCGACTACGACGATAGCGACAATTAGGGATACATGGGTACGGCACTTGAGAAAGCCATCCGACACGCTGTCATAGATCCATTTGAACCGAAGAAACACTTGCCAGGGATAAGGCCTGAGAAAACAACAGCAAGAAAACACCGCGCACCTGGTCAGCACGCTAATAAACTATCAACTGATTTAGTCTCTTGGTTTAATTAGAGCTTAAGAGTCTCACTCTCAAGGTTCCACCCAGCTAGCACGCTTGCTTTCGCCTAGACAAATCCAATCTCGTACGCTCCAGCACCAGCGTTTACATTCAGGCAAAGAAACTCACCGACCACTACCCTATCCAGCCAAATAGCCGGGGCCGAGAAAAACCTTCAATGACACTGCCGTAGTCAACATACATGATTCCACTGTCATTGATGATTCTCTCCTGAACAAATACAATGCACTAAAATCTCTTGTATCATCAGGTGGAGACACTGTGTGCGTAAAGACCAAATCAACCAACTCGCACATGTGTGTGTGAGCAGTTGCACCGGCGGTCAACGTCAAAATATACCGTTGCCTGGGATAAGTATGATTTTAATGTCAACTTTAACACCCAATCAGGACAATTCAACAACTACGAAGGAAGAGCAAAGATTGAGAGAGAATAAAAAGAGAGATAACTTTACAACAATGTTATGTAACAATGCACCAGCATTTCCTCTGAACAACCGCAGTGTAGGTTTCACATTAGGGTGAACAACGGACTTAGCACATCAAGTAAGCAACAACCGATGTTTGGTCAAGCGGCCTAAACGACCTAAATTAATTCCCAATGAGTACAATGCGTGTTCCAAGAGAACAAACACAAAATGACCTTTTCGCTGTCAAATGGTACTAGCGAAACATGCATTAGAAGGGAAATTCAATCAGTTTAAACATTGGTAACTTGTAAGGAAATATTCACTCTTTCTTCAACTGACTCACTCTGCAGGCGGACAATCAATCAAGTGGCCCACATACCGTCAAGCGGATTCGAAAAAAATTATTCCAGTGTCCGAATTTTCGTTCGTTCGCCAATGCCATTATTTAAGGATCTTCAGTTTATTCAATACCAACAGGAATATCAGCAGTCAGCTGGACTTGCAGTTTCATGGAGAAGTCACTCGGATTAACGTATCCTTTCGCCGGATCCAGCAGTTCCTAGAACACATAGACTTCTATTAATGAGGTGAACGAAGCAGTCCCAATTTTCAGCCGCACAAAATAATTCACCTTCATAGAGATATACGCTTTGTATCCATTGTTATCTTTGCCATCCTCATGATTGCAGAATACGTGGACTAGCGCTACAACATTCAAAAATAAACATCTTCAGACAAAAAAGAAAATGACGCACGTTAGTCAATATCACGATGCAGCTTCTAAAAAATTCAATCATCTTATAGCAACACCTACATCGCTTAATTGGTACAGTTTCCGCTTTCCATGGTAGCAGGCGAAACTCTGCAGCAACCTGGCATTTCCAAGAACCGGATTGTGAGTGATCTGACGGTCCAGAACACTTCACGAAGATGCCAAGCGCATCATTCTCGTTCTTCTCAACCATTATACTCCTGCAAAACGCTGCACGTAAAAGCCGACAGCTTCATCCAGATTGCTGATTACTGGTTTTGTTACAACAACGATCCCTCACCAAAGCAGCTTTTGAACTGTTATGGAATCGCTGGAAATACAGTCGCTCGACAGCCTTCGCACTTCCGGAACTGTATAATTAATAACACCCTTATCGCACATCCCTAGGAAAACCAAACAATTTCTACAACATGGCCGCAATTTTCTCCGGATGTATGAACGCTAACTTTGTCTGGGCTTCGTAGAGAACGGCACAATCGGTTTCATTGTGGCGTGCTTATACTTGTAGATTTCCCATCCTTCCGATTGCAGCAACAAGCCACTCTGAATAAAAATGTTATCGTGAAAGTTTATAGGTGCTCTGCTTTCTAGCGGCTCGGGCGTTTTGATCTACTGATGGCAAATTTAACGACTACCATCTCCATCGCAATTTACGCCCCGATTTGATAATTTTTTGGCACGAGCTACTAGCGAAAACAGATTACAAACTGTTTCACAAACTCCACCTTTAATGGTCCATCGAGCAGCTGTTTATCGGTCATCAGCGGAAAACGGATGAGAAACAGCGTCTCGCCCAAAATTTCACGACGATTGGCGGACGAAGCGTCCATGTTCTTTTCCATGCACATACTGGTAGCCCACCTACAAAAACGTCGCAGATATCACCCACTCAGCATCCTGCGTCCCGTCCTTAAAAGAGCACTGCAATAATTCGTTTACTTGTCAACAGACGAATAAATAGTGTTTTCGCTGGCGCTCAACGAATCCCGTTGGAGAATTATGCGCAGCGCCTCTTCTCCAATCGCACAGAACTGATCCGATTCCCAGATAGTTTTTGCAGATGCATCAATTAAAAACAAGCACGCCTGCAGGATGTTGGGTACTGCAGTTGCGTAGCGAACAGCCTAAAAGAAATAGATAGAAACGACTTTCGCGCAGTCCGTTCAGTCAATGCACGTACGCTCTCCAGTATAACCAAGCAGTTATCAATGATGAGATCCTTCAGGATAAATTCGGCGCAGTTGGCTGCCAGCAACGGTAAGTTGTACTTGTCTGCGCAGCCGAGTGTGTGGAAGACGTTACCATGGGTCAAGTTCTTCACGTTGTCCGTGTACACATAGCTGCATTTACAAGATTATTATTATTTTCTGTCAAAAAAAAGATATTGGATTACTGCACGATTGACATACTGAATCATATTATCGAACCCCTCGGGATAAACATCGGGAATTTCGATGGGAGCTGTGCAGTTCTCTGGTTCACTTCCATAGAACATGGTATGAAACACGTCGCTCCGGATGCTCAGGATAACCCTACATGATGTTATAGCTAACTTTAACCCAAGCAGATTGGCATATTCTGGACGAAGGTCGCTATGTAAACTAGAGTCATGGTGATGACTGGCTGAATGAGTACTCACCTGTGAGCTGGAAAATTCTTCACTTCACCGTAGTCTCTCCCCACCGCGAACTGGACATCGCTCATTTCGCCACAGACTAAGATACGCTGCACGCCATCAGTGATGTTCGAGATCTTGCCACGAACTCCCGAATCCGTAGACGAAGAAGTCAGAGTCTGAGACATGACAACAGAGGATTTGCGAGCCAGGTATTCTCAGTGAAACTTTAGGCGGTCAGAGCCCACAAATAAACAGAACGTGAATCCAAAATGCAACAAGTATGTATCTTTAGTCCGAATTTTGAAGAAATCTAGTAGAAATATTTGTTAGGAATGTGATATATATCAGGGCAGATCTCAATACAGGCAATACCACTGACTCGTTACGTCATCACTGGAGTAGCTCGCATATTAGCGCGGCTATAGTAAAATGCTGGGGAAAATCGGTTTGCTCCCCTTTTTCTGTTTCTGTTGAATGCGATACGAACTGCAAAATATGCGTATTAACTTCCTCTATTTTTATAAATAAAAAAATCTTTAAATGTGTAACGTGCATGACTTAAAATCAGTTTCCCACTATTTTTTAATAATTTCCCCATACGAATGCAGAGTGTGCGGTACTGTGGGCAACTGTTCATATTAAATCACCGATGCGTGATTATATCTCGGTATTCTCCATGTAAATTAGTCCCAATTAGTTCTTTAATTTTTCACATTGTTCAGTTCAGTATCTGTTTCATTTTTTTCTTAGATTTTGAAAAGTTTTGTTTGAATAAATCCACAAAACCAACTCGTGCAGTAATAATTTTGCCGTATACCGGTAGAAACCTTTCCAACAGCCGCTTTGCAACTTGCCGCACCGTACTTAATCATGTTGCCTCTCCCTATTGCTTATTTTATATTAGAAATAAAATCCCAACTGCAATAAAAGAGTGAAAACTTCAAAACGACTAAAAAAACACAAATAAGCTTTGAAAAGCTTGAAAAACTCTGGCTTTCACGGTGTTCTTCGGCAATTTGGGCTACTCGAGCGCTTTCGTCATTGCAAATCCCGCCCTCAATGGGGTTGCCTGTATTGAGATCTGCCTTAGTGCCTTGTATATATATATAGAGTAACGAGTTACGGTACGATGGAGGCCTAGGCTGGAGACAACTCAGCCAAGGCACTGATGGAGCTTAAAATTTGTAAGGGGGCATCCATAAATTACGTAAGCAGACATCGCCATTTTGAATACCCTCCACCCCTTATGTCACCACTCACCAGTACCACTCACTGGTCAGACTCACCAGTGCAAACAACGTACATACAGCAAATTGACGAGTTGTAACAGTTGTTACAGTATCTAAAATTTTTGTGCATTTAGTTGGGTTTTAAAATGATCAGAAAATAAAATAGCGTTCATTTTATAAAACCTAAATAACTCACGGAAAGAAATGTCTGGTTCTTGTGGAAGGAGACCGCCTGGTATCGTGCCCGTTATCCGGCTGAAGGCGGTCAGCCAATGGGCAGTGCGTCGGGACCACTGCCTGCATCGATTGGGGGTAGTAGACTAGTAGCGCACAAATAGCCTGCAAAATTGCACGCTTTTATGATTTTGATCCGTTGAACGGCCCAGTGAGTCATTGGGGCATAGTGACCCAGACTTGGCCCATCTTTTGGGTGAGGTGAAAATTTCCCCATTTTTCCCAGCCCATCTCATCTTTTAGGTGAAAATGAGGATGAGGTGGGAAAGAGCCGCAGATGAGGCTGAGATTGTTGAAAAATGGGATGGGATCAAGAAAACAAATAAAAATAAAAAATAATGATATGTTCATCTGTTTTCCATTCATTTTCATTTAAAAATGCAGCATTCGAGCTCTAAAACCAAAAAATTCTCCGCGCTCCGCGCGGATTTTATCGATAAGTGAGCATATTTTCTTCAGAACCGAATTTTTTTTTCCACCCGGCAGCTCTGTCGCATCAGGAAAAATGGCAAATTTAGCGGTGTTGAGCCTGTAAAAAATGGGGATGAAGATGAGATCGAAAAGGTGAGACGGGCTGAAAATTTTAGTAGCCGGAGGTGGGCTGGGCTGGGAATTAAACTGTGAAGGTGGGGGGGGGGGTGAGAGTGGGAAAATCGAAAATGGGCCAAGTCTGGCCCGGTATACTGTACACTAACCCTGCACTTGAAGGAAATTTGTACGCTAAGAGCGGCACGGTGCTGTATAGCCGGATAAGGCTGTATAGTACTAGTACAGTAAAATTTACTAGTACAGTAAAATACATTTCTAGTACAGTAAAAGTACATTACTAGTACTCGTAAGTCGTACGTACAGTAAAATTCAGTCTTATTAGCCGCATTTGGTCACTGTTTGTCTTAAGTGCTTGATTAATCAGACACCATTATTACTGATTTTTATACTCAGAATAGAAGTACTCATTAATGATTAATCTTCGCAGGTAACTACAGCAATTACAATTAATAGTTTGATACTGTAATAAGTTCATAGTAAGTAATAAGTTAAGTTCAGCATCTTGAAGAGAGGTAAAAAAAATCTGCCAACAGAAAACTCAGTGGGTTTTAGACGGTGCTGTCACTGTGACAATCATTTCGTCATAATTGTTGAATAACAACGCCCTTCCCGCGAAAGTATTCGGTAACTTCCTGGACGATCAAACTTTCTGTTGGCCTGTGGCTTGGCGCTAAGATCGTGGAGCAGCATTCGTGTGCGAGATGTGGTAAAGAGGTTGCGGAAGACGGATACCATGAACTAGCCTGTAAGAAGTGCATCGGGAGAAGGGAACGCCATAACCTTTAACAATATCATATTGCGAGCGCTGTGTACATAATGCCGGAATTGAGTCATACCCGGAGCCCATTGGTTTTTTGGGCGAAAATGGAAAGCGCCCGGATGGAGCCACGCGTTGGACGTGGTACCGCGGACAGCCGTTAGTATGGGACGTCACTTGCAGAGACGCGATGGCGAATTCATACATCGACGCGACCTCAAAGAGTGCTGGCGCCGCCGCCGAACTGGCTTGCCGGGAGAAGATTGGAAAATACAGGTCGCTAACTGATCGCTGTAATTTTGTCGCTTTGCATGTGAGACTTTTGGCACTTGGTGTGAGACCGGCATTGTAACGTTAAAGGAGATCGGTAAGAAGTTGCTTTTAAGAACGGGCGAAAGTCGCTCTACTTGTTTTTTGTTTCAACGTTTAAGTCTGGAGATTATGCGTGCCGTAATGTTATGAGTGTATTGTGCACAGTCCCTTCTCATGTTAATTGGGACAAATTCTTCATTTGATCATATTTGTTGAGCGAAGCTCGCCTTGTACATATTGAGAAATAAAGTGCAAAACTAATATAGTACATAATAGCACGGCAAAATAGATGCCATGGTAATAGTCACCATTTCTTCTACTGCTTTGTCCACAGAACACAGTCAAACCACTTTAAGTAAACAAAGACATAAGTGTTTCGTTGTGTTGCCTTCTGCTTTTCGCTCTTCTTTGAAACCGGGAACTGTTACCCGAAATTTCTGCGTGCTTGCTGCTGAAGCTCGCGACGCAGCTCGGCGTAGCCTGCGGCTCCGCCTTCTAATACGTTAAATAACAAACTAAAATAATGATTCCGAGCTTTCTAGAAGTTCCTTGTTACTTAATGACAAAGCATTTCACCTTATTTTTAGCTTGAAGCTGTACTGTGGTGGATTTGAATTAGCAATATTTATCGGACGGTCTCGAACCCCACGTACCATGCGGCATGATGCGGGCACGCAGAGCAAACAGCTTGCTGTTCTTCGATGCAAACCTTGTAGAAGCCAAGGTGCCTACTTACCTTCCTTGAACAGCATTTTCCAAAGAAAAATAAAAATCAGCGAACCTAATTTCGAAAAATCGGCTTTTACAAATTGTCGTCAGTTCAGCAAGAAAGGCAATCGCGCCCGCCCGTGAAGGCACTTTACGGTATAGCTACGGGAAAATCACCGCGGGGGTCAGGTACTTGAAAACAATTGCGAAGCGTCCCACAGTCGCAGAATCTTCTCGGCCATGTTTGTCCAGTCTTATTTTCTTTTTCAACTTTCAAGTACAGCACCAAATTTTAGTGAGAAATGTCCAACAGCAAGTACGGCGACGGAAAATTTCTTATGGAACGCTAAGTTCCATCTAACTGCAGCGGAATGGTCAAAAAAGGTGTTAGCTTTCTAGAGAGTGGGTGGGTGGTCAGCTTAGCAGTGGTGGGTACCTAGCTTTTCCCAATGACTTCGTATGTTGAAGTTTTAGAAATTTTTCTTTCAAACGTCTCTTTTTCTCCAAAAACTGATTTGTGATGGCAAATCTACATTTAAGGGCTATCGAATGATACATAGTCATGGCAGTTTGGCTCAGTGCGTCGAACTGACGGACTCAACAAAGATTAAGGCTTACGCGATTATTTTTAATTATTATTATAATAGAGATATAACTAGTAGACCCCGCGCAAAATGCGCGGAATAGATCAGCGAAGGATAAATCATAAGTAATGCAAGACTGGAAGAGACATATAGATATACGTATGTGTACTTCCACAGGGTTAATGAGCGAAAAAGAATAATTATTTACCTTTACTAGCTTCGCAAAAAAATGCTCCTATCAACTTTTAAGTCACGGTGTCTGTTCGAATTACAACTTGTGTGGATATTTTTCCGTCCCGGCGACTGCACTTAGACTTCACAGACACAATTAAAAGTCAGAGATAACGTTAACAATGGAAATATTTTTCCCGGAAAAAGTTCTTTTCCGGTTTAAGCTTTACCGGTACCTATTCATTTTTTCCAGATCAGCCATCAAGCAAAAGCTTTACAATTCTGCTACTTTGTTTTCGAAACATTGTGCGTGCGCTTTCCTTATAATTCAACTGTATTCAGTCAACCACCGCTATCGATAAGGGCACCACCGTTGGTGCCATAGGAATACATATATAACATTATTTTTCCATAATGTTTCGTATTAGGAACACAACAGTCCCACAGTGTAATTAGTACTATTATAGCAACTCTTCTTATAGCAATTATAGCAATTCTACTATAGCAATTCTTCATTTGTTAAAATGCCAATGTGAAAATGTCAATTAAAATGTTAAATTTTTGTCAAAATTGCCGTTCAACATCAAATACCGTTACCCAAATTGTCTCGGTTGCTACTCCGCTCTCGTGACAGACTGACAGCTCGCCGCGTTTTGCGCCTCGGTTTTATTCCAGACTGATAAAATAATTACTTGGAGGTTAACAAAAAGCTCTCGTAAGCATTTAGTCTAAGCTAATTGCATCTTACATAGGTAAAACATAATTTAAAACTTAAAAAATGATTTTTTCGAAATGATTTTCCCTGAAAATTTCCCATGGAATTAAACAGCAGCAAATTGTGCAAATTTGGCTGTCACAGGGTTTGTCGATTTCGAAATTTAGTGTGTGCCATTTTTATTCTATTCAACTCAAACCTACTAAATAATCTGACAAAAACAAAAAGTATTTAAAAAAGCCACTTCGTACAACAGCATTAATTATTTACACTTTTTACAGTTTTTAGCAAAAACATTCGAACCCGCCCAAAGGAGCGCAGCAACTTTAAAATCGGTCACCCGCGCTGCGTCGAACAGCTACCTGAAAAACTTGGTTTTGGAAATGAGAACCTCGACTGTTCCGTAGACTTTTTAATGAGACTTTCTTGTCAAATCCTGATATTCCACTATAACCATGCTTTAGAGATAAAATCTATAAATTCAGGGCTTTCGAGTGATTCATACCCCTTGAAATTTCATCCATTGTAACGTTTTAGGTGATTTATCAAAAATTGCCATAATCTATTGGCAGTGGTGGGGGAATCGTTTTGTAGTGGTGGGTTCTCCACTTTTTCCATAGACTTTGCATGCTAAGGTTTTTTAAACTTTTCTTTGAAACCTAATTTTTGTTTCGAGAACAAACTTTTGATGGCAAATATAGAAACTTAGGGCTATCGAATGATATATAGTCATCGAAGTTTGGTTCAGTGTAAAGTCCTGGCGAACTGTATGGAAATGGAATTTTGAAAGTCTTATTCTTTTAATATATAGAGATTATAATAATAATTATATCTCTATATAATAATCGCGTAAGCCTTAATCTTTGTTGAGCACTGATCCAAACTGCCGTGACTATGTATCATATCGATCAATTTCGATGTCCCTTTAAGTGTAGATTAGCCATCACAAATCAGTTTTTGAAGAGAAAAATATGTCTGCAAGAAAACTTTCGAAAACATTAACATACAAAGCCTATGGGAAAACCTATGAACCCACCAATGCTAAACTCACCACCCCATCACTGTTTCAACAGCTAACACGCTTTTTTGACAGTTCGCTGCAGCTGGATCTGGCTGGTACGTTCCTTACCAGATAATGCTCCATCGTCCTAAGTTTGTATGTTTCTCTTCAAAATTTAGTTTTGAGAAAGAAAATAAAACGAAAGAAAGAAAGAAGATAAATATGGCGGAGGAGATTCTGCGACTGTGGGACGGGCCAGACGGCTCTAAAGTCTGTTTTCAAGTATCTGACGCCCGCAGTGGTTTGTTTAAGTTTTCACTCAACTATTCTGTAAAGAGCGGGCGCGGTTGCCTTTGTTGCTAAACGTGATTTGTGAAATGTGAAGGACATTTTTTTAAAATTGCTATCGTTTTCAATAGAAAGGCAAGGTGGTGTTTGAGAAAGGCAAGCGGGGCAATTTGGAATCTTCAAAATTTTCTTTGAAGCAGAGCAAGCTGTTTGCTCCGCATGGTACGATTTTATCGTATTATTTATTTATTTATGTAATTATATAAATCCACCAAAGTGCTTTTATCTGTAATCATATTATTCGGTTTAAAAACGGGTGGGTGGAGTTGGATGTAGCACGAATTGCGAATTGCGAGATTGGTTGGATGTTGCACGAATTGCGGATTCGTGGTAGCAGTAGCACGAATTGCAAGTTGGAAGGCTTCAGTATCAAGTAACAAGGAACAAATGAATTTTTCTGTTCGCTATAGAGGGAACTGGAAGGCGGAGCCGCAGCCGACGCAGAGCTGCGGCGCGAGCGGACGTCGCGTAGCCGCAAGCATGTCAGAAATGTCGTGTACCAGTTCCAGATTTTGAAGACAGCTAAACTGGGGAATAAAACACAACGAAAGGCTTCTTTCCTTACGAGTATTTATTTTGGCTGTGGTCAAAGTAGTAGGAAAAAAGGAATAGCAGTAGTAAGTAGAGCAGTTACTCTCTTAGCAATACGGTTGTTCAGCGGGGATAATATGACGGGCACCAGTGGTGTTAGTGGTCAAACGGGTGATTTAAATTAGAGTAAATAAACTTTTATCGGATAGTGTACAGCTTGAAAAGTGCAGAATGGCAAAAAAACAGAAAGGGAGAACAACTTCTAGCAAATTACAGAGTGCCTAGACGCAGAAGCTGCACGCAGAAACTAATGAGCAAAAATATCCGCTGTTAAGAAAAAAATTTTGCATTTCAGGTATAAGGTCATCTCTGACTTTTACTTACTGTTTACTAATTCGCCTTAAAGATTACTTACTCAGTAAGCCAAGTACTAATTACTAAACCTTATGTCAGGAAGCAAATTTCGCGCGAAGCCCGAAGGTGACGAGCAAATTTATGGCGAAATCGTTAAAAATTCCATTAAAAAATCGTATTATAATACAAATATAGCCAGTCGAAATTTTTTTCTACTTTTTACTTACTTTTACTGTTATTTTAAAAACCTTACCTACTGTTACTGTTACTTCAAGTCCAAAATGTTAATGGTTACTGAATGCTTAATATTAGGCTACTGTTTACTGAGTAACTTTCCCTTACTTACTGTCTACTCAGTAACCCATCACCAGGGGCGTAGGGAGGTATGGGGCCAAAAGGCCAGACAGTGTGTTACTGGCCCCCCCCCCAAAAGAAACTCACTGGCCCCGGGCGGCTTCGCCGCTCGGGGCCAGTGCAATTTTTTGGGAAAACGTAAAACTAATATTAACGCTGACATTTAATTTAAACCCAACATTCTCTGATAAAATTCTGATTTACTGTAAATAAATTAAAACACTGTGGCATCTTCTGTTAAAACGTAGAACTAGTAAACAATTGAACGTCGGACGCCCAAATTAGTGGCGAATATAAAGGGGGTAGGTACAGAACACGTGCCCTCTCCGGAATTGTTTTAAAAGTGGGTTCTTCAGAAAACTAAAGGGGAGTGTTGCTTAAAAAATGGTAACAAATTTTGCATAAAATCGTTCAGATTCTTTTTTTTTCGTGGATTTCTAGCGACTTTGCAGTTAAATCGATTGCTATAGATTCGTGGTCCGCGCGAAAATAGCTCTTTATTGTACTTTCATACATTAATTTAGTCTCCGGCGAGAAACCAAAAAGTGTTTTACATTAAATTCATAATATTCCGCTATTTTTTATAGAATTTCTAGCAATTTTCCCAGTAAAAACGTGCGTCACCTTCGCGCGAAATTTACATTTCTGGAGACCAACCATGATACGATATTACTTCATGCATTCTAACTTTCATTTCGCTGCAAAAAGTAAAACTATTTGTACTATTTTTAATAGAATTTCTAGCAATTTTAGCAGCAAAATCGCTCGTTGGCTTCGCGCTTCGCGCGAAAATTAATATTTGATATAATTTTTGACCATACATCTTGCTTTACACACGAAGGTCACCAATTTACGCACAAAGGTCACGCACAGGGGTGCTGATACCATCCCTCGAATACGCTCCCTCGAATGTAGCAGAGGTGCACCCCCAGGGCTGTACCCTTGGGTGCCCCCGAGTGGTATGCCCCTTGGGTGGCCCCAGATGTGCACCCCTGGAGTACACCCCAGGGGGCACCCTCAATATGTAGGTTCGGCTCGCCTTGGCCCCCTCCAAAAACGAAAGCTCCCTACGCAGCTGCCCATCACTGATTATTTTTTTACCACAAGTCAAAATGACTTGCACTTAAAATGATTTGTCAAAATAATTCGTTGTTGACTTTTTGATGCGCCAATCATACGGCTAAAAATTATAATTTGAGTTTTGAATTGGTACTTTTTTGAGATGAACTGAATTTCTCAAATTCTAGCATCTCATCGGTTTCGCTCTCTGACGATGCACTGGAACTCTCAGATGCGTCGTCACTGATGCTGCTCGAAGACTCGTCGAACGCTTTCCCAACTATCTCATGCTCACAAAGTCGCGCAGGACTGTTTTACGAGAACTCATAATGGAAAACTTTCTGCAGAAATCTTGCAAATGGGAAACAGAAATAATAAGTGTGTTGAAAAAGATGTATCAAAAACCAAAACAAAGCAGGACTATCTGAAACCACCGACACATGGTGAAAATTAAACAGAATTAATTCGAACTAACTGTAAAGGCACACTATTTTGAGTTAAACTGTACTGTTAATGTACTGTATGTACCCTGTGATTAAAATTTAGGTGGCTGGTTTTTCTTCTGTTTCTTTCGTTCTCTACAGTTCAACAAATAAGATTAAATTTTTGAGTTAGTGGTCTCGCTGCTCTGTAACGCTCTGTAAGATTCAGCGGTGCACCATTGGTAAATTCACTTTTACAGAACTTCCAGCACTGTATCGTACAGAACAAATTTAAAGTGCCTTTCGAGTGGTATTAAATGACGATAATATCTATTCGAAAATCTGCCTGTCTCATTAACTGACAGTAAAGTAAGTCGAAAGTATTGCAACAGTGAAAGTAAGTAAGAGGTCCAAAAAACTCAGTAACCCATCACCACAGAGACTGGTAATACATAGAGAGGCTATGTCAATCGAATCGCATGTAAGGCAGCGTTCCGCTGTGCCGTTCAGCTTAAGACCCCCGCTTCGAACACGAATATCATTGGCAAAAGTGCCACTTTTGGCTATACGGATTGGCTGTTTTAACGTTAATGCGCAATTGTGGTTGGTTATCCAAATGCAACCAATCCGCACAATCCTGTTTTGCTGCATGGATTGGCTGTATTCGACCACATTTTGAGATGCAATCGCCGTTCGTGGGTGGTAGGCCAACGACAGGGGGTCTTAATCTGCACGGAAAACTGGATCACTTGCAAAGTATTGTGCGTCCTCTCTATGTATTACCAGTCTCTGTGCCATCACTGTAAAAAATGCGAGTTCTGTATCGTAACGGAGCCAGGAAAGTTCCTTTTAGATACAGACACTTTAATTTGGGCGCCCAATCAGCGGTAAGGGGGTGGTAACAAAATGTTACAGAACTTCCGGCTCTGTATCTTACAGAACCCATTTAAAGTGCGTTTCGAGTGGTACTTTTGTAGACTTCGGTATAATATAGCATTTTACGCTTCGGTCATAAAACCTTTACCACCTGCAGGTCACGAGTTTCAATTTTTGCAGTGGGTTATGATTTGCTCATCGCATTAAATTTTTGCGCGCAATTTGCGCGGGGTCTGCTATTTTTAAATATCAAGGCATTTTTGGAAAACTAGAAATAATTTTTTCAGTTTGTTATGTAACGCATTAGAAAACGGAGGCGCAGGCGACGCCAAGCTGCGGCGCGATCGCGGAGCTCGCGGAGAAGCAAGCATGCAATATGTTCCGCTTAACAGATCCGATTTTTAAAAAAATTGCAATTTCTTTAATTGGTGTACATCAGCTAAGGCATCTATGTATCATATTGTATGTATAATAATGAAGTACGAGTAGCTTTTGCTGCTTAAAAGTTTCATGTGTTGCAATTACATTGATTCTGACGCGTGTGCGATCTGTTGACTGCTGGCTTATTTTTTCGAGAAATGTGTCACATTTAGAAAAACAAAAAGCGCAGGAGGATACACAGCAAAATTTTTCTGTCATATTTAGTTAAAGTAGTTCTGTCGTCAAAACGATAGAAAAAGGTCGAATTGTGCTCTATTAGTACGAGTATACTGATTTTTAAGCTGGGATTAAACGGGTAATAGCGGTGTCAGTGGTCAAAATGGAATTTAAGTCATTTGTGAACTGCATTGCCGGCAGTTACTGAATATAGTTGCAGCTTAAAAAAGCGCTGAATGTCAAAGACCGGGAAGGAAGAACAAGTTCTAATAATTGCAGAGTCCCTGTGCGGCAACTGCACGAAATCTAACTGATTGGTGACTGATCTGGAAACAAAAAAAAGGTCGGAAACTGATGTGAAAACTTATTCGCTTTGGGAGAAAAATTTTACAGTTCAGCGCTAAGGTCATCGCTGCAGTCAAACGAATAGGAAAATTTTCCAGTAGATATTATTGACAACTGACTTTGGTATATTATTGCATTATTTATTCCGCGCAATTTGCGCGGGGTCAGCTAGTTATTAAAATAAGCCTTAAAGAATTCCATACAAAGATCCCTTTTCTGTGTGACGCACTAAACCAAACTTTAGTGCCTATATGTCATTCCATAGCGCCAAGCTTGCAGATGGCGCGACAAGAATTAGTTTTGGTAACAAGTCTTACAATTTGTTAAGTTTAAAAGAAAAGTTTAAGAAAAGCTAACATACAAAGTCTACGGGAAAAGTGAAGAACCCACCACTGCAAAACCGACCACCCCACCACTGTCTAGAGTCGACAGCTAAAACGCCGTTCTTTGAACTTCTTTCCAGCTGCTGCTGTTGCTGTTCTTCTTGCTTTCTACACGCTTACAAGTCATAACCGAGTACCAACAGTACGTCGTCAATTCGGCTTTGTCCAGTTGGCTTCACTGTCACCGGACAACTGCAGTTTAAAAAACTGCTCACAGCTCCTCAATTTTGCAGTCGTACAGTGCATACAGTGCATTCGTACTGAATGTGGAGATGTTGGGTATGCACCATTTCGTTTAACATTGTACCTGTTGCATTTCGGATTTTATTTGTGGGCTCTGACCGCCTAAGTTTCATTGGCTCACAAATCCTCTGTTGTCATGTCTGACAATCCGCCTTCATCGTCCTCAAATTCGGAAGAACGAGGCAGGATCACGAAGATCAGTGATGGCGTGCAGCGTATTTTGATCAGTCGAGAAATGAGCGATGTCCAGTTCGCGGTGGGGAGTGACCATGGTGCCGCGAAGATTTTTCCGGCTCACAGGTAAGTCCACAATCTTTACTCCGATTTCAATTTACATGGGATCCTCGTCCAAAATACGCCAATCTGCCTGGTTAAAAGTTAGCTATATCATGTAGGCTTATCCTGAGCATCCGCAGCGATGTGTTCCTTACAATGTTCTACGGAAGTGTGCCCGAGAAGTGCGAAGCTCCCATCGACGTTGCCGGCATTCATCCCGAGGGGTTCGATAATATGCTTCAGTATGTCGATCGTGCAGTAATCCAATATCTTTTTTTTGACAGAAAATAATAATAATCTTGTAAATGCAGCTATGTGTACACGGACAACGTGAAGAACTTGACCCATGGTAACGTCTTCCACACACTCGGCTGCGCAGACAAGTACAACTTACCGTTGCTGGCAGCCAACTGCGCCGAATTTATCCTGAAGGATCTCATCATTGATAACTGCTTGGTTATACTGGAGAGCGTACGTGCATTGACTGAACGGACTGCGCGAAAGTCGTTTCTATCTATTTCTTTTAGGCTGTTCGCTACGCAATTGCAGTACCCAACATCCTGCAGGCGTGCTTGTTTTTAATTGATGCATCTGCAAAAACTATCTGGGAATCGGATCAGTTCTGTGCGATTGGAGAAGAGGCGCTGCGCTTAATTCTCCAACGGGATTCGTTGAGCGCCAGCGAAAACACTATTTATTCGTTTGTTGACAAGTAAACGAATTATTGCAGTGCTCTTTTAAGGACGGGACGCAGGATGCTGAGTGGGTGATATCTGCGACGTTTTTGTAGGTGGGCTACCAGCATGTGCATGGAAAAGAACAAGGACGCTTCGTCCGCCAATCGTCGTGAAATTTTGGGCGAGACGCTGTTTCTCATCCGTTTTCCGCTGATGACCGATAAACAGCTGCTCGATGGACCATTAAAGGTGGAGTTTGTGAAACAATTTTAATCTGTTTTCTCTAAGTAGCTTGTGCTAAAAAAAATTATCAAATCGGTGCGTAAGTTGGGATGGTAGATGGTAGTCGGTAAATTTGCCATCCGCAAATCAAAACGCCAGAGTCGCTAGAAAGCAGAGCACCGATAAGCGTTCACGATAGCATTTTTATTCAGAATGGCTTGTTGCTGGAACCGGAAGGATGGGAAATCTATAAGTATAAGCACGCCACCATGAAACCGATTCTGCCGTTCCCTACGAATTCCCGACAAAGTTAGCGTTCATTCATTCGGCCAATGTTTGTAGAAACTGTGGCCATGCTTGTAGAAATTGTTTGATTTTTCTAGGGCTGTGCGATGAGGGTGTTATTAATTATATAGTTCCGGATGTCCGAAAAATGTTGAGGATATCTACTCCCAGCGATTCCATAACAGTTCAGAAGCTGCTTTGGTGAGGGGTCGTTGTTTTTAACAAAACCAGTAATCAGCAATCTGGATGAAGCTATCGGCTTTTACGTGCAAAGTTTTGCAGGAGTATAATGGTGGAGAAGAAAGCGGATGGTGGGGATGACGCGCTTGGGTTTTTTCTTAAGTGTTCTGGACCGTCAGATCACTCGGAATCCGGTTCTTGGACGTGTCAGGTTGCTGCAGAGTTTCGCCTGCTACCATGGAAAGAGGAAACTGTACCAATTACGAAATGTTAGTGTTTTACAATACTTCTATAGCATGGTAAATGCTCTTATCAGAAATTGCGTTGCAATTTTGGCTACGGTGGGTTATTTTTTTACGTTTTTGAGTTGAGGATGTTTTTTTTTGGATGTTGTAGCACTATTCCATCGATTCTCTAAGCATGATGACGATGCCAAAGTAATCTGTGGATACAAGGCGTATGTTTCTATGAAGGTGAATTATTTTGTTCGGTCGGAAATTGGGACTGATGATTATGAGTCCGTGTGTTCTAGAAACTGAAGGATCCGGCGAAAGGATACGTTAATCCGTTTGACTTCTCCTTGAAACTGCAAGTCCGGGTGACTGCCGATCTTCCTGTTGGTATTGAATAAACTGAAAATCCTGAAGTAATGGCATTGGCGAACGAACGAAAATTCGGACACTGGAATAATTTTGGTCGAATCCGCTTGACGGTATGTTTGTCACTTGATTGATTGATTGTCCGCCTGCAGAGTGAGTCAGTTGAAGAAAGAGTGAATATTTCCTTACAAGTTACCAGTGTTTAAACTGATTGAATTTCCCTTCTAACGCATGTTTCGCTAGTACCATTTTGACAGCGAAAAGGTCATTTTGTGTTTGTTCTCTTGAAACACGCTTTGTACTCATTGGCGAATCCTTAGATCGTAAAATTTTGCTCGAATTTGGTACAAATCAGTAACTCACTCATTTTCGGATGTTTTCTTTAACTATTTGCTTCTGACTCACGAAGCAGTTTGTATTGTTTGTCAGATTCTTGTTATTTCATAGATTGTTCAGATAAATGTGTACTAGTCTAACGGTCTTTCCTATAACCATTTTCTCATGAATTTCCGATAATTTTTGACGTAATAAAATTATGGTCCTTGGGTTCCTGGCCGTATGGCGCGTATAGCGGATTTTATACATGTGGTGCAAGGTCTGTCGTTTAAATCTAACCAAGATTTGATCCCAACGAAATTAATCAACGGCTGTACCGTCTGTCAAGAATAGCAGTATTTTGTTCCTACGTACAACAAGAAGAGAAGATAAACGACATGAACGACACATTTACACAATTTCTCGCCGCTGCCGAACTAATACCATCCCGCAAGAAAAGCAATTGTGCTAATGATCAAAAGAAACTTCCTCGCCAGCGGATGCGACAGATCATTTCCGGTGTTTTTTAATTTCGCCGTCTTGGACTTCTCGTTCGGTACGGTCTTGATGCTGAACGTCTTGGGTGATGGCGCATTGGCGCTGGCCGCCGCGGTACTGTCGGCTGGGTCAGCATTCGCCGTGGGAGCCACACCCGGAAGCGGTAAACCCGCGGGACCGGCCGCCAAGATTGTCGGCGCATCATCTTCAGCCGTCTGGTTGACTTTCACGGAACTACCCTCTCCATCCGGGACTAGAAGCGGTCGGGATAATACGGTGGTGTCGGTAGCCGCGGGCGCTGCATCAGCATGCGAAGCCGCTGAAGGAACGGTGTTGGTCAACTGCGCCTGCTGCTGCACGCTGGAACGGGTGCCCGTGGCGGCTGCGCCCGTAAATAGCGTTTCCATATTGTTACTGCTGGCGCCCTGCATCGTGCTGAAGGGCGGCGGGGATGAAGCGATAATTGCATCATCTACACTGCTGCTACTCGTCCCCGCATCCGGCTGGGTCATATTGGGCAGGGAGATGAGATTGTGCCGGTTGGATAGGGGATCCTCAAGGCCCAAATCACGGCCGCACTGAGCTTGATATTCAAAACACTGTTGAAAAAGACAAATCAAAGCGTTGTTCTTCGTTACTGCTCTTTTCTCTTCTCCAGTTGTTGTTGACTGGTTGTACAAATTAAATTATATAAATTTAGGTTACGACGTGCGGTATTGTATAACTTACAAGGAAAAAGCAAGAGTGCAGATATAATTGTTACCTGGCGTGCTATCCAGTCTTGAAGTGTGGATTTCATCATTTTATAAAGAAACTTTTTCACAAAATCCGCCGATGATGGGTGGCACTTCCGCACGGCTGCTTCAAATGAACACTGGGTAAGCCTGTGAAGGCCATCGCTGTCCAACAACAAAACATCGGTTAACCACCAGTCTCATATTGTTCTGCTTACGTAACAGCTACCCTAGTGAACATAAGATCTATGGAACCGAGTCATTTATAACTTATTTACATGAAAATAAGAAGGGTTATAATTCATGCTTAATCAAGTTCTGCACAGGCACAAAAAGTAAATATAGTACATACCGTACTAGTCAAGACCTAAAGCAATATTAACCAAAAAAGATTTGCCTAATTTTTCCCATTGTCTTATCTTTTTCACATCGAACAGCGATAGCAAAAATAGTAAAAATACGTAATTAAGAAAAAAAACAGAAGCACCGAATAATGTTTATTTACTTTACTGATCATTACTTCAAATCCGTAGTCTACCGATTAAATGAACAAATATATAAGTGTTCATTTAATTATGAGACATAAGAAGATACGATACAATTTTTCGTTGCATGCACGCAAGGGCAATGCTATGTTATTGCCGGTCGTAATTAGATCTGTTTCTTTAATTGTTCTCTGATGCTCCAAGTCGAAAATGTATGGCTTACCAATTAGTTAGCGCGCTGGATTCTACTCTCCCAGAGAAAATCGCAAAAAAAACTGATTACTAAAATAAACGGCTATTAGATGTCAATAATGCACGAACCACATAGTGATAATCAGGAAATACTTTCGAAAGTAATTCAGTAATCTGATTATTTTGCCATAAAAGCTGTACGGGATGCGCTTACATGAGCGACACTTTTCAGCAAACACTACTACTTTTATAGCTTATTTTGGCCATGGCCATTTTATGAAGTGCGAGAAAAACACTGTGCAGTTTTATTTTCCCTGATTCAGTCTTGACTCACCAACAGCTTCGATGTAAGACTTCCTGGGGAGCCAGATTATCAGAGACGGCAGCAATATCCGATACGGTAGCTCCATAGTTAGCAATGCACTGATTAATATCCAGACTGACCACGGCTAAACACTGGCCGTGGTGTGCATAATCTGTTAACAACAACTTTCATTCAGCCGGCTTCTTAACAGGTTCAAAGTGAGGTGGAAGTGTAAGTGAATGGTCAAGATTGGTGTTACAACTCACAGCAATTACGTAACCGCAAAAAGCACAAACCTCTTCGAAATTGATCATTTTCACAGAACAGCATGATGAATTCGTTTGCTTGTCTTATGAATGGATCCAGAGTTACTAGTTCGGCAGCTGCAAATATTATGCAATATCGTTGTTAATTTGTTATTCGCCAGTGTTGTAAATAAGAACAACAGCGAAAAGGTCACGGAAATTGTCCGCTCGTACCCAAACATGGCCTTAATACTTTCTCGTTGCACAATCGAACTGACGCAAACGCCCTAAAAAATGATGTCATAAATGAAAGAATGCACAACACAACCACAAGCTTTAACCGTAAAAACTAAAGCAAACAAAATATTAAACGGGCTGACAAATGACAATTACTAGTATCATACTGTACTCGTATCGCAGATTCTAGCAGATCATTGTAATTAATTCGATTTGCTGATTTAATTTTCTTTTCCACCAAGCATGCAGGTATTCTGATCACTTTAAGTCCGTTTATTTTTGAGGCGGTTTAAATTTCATCCTAAAAAAGGTCTGAGAAAATTTAACCTACAGATCTTGTAGATATATCTTTACGAAGAAATTTAAAAAACTGATCAAAATTTAAATCAGTGTGCTGGAATCCATCGATATCAGGACAATTTTAACGGATACCTACTCGCAGTCATCTCTTATGGCCGAATCTGGAACCAGACCCGATAGATATTTCTGTGGTGTGAATCCAGTAATCAATCTCCCACATTGGTCAATTAAGGACTGTTGACAAGGATTTGTCAGTGTTATCACGGGACTGACGGTACCTGTATTAGCATAACGTAACACGCTGTTAAAGCTGGTCAACTATGCATGCAAGTCCGTCTTTACGGTTACAGCACGCAAATGAAATATCAAGGTTATGGAGACCGGCTAAACAAGCTGGCAACTGCAGCAGTGCAACTAATAAACACTAAATACTGTCTAAGCAAAGCTAAACCGAAATCCACGTTTTTCCAAAACTTTTACAAAAACCACGTTCATGGCACCGGTTTCACTATGTGCATAAAGCTCTACCACTTTCACATAATTTTGTGCATTACTCGCATAAATAAATTAATGTTAGATTGGTATTAAACTCGCAGATGCTGAAGTTATAAAACTCCCAGCAAGTGGGAAACAAATCTGGAAAACAGAAAATTTAAAACGAATATCACATGCATATAAAAATAATACAAAAACACCAGTTTGCTATAACACATATTGCTATTCGGTCGAAAAGAATCATAGTTTGTGCCTCAAAAAGAGCAACGATCAGACATACCTAATGCCAATTTAAAAGTATATTTACGTCTTACCGCTTATCAAAAATACAATCCACAATTTGAGGTGTTGTATCTGCCTCGACAACATATTATGCATCTCAACAGCACCACGAACCGGAAAGAGAAAACGTAGGTACTCAAAGAAACTGGATTAAGTGTAAAAAATTATTAATCCCACGTATCGATATCGACTACGACGATAGCGACAATTAGGGATACATGGGTACGGCACTTGAGAAAGCCATCCGACACGCTGTCATAGATCCATTTGAACCGAAGAAACACTTGCCAGGGATAAGGCCTGAGAAAACAACAGCAAGAAAACACCGCGCACCTGGTCAGCACGCTAATAAACTATCAACTGATTTAGTCTCTTGGTTTAATTAGAGCTTAAGAGTCTCACTCTCAAGGTTCCACCCAGCTAGCACGCTTGCTTTCGCCTAGACAAATCCAATCTCGTACGCTCCAGCACCAGCGTTTACATTCAGGCAAAGAAACTCACCGACCACTACCCTATCCAGCCAAATAGCCGGGGCCGAGAAAAAACTTCAATGACACTGCCGTAGTCAACATACATGACTCCACTGTCATTGATGATTCTCTCCTGAACAAATACAATGCACTAAAATCTCTTGTATCATCAGGTGGAGACACTGTGTGCGTAAAGACCAAATCAACCAACTCGCACATATGTGTGTGTGAGCAGTTGCACCGGCGGTCAACGTCAAAATATACCGTTGCCTGGGATAAGCATGATTTTAATGTCAACTTTAACACCCAATCAGGACAATTCAACAACTACGAAGGAAGAGCAAAGATTGAGAGAGAATAAAAAGAGAGATAACTTTACAACAGTGTTATGTAACAATGCACCAGCATTTCCTCTGAACAACCGCAGTGTAGGTTTCACATTAGGGTGAACAACGGACTTAGCACATCAAGTAAGCAACAACCGATGTTTGGTCAAGCGGCCTAAACGACCTAATTAATCGCCAATGAGTACAATGCGTGTTCCAAGAGAACAAACACAAAATGATCTTTTCGCTTTCAAAATGGTACTAGCGAAACATGCGTTAGAAGGGAAATTCAATCAGTTTAAACATTGGTAACTTGTAAGGAAATATTCACTCTTTCTTCAACTGACTCACTCTGCAGGCGGGACAATCAATCAATCAAGTGGCCAACATACCGTCAAGCGGATGCGCGCATCAGGTGTTTTCCCATTCAGATTCTGTCCATGTTCGATGCAGGCAGTGGTCCCGACGCACTGCCCATTGGCTGACCGCCTTCAGCAGGATAACGGGCACGATACCAGGCGGTCTCCTTCCACAGGAACCAGACATTACCGCACCAGATGAAAAAATTCAGAAAGCCCAGAAGCTAAAAGCATATCTCAATAAAATAACGGGAAATACGAAATAACACGGTTGAGGAAAAAATTTGCTCACGAATACTTACTACAGATATGTTGAGATTGGCATAGTTGGGAGACTGGCCAGGCAAACATGAGTTGCACGATGGAAATTTTTCTGTCAGTTTCGTCGAAGTCAATCGCTCGGAGACTACGGCGGGATCAGTGCAATGTTTGACTCCGTTCACGCCATGCGCCCATGCCGACGCGCAAACCAACCACATGAAGGCGAAGAAGACCGTCACCACAAAATCCTGGAAATAATCGGCAAAGTGTGTGCTTATGTAAACAAAACATACCGATACTGGCGTAAATATCATGAATCGCAAAGAAACACATCTGCCGTTTCGAATAAAGCAACCCGCACCGTCTGGGCAACCATATCTCGCGCGCGGTATAGTTTATCCAGAAAAAGGTATAACAGCAGTGCCGCCAGGCAGTACAAAAAAGTCAGGACACCAATAGCGACAAAGAACTCCGCGGAAGAAGTGTACGGGCCACCCAGGGGAATCACGGGGGACGTCTCGTTGCATGGATCACGGGGGATGTGAATGGTGTCCAAACTGAAAAAACAAAAAAATTAATCAAAACTATGCCAAGATGCGCCATCCCATCAACATACGCAAAAGGATATGAAAAATGGATCTCCTTTGCTTTCTGAGCCATTCCTTTGTCTTTGCAAGTGAACAGTATAGTCAGGAAAGACGAAAAGCTGCTTGTGGTCGCGAATGCGCAGATCCCGAACACCTATTCGACAACGACATTTTAGACAACAGCCAATCCACACAACCCTAACATCAGGGAGGCAGTTAATGGGCACTAACAGTGACTAATAATTAGTCACTAATTAAAATAGTTCAGAATCTAACCATTAGAAACCAAACTGTTTCAGATCAAAGTTAATCAACTGAATAAATGTATCCGTCTCTGCAGAGTACACTTAACTAACACACTCTCTAATAATTTTACTTGCCAACAAATCATCGTACCAGTTCAAGTATTTTAATGAATCCCCGCGGTTCTTTCCACACTCTTCCATTAAACTCCATACCTTCCTGCAAAAGAATCCAGTAATGCGCACACGTCTCTTGCATCTGCAAAATGGAATATGAACTCACTCGTATCGCATCCATCGCTGCTTCGTGAACAACCACTCAGCGAATTCCACGCAGTCCTACAAATGTATTACAAAAATTAATTAAACCCGTGTAAATCATCGCGAAATCGCCCAAAAGGTATCTCTGTCACCTTACAGTTACCGCTTCTTCGACCCTATCAGATAGGGCCTATGATCTATCTGTTTTAACAATTGCAAGTCAATCGAACACAGTTACACACTCACCAGCTCTGGAAACTCGAAGAATCAATCTAATCGTCGATGGAAAAACAACTGATCCTGAAAAAACGCTTTTGTTAAGTAACTATTACTAGTAAACAAAAGCAGGCAGGATCCTCGGGAGCTGAGACCCATCCATCGTTAAAACGGGAAAGGGTGTCCTGCTCCTTACACTTACAGCCTACTGGCTTACTTTGCGCCGATCCAAGCCAAAGCAACTTTGGAGACGCCCCAAAAAAAGGTACAGCTACTGTATGTTTTCACTGTTTTCACCGCACTATTCTAATGCCGATATAAGCAGCACCTGCTATCATAGCTCATCCCAACTTTTATCAGCAAGCTTTATGCAGAAACCAATTCCGATGATCCTAAAAAATGGGATTGCCAGCTTTCGAGATTCGGATAATTTGCATGGCAATAATTGTTGATGCTCCGGTCAGCTCGGCAGTGCGGGCTCTGAACCGACAGCCGATGCCGTATCTGAGTTCTGATGGTGTATACTGTATGGTGATAATTTTGTATTAAACCGAGTATGCTACACTGTTGATGTGATTGTTATGATTTATATTTTTTCATTATCACAAAAAAAAGATGCATTCATGGGAATTAGGGAAAATAATAATTAGCACGGCCCACGGGTACTCGATGATCTCAGTTCGGGCTGAACCGCTGAGCTGATCGGTTTCCTGTACAGTAGATCTGCTCTAATCGTACGGAGTCACTACGGACGCTCAAATTGCAGACTCATGGTTCAGACTTCAGTTTACGTACTTACTGGTTCACAGCAGTTTTAACTTTCGCGGTTAAAATTATTATGTATTTTGATATTCGAAGTCCATAATTATTTCTTTTATATTGGAAGATATCAGCGCAAAAATTTACGAAGGAAAGTTTCGCTTTACAGAATCGTCTTTGTCTGGAACACACTTGGCATTGTTTGCGCAGGCGCTTAATCCCGATTCTAGGATCCATTACAGTCCTACGGTGCATTGTTCGGAACAGCCATAAAGTTCCAGCCGCATCATGTTTATGACCAGATCAGAATACGACCGTGGAATCAACACATACTCCCCAGAAGGCCGACTGTTCCAGGTGGAGTACGCTATAGAGGCTATCAAGGTAAGGCTTCGCACGCTGCGGAGTGTTAATAAGTTATAAGTCCCTATTGAAAAACAAATACAGCATTGACTCCGCCATTACTACCACACTGTAAAATAGTGCTTTTCAGTATTATTACTGGCTAGTTGTATTACTGTTGTTAAGTCTGCGTTTTATGGTGGTTTCTAGCTTGGCTCCACGGCAATCGGAATCCAAACTAAAGAGGGATGTGTACTTGCTGTCGAGAAACGAATCACATCTCCACTTCTGGAACCATCCAGTATAGAAAAGATATGGAAAGTGGATGAGCATATAGGTAGCCGGTTTTTGCTGCTGAAACGGCACAATGCGTTTTTGCTCCTTTTCCCGTGTTTCTTTTCGGTATTCCTTGATGTTTTTTTTGTTTTAGGTTGCGCCGTGAGCGGCCTTATTGCTGATGCCCGAACCCTTGTTGAAAAGGCTCGAGTAGAGGCACTGAGTTACTGGTTCAATTACAACGAACGCATGAGCGTGGAAAGTGTGACACAGGCGGTATCCAATTTGGCAATCGGATACGGTACAACTCTCTCCCGTCCGTTTGGTGTGGCCATGATGTTTGCCGGGATTGATCACCGAAAGCCCCAACTGTACGTGTGGGACAGTACCTTTTGTCACTGTTTTGAGTTACTATGCGTCATGCGATATTCGGAATTTATACATGTTTTGCGGTTGGGTTAGGATGTCGTCAGTTTTCCCTGATACTCGATGACAACAACTCTGAAATGTGTGAACGAAGAATTTCATAATTATTCGCGTTTGCATTATTTATTATTGTTTGTTTTGCTTTTTATAAATTACTTGATCAATATTCTGTAGATGGCACATGGATCCTTCTGGCACATTCATTCAGTTCGACGCTAAAGCAATTGGATCTGGCTCGGAAGGTGCTCAGCAGAGCCTGCAGGAAGTTTACCACAAAGATATGACTCTCAAGGAAGCCCTTAAGCATGCCACTGCTATTTTGAAGCAGGTTATGGAAGAGAAGATCAATTCGATTAATATTGAGGTAAACTTTAATTCTCGTTCCTGCATGCGCTGCTGCCTCCATGATATGCTTGAAATACGTTTATAGCATAATAATTATGTAAACCGCCCATTTGGTTTTGCAGATTGCCACCGTAACCCACGAAAAGATGTATCATTTGTTTACTCCTGCCGAAGTGGAAGAAGTCCTGAGCATGCTAACTTGAAATGAGCTTTCTTATTTTGTAATCGCTGTTGTTTTGTTCTTTGGCACCTTAGAGGTTCGACTTATTAGAAATCAGTACTTCGATATTTTCCGTAATATGGCACCTGATCCTACTCTTAGTTGGCGCGTAATGATGCCGCAACAGATTGAGAGTTTACTGCTTAACACAGTAAGGTCCACTTGTCACCACGCCATAATTATGCAGCAAACGTAAAAATTATACAGCAAACGTAAAAAATTGAACCGTATTCGCAAAAAGCACATCGTTGTGCTGCATCATTTCGGCACTGCCGATTATTTAAGTACAAAATTAACAGTAGTTACAGCAAATGTAACACCTAAAAGATGGACAATGGTAATTTGTAAAGGACAGAATTTTGTGACCTTCAGCCGACATGCGGCTCTGCCTGTCTTACCGCAAAGCAAAAATTAACAGATCTCTTCACCTGATGCAGTTTCGAAAGGGACATCATAGGGTAGGATCTTTGGGAGCTCGTGTAGTCTTTTACATCTTCAAGATAATTTCCTAAACAGCCAAAGGTAAAGGAGGCATATCCACCATATCAACAAAATCGGAAATCACTTAATACGTACTAGTTTGAAAACACCGATAAGAGCGAATATTTACCAAGCATTTCCGCAGAATCCACTCCATCATGCTGGGCGCTCGCCTCATTTGCGCACACAAAAAGGTGAAGGGAGCTACTCCTCCAGGCAACTGTCGATTCGGTCTATCTGCGGAAACCGGAGTAGGAGAAACGACGGGGTGAACAAGGACGGTTCCATTCCGCAATCCACATAGTTCTTCGTTCATCTTGGCCCAAGATTCAGGCACCTCATCAACAAAGGTGTCTCCATCTTGAGCGCCATCCCCATTCCGCAACGTCATCGCATGCCTTAATGCCGCCAGCGATAACGATCCAATGCCGCTCCGCATGGCACGGGCAGACAATCGGACATCATTGGTAACCAACCACACATTTCGCGAGTATGTCTCTCTCGTCTGCAGACAACACAGCAGAACAAGTTCATCGTTGTCCTTTGGTCGCTTCTGCAGCTGCTTAGCTTCCTGAGACTCAAGATAGCTCTGGTACGTCACCACTCCGTTGGGGTTGTTGTAAGTGACTTCGTCGAGAAAGTCAACTGCGTTTTCCGCTTGTGAGGAGCGGGAGTCCGGATGGAACCATACGCCAGGAGCAGGATTCGATAAACCCATCAATTCCAGCTTGACCACCCATGGAATGCGCACTTTCAGCGATGACGGAAGAGATCCGTAAGTGCCGGACGCGAACGATCGCAGAAGCTCTAATCCGGTCTTCTGAAGTTGATTGTAAGTCGATTTTGGGTGGTTTGAATTCCGTGGTGCAATCAGAGCACTGGTGTCGAAAACCAAAAACAAAGGGTCTGCCACACACGAACTGCTCATGGTTCTCTGTGGCTGCAGAAATGCATGCAACATTAACACAAATTAGACAAATTCAGAACGAAACTTCTGGCACTAGAAAATCGTTAAAAATTACACCGAAGTAAAAATTATCTATCGGGTCAGATTTTATCATGATTTTAGGCTGTAAGAGTAAGCGTAAGCATTTTAAACCAAAAACCGCTTTTTTAGTGACGAAAGCCTGGTTGGGCACTTGAGACTTCAGCGGAGTGTGCACCTAGTACTCTTGGTCATTTTCTGTCGGAGATGCAGCTCAAAGCGACTGTAAATCGCGGACTGTGAAAGGATTATTAATTGTAATCCAAATGTTTAAAATTAATAATATAAAATAGTTATTTTAAATGGCTTTAGTCTTCGCGAAAAGAATGTTTTTAGGTAACATTGCCGGTTAGGCAAGGTTGTACTGTACTAAATTCCTTATTGTACTGTCATACAGCAGCACTGAACCGCGTTCAAACAAGACTTAAAATTTCCAGGAGACAGCTAGCCTCTTTTCCGGTTCTCATTAAAAATGGTACTGGGAAAGGCTGTTGAAGAATACACAATTGCCCGAAAAATAACGAAGAAATTTAACATAATCCATTCTGAATCTGCTGGTAGCAAATTCGTTTGCTTTGATATATTACAAATCAAGATCATGGCACAGGAAATGTAACTCGTACAGCACATTTTTTGTAAACGTAACAGCGTTACAAGTTACAACTAGTTTACTACTCACTGGTCAGGGTAGTAGAGTAGGGTAGTACTTTAGCTAACGATAAGTTTGTACCGTATTCGTTATTAATGTACTTACTTATTTTTGAAACGTTTACCCGAATTACATATATTTAAATTATAAAACTGACGGCCCACGTTTTCTGCAAACAGCAATCCCTTTGGGTAACTAAAGGTCGCCGGCAAATCTGTTAATGTACAAGTACAATGTAGGACTAAATGGTCGCATAGCCCCATACCCAGCATTCTGTACGCAAGCGGTGCAGTGCACTTGTACGAAACGGATATTTTGAACTCAGTCGTACAGTGCACTGCGCTGCATTCGTTCTGAATGTGGAGATGTTGGGTATGCGACCATTTTGTCCTAAGCTGTACGTAACAGATTCGGCAGATTAACCCCCAGCTAAGGAAGTAGAACTGCAGTTGGTCAGGAAAATTCTTGATGAAATACCTTGATGAAAATTCTTTCTCTTTAGTTTTTTTGTACGTACAGACTTTGTGCAGCACAAAGATGACGGCGTCATTAAATACATAGAAAAGGTACGGGGATACGTATATATAATTACAGTATTGGTTTTTTAAAATATGCAAGCAGCTGCAGCTTTTGCAAGCACAACAATACTTCAGTAAACAAATGTTTTTGCATAAAACCGCGGAATTGCGTACAATATTCGCTCGCCAACAGCGTATACATACTTGCCGGAATCGCATTACAAATATTATCATAAAATATGTACCTACGATTAATACACACAACCAGTTGGTTTTTGCCACAAGATGGTTCTCTGCGCTCAGGGTTAATAATGAAAGCTTAAAGCGAGCGAGAATGCTGACTACGTTTATTCTTTTGAGCAGGCCTTGTTATTTGTTTGTTTTTCTCTAAACATCAGCCACAGTTCTCAACTTTTCTTCGATATTGCTCGATGTAAGGTGGTCCTGTTGCTGCCGGTTTATGCCAACAAAACTGGAGGATAAAACCCACACCTTAAGCTTCAGATTAACTGTACAGATAAATCAAGTCGGAGAGCACTGTACTTAAATTATTTTTCCAATTTTCACTTCCTAGAAAATCTTTAACTGTTAGTCATTTCTGTCGTAATTTGTAACAGTAACTATCACTTTTACAAAAGCACAACAATTACTTTGCTTTAAATTTTTCTCAGCTATACTGGCGAAAGTTCAACAGTATTTTCTGCCGGCAGTTGTTGCTATCTCTTTTGGTGTTTTTTGTACGTACGGAGCTATAGCTAGCTGAGACCAAGTTTGAACAACATCCACGGATAGCCATGTTTCACAACTCTGTTGTAATCTTCTCCATTATCCAAATATTTAATTTTGCAAATGCCCAGCAAAGTGTTGGGGGATTTGCCGCCAGTAGTTCATCTAGCCAGAGCCAGACAAGTGGCCAGGACAACGATGGCAACGATGATACCGACTTCGATCAAGACTTTCCTCCTTCACCGTTTGCTTCGCAGTTCCAGAGACCTATGCAAAGCTTTTTCGGTGATATGTTAAGAGGTGCCCCATGGAACAATGCCGGACAGATGCAGAACTTTCGCTACAATGCTGGAATTTTGTCCAATTCCCAAGGTCACATGCCGCACGTTATGATCGGTTTAGATCGCTCGGCCACTAAGGGCATAGCCACTCTTAATGGTGCCAACAGTACGACTAGAGGAACAATCGTTTTCACTGCCAACACCAGTACTGGCGTCATTCAGATTACCGGCAATATCACGGGATTGCCTCCCAACTCCCAGCATGGATTCCATATCCACCAAGTAAGCGTCAGCATACATATTTAACGAATATACATGTTTCGTCAGCATACATATTTCGTAAGCTTGTATCAGTTGCATATTGTATCTTGCAATACCATAATATACGAAAATTTAAACTGCACCGTATTTTCTGCATTTTTATATCAATTTACATGGATGCGCATGGGTCGTAGTTCATTGCAGGTAAAACCTGTATACGTATGATACTTTGCATAACGCCGTGAATGTGTTGCGCAGTACGGTGACCTTTCGAATGGCTGCACGAGTGCCGGTTCCCATTTCAACCCTTTCAATCAAACACACGGCGCTCCTACTTCTCAGAAGCGTCATGTTGGGGATCTGGGAAACGTCGTTGCGGATGGTGAGATTAATCGTATTATCGTTCCCCAATGTTCAACTAAATTTTGATTTTGCACAAAAGAATGCAGCATCAGCACTGTGCCTATAATTCGCTATAAGTACTGTATAGCCAAAAGCACCATGCTATGCAGCCTATATAAGATTCAACAATTATTTTGACAGCAATATCTTTCGAATGTTTTAGGCAACGGAATGGTAAACTTGAATATGACCGATTCTCTAATTGCACTGGCTGGTCCGGCTAGCATCATAGGGAGAGCTATCGTAGTGCATCAGCTTCAAGACGACCTTGGGGCCGGCGGGAACAATGACAGCCTAACAACCGGAAATGCTGGAGGAAGAATGACCTGTGGCGTCATAGGCATTATGGCTTAGTAACTTAATTGTTATGAGTAGAAGAATGTAGCGGTCTGCCTGCAACTCGAGCGATCAATCATTTATTTTATTTAACATTTAACTTGATTGTATAGGTGATATTTATATATACCGTACGCAACTTTTTAATGGTAAAAGTGGGACATCACTAAAAGCTCAGGTTTCTCTAATCGAAATATAAATTATTTTATTCTATTATAATGAATATTGCCCGAACATTCCAAGCTGTATGAGTACAGTTGTTGTGATGAATGCATTTTAAACAAAAACTCATTGAGAGGATGCTGTGCTCGTATCAGAAGCTGTGCCGCTTGCTGGTAGCGCTAGGTACTGTATTATATTTTCGGGGAAAATAGAACCCGCTCATATAAATTATTCTAAGATCAGATTTCTCGACAACAAAGCTTTAAAGCACAACTTTAAATTTCGGACCCGGCTGGCAAAATGCTTGCGCATTGGCGTAGTTTGTCTGCATTTAAATATATTTTAATAAAAAATTACTTCACAAGAACCGTTGCACGATACCAATGTAGGATAACGTACAGCAATTGGCAATTCTATCCATCCATATCCGATACTCGGTAATGCCACATATAAATAGAAATATACTTACCAGAAAAGGGCACATGTGCTTTTCTTCTTAATCATCATGACCATCTGCACTGCTCGACGCAGTAATAATCAGCCTGTTGACAGGAAGCGAATAATCATCTTGGTTCATACTTAATCACCTTATTTTAAGAAACCATGCACCTGAACGCCATTTAGTACTTATTATTAGCCATTTAAATACAGAAGCAGATAAGGTACCTTAAAGTCCCTTATAATTAAGCGCTACAAAATACGTCATGTTGATTTGCAGTGCTTAAAAGGCAGCCGTTTGAAGAGAAACCTTTGACAACATCGCCAGTTTTCTTTAATGTATAAATCCAGTTACGAATTTTAACGTGATATCACGCGCAAAAGCCATTATACAGTTCGCGGTGGCATTTTTAATTCAAAATAGTGCTGGTCCGGTGCGGTCCATTCTGGCGCTAGTTGAAGACTTGAAGCCGACAACCGGAAGTGATTACTACTACAACAACAGTTATGCCAGCTCAACTGCTGCAGCCCATGATATTGCTGGCGGTTCTTTTTGTTCTTTTGTCTGAGTGTGGAGCTCGTCCACATCATTCATGCAGACGGTTGGCCGGCAACATGTTACGGACACGAGGATGCCATGTTGTTCACCCAAGAAACAACTCTTTGACTATTGATTGTGATGGGAAAAACCTAAACTCCGTGAAGAATATTCTACAGAATTTCCAGAATCTGGGTTGCAATGTACCGCTCAAGCTGCATATCAATAAACCGACCTTCCCTATCGCTGCGGATCTGTTCAACAATGTGCAAAAGTCCTTACATCGTCTGGAAATTCTCCACTTGACGCTTCACCAATCCTGGGACAATATTTTTTCTAATCTCGGAAGCTTGAAAATACTGGTGCTCCATTTTGAACAAACGTCGCGGATGGACTCGATAGTATTAGGCACGGATTCATTCAACGGACTTTCCGAGCTAGAATATCTTCGCATTTCTACCAAAACGCCCGTAATACTCCGGAAGGACGCATTAAAAAATTTGCATAAACTGAAGTGCTTAGGATTATCGGGAGTTGCTTCCTCTTGTGAAGGTAGCGATGCGGATTTTGTAAAAAGCATTTATCCTGGTAGCAACTCTCTGAAAACACATTACGAAGATCCCATATCCCATCGAGTGGAAACGTGCAAAGTTCACACAAGATGTGCCGTGCCCAAAAATGCATGAAAGACCCGCGAATTCGCTCTACAATTAGCGATTATATCTTCTAGATCTGTATCGAATAACTCTAGTGACAGTATAGAAATTCTTGATTTTTCTATTCTGTAAATTAAGCGCACATTTGTTATTCTTTATAAATATTAGAGCCATACTGATCAAGATCTCAAATTAAGTATCATGCTTTGTATTATAAATTCACCCAGAACTCCAAACCATGCACTTCTTTTGCAAATATTGCGGCGTTATTTACATATTTTTATCTATAAGAAATAGCTTTTACATTACAATTAGATCAAATTTCATATCCTTCGTTGCAACGGACGGACGTTATGGACTGTCGCAGCTGGCATCCGGCAGGAAGTATTCCACGCTATCATTCAAGCCGTATGACTGACTGGCTTTTCGCAAGTGTAAAAAAAGTAATGAAATGCGTCCCCAAAAACATCATGCCGTATACTCCATGTCGGACAAACAGATCTCAACAATGGTAACCGAAAGTGTGGTTGCGTAAACGATACCGAAATGAAATACCCGCCAGGACGAAGCACTTTTGATATCTGCGGAAAAATATTAAGCCTTCATTCATAAATTAACCAGAAAACATTATTCGGAACAATGAGCACTGAATTGATATCATCCATACGTCAAAAATTTATTTTAAGTAGTCGTTTATAGTATACGCCTAGCTGGCTTTCAATAAAAATTATAACTTCACCTGTTGCATTAACAGTTCTAACTGCTTGACACTTTCATCAGAAGGGTTCCACGGATCTTTCTCTTTAACGAACAGCACTTCCAAGGTACACTTTTCCAACACACAGTCAAAAGTGGATGTCTCAAAATTAAGATCAAACATATCCATTGTATGCCATTCCATGCCTGCACTAGAAAAGTGCCAGGTACAAATTCTTTCCACTTTCAAAATAAGTAAGGTGATCGCTTGGGCACGTACAGATTCTCGTATTTCTTTTGCATATTAGCAATCACGCTGGGTGAATAGTCCACATTAACGATTTGTGTGTAGCCAAGATGGTAAAGATCAGCGCTCATAGAACTGTTGCCGCATCCTGCAAAATATAGAGTTGGGGAGTTTAAAATTTTAAATGGTCAGTGCACATAGCCTGATAGCGCGTTGCCGGTAGTCGCATACTAAAACTGAAACAGAAACATCTAAAAATTGCTTAAATTTCCCAGACAACGAAAAAGCAAGGAAAAACGTAAGGTACATGTGATAATGATATGGCAAACACAAATAGCCTGTCACGGCAATAAATCAGTCAAATACCACCAGACAGTAACAGTAGAGGTAATGGTGATACGATGATATATGTAGAAATTTAGACTAAAAAAACGGACAAAAACAAAAGGCACATCTGCCAGTTCACTTACCGAGAACCAAAATTCGAGAATTATTCGCAACAACTTCACTAAACAATTTCGACCACTGAGATACATCACAGCACCATTCGTAGCTGTCTTCAGTCTGTAATTCCAAAAACGAACAAATCAGTTGAAAGTTAAAACTGCAAATTCGCAAACAAGTCACTGAGCACAAAATGTCAGCACTCAGCAGCAACTAAGCAACAGGTGAAAGCGAACAAAGAACTTATGCGTGAACTGCAAAACAGGACACTAAAACAATTCGAAATATCTCGCTCCAGTTGAATAACTCTGACAATGCAGGAGTTTAACTCCTTTTAAAAAACTTAAAGTCAGAAGACCTAGCAGATAAGACAGTAATTGTACGTGCCTGGTACCGATTTTCCCAGTACCCGCGATCTTGGTAATCCTCGTTTGTGTGTGTCGCCATCAGATCCTCCTCAGTTTCACCGAACAGAGATTAACAACCTTCTTTGTTTTTTAGAAAACAGAACTCTATCAAAACGTAAAAAAGGTACAAACGATTTGGAAAAAACTGGCAGTTTTACTTTACATGTCGTCATATTACGAGTAGACTGAAAGTTAAAACAGATCAGGTGAAAACAAACTAAACAACTGAAGTCAGAATTTTATCATTTGAACAGAATCATAGTTCCTACCGGTGGCGGCAGATCAGCAGACGATCCTGCCGTAACGGCTGACCGTACGCGCGAGAAGTTTACCAGCGAGAGTTGTGGGGTTACCCATTTAAAAAAAATGAAAAATTGTACGAGTATAAAGTATAAATAAGAGTTTGTATAAAACACGAGGTTTTGTAAACCAGCTGTGAGCAACTTTATTTACTTTAGCACACAGAAAAGTAATGTTACACTGATTACGCTCCTGATTTCTTTGCGTAAGCTCGAGGATATTAAAGGTTAGTAATTATAAGTTGCGCCCGTGTTGCACTGCGAAAGTGTGAAGCGTGTTGTGTAGATTTGGTCTTAGAAAGTGAACTGTGAGTCCTTGTTGACGAAGCTGCAGCTTCGGTTGCGTTAAGTTTTTTAGATGTGAAACGCATTGTTACTCGTACACGAAACGACATTTGTGGTTTTTCTTTCTAACAGTACATTTATGCAGATATGACTTCTTACAAAGTTGTGCTTGGCTAGGGTGCTCCTGTAGTTCTTCGGATCGATGTGATTGTTGCATGTTCGAGATCCTCTGAGAGACTGGACTGACGGCGATATGGAAGCACATTTGGAAAAGAGTATCCGCGAAGTGTAAGTCTGAATTTTCTAGCTGTTTCACAACCGATGGTGACAGCGTGTTGACAGTGTGCTACTTTCACCTCTACCTGTTCTTTGATAAGCGAGGCCGTGTTTGTTGTTATAGCATGAACCAGCCGTCAGTAACGGGAGCGATGTGCATAGATGGAAAAGGACTTTGTCTCATAGGTGTGTTAGTGTAGGAACGATTACACTTTCCTGTTGAAAAAACTCACCAATCAATGTATTGACTCTATTCGTGGCCTTAGCCAAAGGCACAGCTGATCCCACTGCGGCCGGTTTTTTGTACGAAATATCTCGATGCTCCAATCAGTTGACGAACAGCGCGGAAGGTGCGCCAGTTGTCGCCATTGAGTTCTCAAAAACGTAAGTGGGAAATTAACCTGATTTAAATGTGAATGGAAGTTAAATTCATCGTCCATGATCTGCTTAAAAGTTATGGACTTCCGCGTCTCGATTCAACTAATAGCATATTAGTTGCAGCTGGTATCAGTTGTTACTGTTTGACATTTTTTTACTGCATGTTTGACATTTTTTTTACTGGTCAAACATGCAGTAAAAAAATTATTTATTTCTGTTTTGATTTGCCTATAATCATATCTAAATTATGTACCGCCTCCAAACTTACGGTGGCTTATGAATAGCAGAAAAGCTGAAACATACTTTGTATACTTTGAAGTATTTTTTTTGAGTCTTAAATGAGTTTAATCCCGTAACCATTCTAACACAGTCTAACACCTACTGAACAAGGGACTATATTTGCTAAACAGTCGTCATGGCTTTTTATAGGCAAATTCTGATCAAGCACGGACAAAATATTACAACGGTGATCTACAAAGAGAAACCCAAATAACTCGGATGTTTCCTCCTGCAGACGGCTGAAATTATGGAGATGCGGGTGGAACAGATCGAATTGTGGGATCCGATTTACGTTATTTGCACTACGAATCCGGAATGATTTTTTAACTTATCCATTGTGTTTCCGTCAGACTTTTAAATCTTTTGCGCTAACTGAATCTGTGATTAGTGGTTCTGGCTCCGTATGTTTGACTGCTGCGTGCCATGCTGATGCGATCAAATCCGCTGCTTTTTCGCCAACCATTATTGTTGGTGCATGTGTGTTACCGCTGATTATCGTCGGCATGATTGACGCGTCGGCCACGCGCAGATTTTTGATTCCTTTAACCCTAAAGTTTGAAGATTTTGAATGTAGTTGAATTACAAATTAAATGTGATTGAATTACGAATTAAACAGTTTTGTACTACTACCTTAATTTCGGATCGACTACTGTGCGCGTATCGTTGACATCTCCCATCCGGCATGTTCCCACTGCATGGTAGGCCGACCGCGATGCGAATTTGATAACACAGGCATAGAACTCTTCGGTACCGGGAGGAATGGCAGCACAACGAGGAAACACGGGAAAATTGGGAGTTGTTCCAATTTTGGCAAATTCGGGGAATTTATGAAGAAGTCGGCAATGTATTTAAAACCTGTATAAGTAAATTATGATTTCAGCAATATATACAGCAATCAGCAGTAATCCATGAAGGAGTATCCCTGCATGCCTAATTTGCCTTATAGGTAAGTATATTGTATGCGACATCCATATCTTCCTTAGAGGTAATAGATTATACGAACTGTGCTCGTACTGTCTGTATTTCTTTGTCAGCTCGGTTATGAATAAAAATAAGTAATTTAACGGTTTATAAGAGACAGTAGACACGCACCTTTTGCATAAACCATAACATCAATTTCATCAGACAAGAATCTCGGATCGATCACTGGTGACGCCAAAGGATCTGCACTAGACAGTCGTATGCTTCCTCTGGATTTTGGATGAAGAAACAGTGGCGAAATTATGAAACCAGGCTTTTGCATGTTTTCAGGGGTGTTATAGTATTGTGGAATGGTCTGCAATGAAGTTTAAATAGCAGCACAGTTAATAGTTATTAAGATGCCATCAGTAAAGATTTAAGTCTTCACCTCAGGAGCCATGTTTTGTCGCAAAACCAACTCATGAGGCGGAAATACAGCGGTGTTTACGATTGCGGCCTGTATGTGTGGAAATGAATCGGGTGTGCCTGGAAACTTTTTCGCCAGCTCAGGAATGCGAAAAAATCCAAAGCTTACTACATTTGACATGGAAAATAATCCTGCAAGAATCATTACAAAATGTATGATTTCGAAAGGTCAGTCCGTATGGTCAGCCCATATATATGGTTTAGTCGCGGATTGGTACTTACCGGTACCATTGGCAGCATACTGCTTCATTTCGTCAACACTGGCGTAATCCTCCAAAGTCATGCCCATTCGCGAATCGTTACACGTGAAAACCATTTGAATTTGCAGATGATCTTGTAGATTGCGCCCCACGCCAGGTAAATCAGATAGAACTTCGATCTAGAAGACAGACACCACAAGGTCAACGTTGCCATGCTGCGCTGCGCTGTCTGTATCCGAAATTCTCACGCCAAGAGCTTCCAGTTCTTCTTTTGGTCCCAGACCGCTGAGTAGCAGCAGCTTAGGTGAATTCAATGCACCGGCAGATACGATGACTTCCTTACGCGCATTCACGGTTTTCACAACGGATGATGCACGACCATCGGCTACCATAAATTCCACACCAGTCGCTGTTTTTGTTACTGCGTCAATAATGACTTTCCTCACTTGGGCATTGGAGACAATACGGAGATTTTTGCGATGGCGAAGTTTTATCGGTCGGATGTAGGCCTGAGCAGCCGAATAGCGATAGCCATCATAGGCATTGACTGTGGGAAATACAGATAGACATTTTTTATCCTTTGTATCTGTATAGTGGTATTACACTGGTATATTTAAGTTTTCATCATATGCATCTGTAGAAGTATGCTAAATTATGTCTTTTGTTATCGCAGATGGTATTTTTGATTGATTTCGGGCATTTAAAAAAACAAAAAGTAATACTTGACCTAACAAACCATACAGGATTATATCATGTTGTTAAAGTGTTATACAGAAAGGTTATTAGGTGTACAATACAATACTGCCCGCACGTTTTAGAAATTTCAGACTTTATTACGTTTCAGAAACAGCCCGTACTTTGAGTAGGAGCAAAACCAAGCTGGTTTTCTCCATTGCTGTCCGGGTTGTATAAATTTTGATCCTTAGCTGCTTTGAACAATACATCCGCTAAAAAGACGCCCTCCTTAGGATTGTCCACAACTCGCAAAGGTCCATGTCGACCGTGAAGCCCTTTTAATATAATTAACTGATTTAACGCCAGCAAGATATAAATATATCGTACTGCACAAGTATAAGATACGCAAGCATGTAGATATAGATATGCACATGCCAGTGTATACCGTATGTTGTAATTCCTTTGCGTAATTCCTTTGCAGTTTGCACACTACTAATTGCCTACCGGTTTGTATATAATCGGGATTAGCGTTGCGCTCTGATTTGAGAAAATATGGCTTGACATCTTCCCATCCCCAGCCTTCGGCACCCTCTCGTTCCCAGATGTTGTAGTCCTCGTGATTCCCTCGAATGTATAGCAGATGGTTGATCGAACTGGTGCCGCCCACCACTTTGCCAGCTGACATAAGATTTTTCTATAGAACAACTTTTTATTATTTTTATCTGTGGTTCAAAGTTCAAACTAACATGACGTCGTAATAGAATCCTGCAGGACTATAGTAGCTACTCCTCACAACGAGCAGCGTTCGACATAATTATGCCGCTTTCATTACTGATTCCACCAATAATACATATACATACTGTACACTGTACAGCTACAATATCTACAATATATAGATATTATAATACAGGCATATATTTTGCTACTGTAAGCTAAGTATTCATGCTTATAATTAGGGTGATCTTACTCGACCAATCAAGCCTTCGCCGCTATAATCCTGCGGGACGGTCATTAAGTTCCAGTCGAGGTTGGTCGCCTGCGGATCCGCAATATGTACAAAAGGAAATGTATGACTAAACTCTTCTCCGGGACCAGCTTCCAGTAGGAGGACTCTCCAGTTATGGTTTTCCGCCAATCGGCTAGCGATAACACATCCAGCTGTTCCTGCTCCGACTAAAACAATCGCCTTCCTTTAGTACGTCCTTCCTTCCATTTATACAAAACAAAACGAAACGCCATTTCTGCTATTTGCTATGTAGCTTATGGCTTTATGAGAAGGAAAATCTCGAATCGCTTTCAGGACGCAGCGAATGCTGCTATCAGGTTACGCTTTGCATAGAAATAAGCAACTACGACCGGGTGCAGCGCTTACGTTACAGTGTACAGACACAATAAAATTCTTGTTTTTTTTTTAAAATGAGTAATTAATTAGTGTGAAAGAGCTACATATTTAGGTTGTTTTGTCGTTTTTGTATCCAAACGGTTATTGGCATTCGCCCAGGTAGATAGACAACGTAAACGCAGCCGAATCAAACCAGCAGCACAATCAAGTATTTTGCATGTAGCGTAACAGTACTTATAGATTAAATTCTGCCCCTGTCATTTTCTAATCAAGCAAAGAGTTTGCTTCGTTTCACAAAATTTTGACGGTTCAGAGAACTTAATTTTGACGACGGAACTTAATTTTGGTGGTTCAGAGATTATATACGTACAGCTCACTTTAAGTATTTAATTACAGAACTGGGCAATTATTGTTCTGGCACAAATTTTTTGCAAGGATCTAGTCTGTAGATTTTGAATATTCGTAATTATTACTGTATTACTGTATATTATTTGTAAGTAAACCAAGACGATAGAAATTCATTTAAAATATTGCCTGGTATTGATGATGCTCGATTAAACATAAGTACAGTATCTATGAAATAGCTATAGAGTATTTTCGCGATACCCTAAAACTCCCATCGCATCCAGTGCAGCAAACGGTTGCTCGTTCGGCAGGCATCCAAAATCAGATACGTATAACGAAATGCCAATCAAGGTCATGGTGAATACAAAACCTTTGGTCAGCGTCTTAAGCGAGAGTAATTTGAGACAAACGGCATCAGCGAAACACTTACACTTGGTTGCTTGTTCTTAACTATTGACGAAGAGTTATTTACCGACGATGAAGTCGAATTCCTCAGTGCTTCCTTGGTGATCATCTGTGGCATTAGATAAAAAAGCCGTTGCAGCAGATTCCACGGGCACACGCAAATTCAGTCTCCAAAACGCAATGCGATCCGCTAACAGCCAAAAAACCGATAAAAACTGCGAAAATAACATTTTGTATAGTTGATATGCGATGCTGCCGGCAGTAATACGAAGACTAAGAAAACCAGCTAATACGGTTTGGTCTGGTTTGATGTGCACAACGATTTGATTTGCATGCAGTTCCGTATCACCGAGAAAACCAAGGCGCCATTTTTATGATATAGTCATACACTAACGAACGTGATTCCGAGGATTATGAAACAAAAAATTTGCAAAAAGTAATTAGTATTAGTAACTGCATCCTGTACTGCGCATGCGAATTATATGGTCATGATCCGCAGCCAACCGGCAAGTGAAATTAGCGCACGTTTGGTGAACGAAAAGCGCACCTTATAAACGCCAGCGAAATCGCAAGTGTTTGCTACGCAGCAGGTGGGAAGTCGTCACTGGCTGAGTCAGTATAGTCGGTACACATTGGGTGATGCAAGGAAATCTGAATTACTGCACAGTTCTATGCATAAGATTTTCAGTTCCTAACTGCGATTAAATATGATTTTAATTACTGCACTCGTAGCTAAAACGGTCAGCTTGAATTTTTTTATTATGTACTTGATGATCTGCGTCTGAAGACACTTTTATTCCTACAACATCGATGAGTGATAACAAAAATTAATTATATCATACAGAGATTCGGCATTTGCTCACAAACAGTGAATTCATCGTTTTCAAATTTTTATTTCTGTTTCGAAGTTGTAATTTACGCACAGCGGTTTGATGTTGGATCAAACTAACAGCGCCCAAAGACTCATAAAATTATTTGAATATAGATATTATTAAACGAAAATTTAATAAAGCTTGCATGTGGACTTGACCGCAGTTACGTATAGGTACAATCAGCTGAATTACCACTTTCCTAGGCAGCGTTTTGCTAAGTAATATAATTTGTTCACTACATTACTGAATACTGTAATATTAGGAACTCACGATTTTATTCACATCGGCAAGAACTGTTTACCGAAACTCGATCGGAAGTATGGCACTAGGGTCACACTTCTGTTGATCTAACATTAACGCATTAACGTCTTCTGGTAATGAAATGATAAAATTCATCTAAAAATTCAGATCTTACGCCGAAAAGAAAACAAGAAAACACAACAAAAAAGTTTCTGGATCACTCTAACAAAAACGGACATACGGAAATTAAGGTAAAAAACAGGTAAGGATGAGATCCAATGACATAGAAATGTCCAGAGAGATCACAAATCAACCCAAGCCAAGCCACCTTCTTTTCGACGGAGATTATTTGTGCGCCGCAATCCGGCAGACTTCGAACGAGCGGCACCCAACTTCCAGGGACGGTTGTCCTGACTAGACGGAGGAGCAATGTCCCACGCCAAAGGTGCTCTAGTCGTTTCGTTTTTTTTCCCGGTATTACTCGCACGACCTTCACCTGCATTACGGTAAACCACAACGGTTACTTCCCTCATAGGAAGAGTGCAACAAAACAACGTACCATATCTAATCGTTTCACGCTTGGGCGGCGAGATTGTGAAGGCACTAACCGGCAGTACGTGTCCTGCTCGTTTTACTTGCTGCAAATTGCTGCCACTTCCGCTCTCTTCTAAGAAAACAAAACATACCGCTGTATCTGTTGCTGCGGATGTGACGCAATTACTATGCGGTAATGTTTGCAGTTGTAAGACAATTCGTTTACATGACCGATTTTAAGAAAGAAAAACGAAAGTCGCACCTCTTTCATCACAAGGTCAAGGTTAAAACAATCAAAAGATTCTTTCGATCGACAGATGCATAAACGCTCATTCGTGACATACAACCGCAACTGTTTTGCGTTAAACTAACAATAAGCCTTACATCTCCATGCGTGAATTTGGAGTTATACAGCTTACGCAGTCGCATTTCGTCCTTTGCCGCTTCCGGTCTTCTGGATTTCGTCGACTGTGGCCTCGGCCGCCGCTCCGTGGTTGTAATTGCGGGAACATTCGTTGAGCGGGCTTCCTCTGCGACATTCGACCCAGCACCGGCAAGTCTGTACGTATTGCTGTGTTTATTCACGGAATTGACACTTTTATCACTCAGGGAACTCCTTGGCCGATTCTAAAAATTTGCAGGGATTCGTGAATGTTGATGCATATTACAGAAAACACAACATGTTCTCACATTCAGTCCGGTCACACTGGAGGTTGAACGACGCATGCCCTCCCCATCGAGAGAACGGTTTAAACCCGATCTGAGCGAAAAACTTCTCGGCAAAGTTGCGCTGAATAAAATATTATCCTTCGCATCCACATATTTCGCTTTTCGCAAAATATCTAAACGACTGCTGTCCAAGAGAGGCCCAGCTTTTGGCACCTCTTCATCAGCATCATTTTGGTCATCATTAAGCGCTATAAAAACCGGTGAATCACAACAACTTCACAAAACCGCAAAACCAGCAGTTTCTTACTGGGTGCGACAGTCAACATAACCGGGTTAAGATCCTTGTCTGAGAGGGTTTGGGTGGATTGAGAAATACTTTTGGCGGTTAACAAAGGACTGTTTGTTTGCACAGCCACTGAAGCCGAATCTGCGAAAACACGCCACTCATCTACTCACGTCAAAAAGCCAACATCTTGACAATATGAATACGGAAGTGTCCATACTAGGTCGACGATCGTTGCTGTCAGCAACCACAACCGTAGAGGGATGGACTGCATTCCGAGGATCATCGCCACCATGTTTTCTGAAAGCACATTTTCTATGCAAGTGTGAAGCGAATTGCACTAAAGTTTTACAGAAAAATAACAGAAGTATTAGTATAACAAAAGGATACCCCAAACAGAGCTTGAATGAAGTTAATTGCAGTTACAACAGTCAACAGATTACATTTCCGAAATATACGTAAACACATTCCCATGTTGCAAAAATAATTTAATAATTCGATGGTCGAAGCGTTAGCAGTTTCCACCCATGGTGGAAACGAAACCACAGGACCCTCTTACAGCCTTTTTATCTGGCAACAATAAAAACTGCCGCTGTGGACTCTCACGTTCTTGAGTGAGAAAATCCAAAATCAGCACTCACTTTAAAAGCGGTTTACAAAGCATATGTAGCGGTAAACTGTTATCAAGGCAATTTTTCAACAGAACTGCTAGGCGGTGTATGGTTTTGTATGGTTTTGATTTTTGACTCACTGTCAGTAAACGAACCTGTAAGCTAACGAAGGTATAACTCCATCATCTGGTAAAACGCGCAGAATTTCAGCCGGTTCCCAGAACGCATTGGCTCGAGACGGTATCTGCAGAAGATGCTCCCGTGAGAAGTGATCACCACGCAGCTTCGCTTTGTTTTCTAAAGCTCTTCGACGAGTATCCTGCAACTCGTGCAACCATTCATTTTCGGTTTTCACCTACAACACCGGCATTTCCAAATATTGTCGCACTACATATTCAAGAAAAGTCAGGAAGTCAACTCACCGAACGCCGCGGCACCCAAGTGCCGTTCACAAATCGATATGTCTCAAATGGCCGAAAAGACCTTTCGTATTCCGATAGCAACCTGCAATGAGCACCGGAAAATTAAAGCACCACCAAAATTCGACAAAAATCAGTCGCAATCCATTCCATTACTAAAAAAAAGCTTTATTCATAACGGCTTAATTTAACGCAGCTATTTCTAAAATCCCGTTCCGGTTTACAAAGCAGCTTACTGCCAAAAATAACGAGTGATAAGACACGGCAATATGAAACGAATATTACGAGAAGCTTGTCCTTATGCTTACTCTTGATGAAACGGCGTTGCACGTAGGGGCAAGCACCTTAATGGTTCCGCACTGGGCTTTCCACTAGGGGCTATAACCGGAACTGTGAAATATGAAGTTATTATTAAAGCTTTATTACTACCAGGTGTGCAGTCGGCAGACTCGGCACGCGTTACGTTTTCTAGTTCTTCCAAAGAAGACCTAACTAATGTCAATCGTGCACTAATTATATTTCATGCTGTCGTCGAACACACGACATCCACTAGTACCGACATAATTAAAGATGGTCGTACAATTAATGTTTAAAACGGCGTAGTAGATACGTACTTGTTACGCCATTTGCAGGCATTCTTAGGCTGGGCATATTCGATTGCTACGCTCCGGTCATACTTATCTAAAAAAACGGGGGTTCGGCTCTCGCGCTCGTATCGCGGGATCCAGTCATCCAGATTTAAGAACACTGTAAGCAGTACTTTGTTATTCCATATACACACTCCGAAATTCCACAGAATACGCTGATACGGTCAGATAGTATAGGTGCGCTACTGATTCACAGCGCATGAATTAGCAGAATTGCGACAACAGAACAAAGCACTAGAGTAAGCTTTAAGTTTTATATTAGACCTGCATGCCTTGAGTAGATCCAGTTGTCCACTGTCATCCCATTCAGTTTCACACGTTCAGAATTCAAACCTTTTAAGACATCCGTACGAAAACCGTCGGACAGGAAAATCCTGATTCTCTGAGCCGTGCTATTTCAGGCTATACGCTGAGTGAAAGCATTCGCAACTGTCGCTTGTGCGTCGGTACCAATGCCGTTAATAGGTACGTGGAAATCATATAAACCGATAAAAATTTCTTTTCCCGTATTCTGATTATACTATAACTATCAGTATTCAGTAGCATCTCCACCTGAGACAAAAAAAGTACTTACTTATTATGAAAAATTATTAAAAACCACAAATTTTATAATCAAATTACAGGTAGAAGGTGCTTTCGCTACTCACTACTCGCTAGCAAGCGGAACCGGAAGCACAAATTCCCCAACCGCAACAACCGACTAGGAAGGCGGTTACTGTACCAGTTAGCAGCTCGGCTTTTCGAAAAACTCAAGTACGTACTCCCAAAACAAATTATTAATAAGACTCAAGGATTAAGACTGATTAATAAAGTAATAACCATTCAACTTAAGGCTTCGTTTTATGATTTACGAGTAACTGGTTATTTGATTTTAGAAAATCTACCCGTATTTTGAAATTCCGGAAGACTCGTACAACTACGTTGTAAACTATGACCGACTCTAATGCCGTGGAGCACTCGCTGGTGGAGGAATACGAGAATAAGTTTGCAGACCGCTACACAGACCGTGATCAACGTTTTCAAGAATATTTAGAAGCTCCGCGTCCTAAAATTCCTGTCATTCATCCTTGGAATCCGCGCCCCAGGTTTCGAGAAGATGGACCCGAGCCCGTGCAAACCAAACGGAAACGGGAGGAAGACGATAACACCTGAAAGTCATACGGGTACCTTATTAAATTCTGTTACTGGATACTGGATAGTTTAAACTGGATTCTGTGAAGTGTGAACCATTACCTGCTCGTCCTGAAATTCCTGTCATTTATCCTTGGAATCCGCGTCCCTGGTTTCAAGAAGATGGACCCGAGCCCGTACAAACCAAACCGAAACGGGAGGAAGATGATAACACCTGAGAGATCATGCTTTTCAGATTTTCGCTTATTTTCGGTTTACTGGATTCTGTGAACCGTAACATGATTTGTATCAGAATAACGTAATATTATTTTTCTCAGCAAAGTTTTTAGTTTACGCAAATTTTGAATGGGAACAATAATAAATTTCTTTGTTTTTTGTAATTATTTGGTCCTGTTTTGTGGATTTTTTACGTATTTAATTAAAGGCATGCTTACGCTTGATCTTCCTCTTCCTAACTTCCCAAACGAATACTTAATAAATGACCGTGGCGTCACGTACTGTACTATCCCTTTCCTCAAAATGAGCGGAAACTGTAGCGCACCGTCGCATACGTGACCTACTCGGGGTAGCGATGAGAAGGTTTTATGCGTTCACAGCACGATGCTCTCTCTCCCTTCACTTCATCAGTTGGTCGGTTCAACTTGGTTGCTCGTATCCCTGTAGTGCACAGTGCACACATTTGGATCTTAACTCTTAAGGCTTGTTTTTTACACTTTAAGCATTGTGGAGTTTACGTATAATTAATCTGCAGGCTTTTATCTTTTGTGTCACATTTTTTCATTTGTTCGTGGGGTTGACAAGCACAACGATTTACGAAAGAGGATTGTGTAAACGGGATTAGGTGAGTACTCCGTTGGTCGTTGGTCATAAGTTGTATGTCAATGTGGGTACTGGATCTTATTAGGATGTGCTGGGAGTCGATATGAGTAAGCTTTCGTAGGTCGGTGTCATTGTTAGGCCGCGCTTTGGTAAGATTCTTGTGATAAAAAGAAAAATTCTAAATTTAAAACAGCATTATATGCCCAGGCAGCCGTTAAAATTGCGAGTATCGACTGAGTTTCTGTTTGTACCCTGACAAGTGATTGATTTGGAGTTTGTACCGTTCTGAGTCCGCATTTGCAGCGCTCTGAATATTCTGCTGTTACTGATCAGTTCGTTATGCCGTTCAGTACAGGGAATTGTCAGAATGGGATGTTTCTATCAGTTTGGTGTTGCTGTGGTGAAAATTTAAAGTGTTTTGACATTTGATTCATTTTTATTGTGACTTTACGACGCATCATGCCTTATGAGACTATTTTGGCTCCTTTTTTGTCCTGTGTTCGCGATCTCAGTGTAGAAAGATGTCTATTATTAGTAAGTTATTTGCGCGTTGTTATTTCGGAGCCTCTAAAGCAACCAGCAATGAGGAACCCGTGTGGGGGAAAGGCTCTGTCAACACTCAGTCAACAGCTGATGATGAAAGCCTAAAAGCCCGAAATATTGCTAGTTTTGACCGTAACTTCGAGTTACCTTGCTGGGTTTATTATAATACGTCTGTCGAGCATTCAGGATGGAGTTTTTGGTTTAGCAAGCAGACGTTCGCTTAATCTTTTAATTTTTGTGTCGTTTTTTTGGAGCTGGGCTGTTGTCAGTTTCCGCTTTTATATCTCCCTTTCGCACATATCTGTTTTCTTTTTTCAGGTGCAATGTGAATCTGAATAAAAACCTGAGAGATCGATGGCACGAAACCGTCGAAAAGGTGGGATCTGTAGTGATTACCAACGATTTACCGTGGGTTAATTTTTAATACTTAAAATTGCTCCTTTGAGTGCTGTTTTTGGAATAGGTTTTCGTTGGTCAAGGCAAAATCGCGACCGTCCACGCCGTCTGAAGAAGCATAAAACAGGTTCGGACTACACCTATGACGCAAATGATGCTGGGTAAGCCTAAAATTTTTTTTAAATGTACCCAACGATTCGATTGATTTCTGATATTTTATTTTTAGAAAGTTAGTTATTACAGTCAGTTGTTATTTCTTTTATGCTGGATTATCTTTTTTGATATAAGTCTTCATCCAAGTGTTCTTAATTTTTTAATTCAGGGAGCCTATGTTATCTTGGGCCCAGGCCCAGCAAACGGTCAAGCTTGTGCGAGGCCAGTCCTTTGATCGCTTTACGATAGCGACGGAGTTGGCGTTAAAACCAACCCATTTACCACATGGCACACCGAAGGAAAAGGTGCCGAGGGTTTCGAAGAAGACCAGTGCGGCTATGCCTGCGTCCAAAGACTCTTTTGAACCCGTGGAGCCTTTCCAGAAGCAGGTTGATCATGTGTTGGCTCCCCCCGATGCTCAGCAAGAATCCTACGTTTGCGATGAAGAGGTACTGGAAAAAAGATGAAAAAGTTTAAATTAATTGATTCCTATTTTTTTGCTATAATAATTTGTATGTTTATAGGACCACGAAATGCTGAAATTAGTCAACAAAAAGCAGCGGTTCAACAAATTTGGACAGATCTCTAGGGAAACATTTGAGGAAGTAATTACGCAGTTGGAGCAGGAATCGATAAAGAATGTGAGTCCGGAAGCTGTACTGCCAATGTTCTGTTTGCAATTCATCCCATTTTTTTAGCGAGGCGTTAATACAAGTTTTAATCTGCCCGTGGACGAGGATGCCGTTTGCTCAGTTTGCCAAAAAGGGGACTGCGATAATACCAATATGATATTATTTTGCGACGTGTGCAATTTAGCTGTTCACCAGGTACAATACATTCATGTGATATGGCGGGCATTGTTTGTAGTGTACTTATGCACTTTTTATATATTGTGAGAAATGAAAAGAACTGCGACATTTTCCGCGTTTTTTGCAGGAATGTTACGGTGTACCATACATTCCAGAGGGACAATGGCATTGTCGACGATGTACTCTTGGTTCGGGATCGGCACAGTGCCTGTTATGCCCGAATTCGGATGGCGCTCTGAAGCAGACGGAAGACGGCCATTGGGCACATGTTATTTGCGCCATGTATATGCCGCGAGTAGCTTTCAAGAGTCTCCAGCTGCTGGAGCCCATCATGAATATCGATAAAATTGAGAAATCTCGCTGGAAATTAAAGTGCGTTGTGTGCAAGGCTCAGCCCGGATATAAAAAGGAGGACCATGGTGAGAGTTTGTAGTGTCACTTATTAATACTTCCATAGACATTTTTATTTATTCCAGTGGGAGCCTGCATTCAGTGCGAAGAACCATCGTGCAAAACGGCCTTCCATGTTACATGTGCTCAGAAGGCAGGTTATTCCATGGAGTTGAAACCTGTGAAAGAGGACGGAGAGGATACGGATGAGCGTGATCCGTCTGCGCAACCCGGTGTTAAGGCATTAGCCTACTGTGAGAAGCATTCAAGGCAGCAGCCCGAGAAGAAGGAGCAGAAAACTTCCGGTAAATCGGCTAGAAATATGGAAGGATCGAAAGCACAACAGCAAAGTCGTATGGACAGTTTGAAAATCGATCCTGAAAAGTATGTTTACCGTTTTTTGCAGTTACTATTCAGTCAAAAGTCAACACTGTTGGTTGTATTGAGATAATTCTTGATTGTTAATAGGTTGCTCCATATTGCTAACAGTGTGAAGCTTCAGGATAAACCGGTGCTTTTTAATTTAATTATCTGCTACTGGAAAAGCAAAAGGAGGCATAGAAATGGATTGCCTTTATTGAAGCGACCCAAGGGGCGCTGTGCAGGCGTTCAACGGCCGGTAAAGCATCGCTAGCGATCTCGCTTTAATACTCTCTTTTTAACAGTTTGATATTTCCTCTCTGTTTAACAGTTAAACAACGTTTTCATTTTGCAGATAAATCATGAAGAGTTAGAAGAATCTCGAACGCAGGTTAAACTTGCAATGCGCACAGCGGAGAAATTGCGTACGCTGATAGAACTGAAGCTGCGACAGCAGAAGAATTTTTTCCGAAAGGTGAAGAATTGTTTTTATGTTGTGGTACGTCTTGTTATGTTGTGATATTCCGTTACACGGAACTTACTTTTGCAGGATAAGTTGAATGATGTTAGGCAGTGTTTTGCTGTAATGCCTCTGAAATCTGTCCTGCTTCATCTTCTTGGCCGGTTGAAAGCACTGGATAAGGAGGGTTTCTTTGCCAATCCGGTCACGGAAAAAATTGCCCCCCAGTACTTCTCTATCATTAAGCATCCTATGGATTTTTCAAAAGTGACCGAAAAACTGGACAACGGAAAATATGTGGATGCGGAAAGTTTCGAGAAAGATCTACATTTAATTATTGACAATTGCCTCAAGTACAACACCCCGGATACTGTCTTCCATCAGGCAGCACTACGATTTCGCGATGCGGTAAGGATACATCAGTTTGTTCTCGAAAGTGAAAAGTGTTTTTCCCTGTGAAAGTTTTTCAATGTTAGAATTTGAAATTTGAACAGGCGTTGCCTATGATGGAGACAGCGAAACATGACTATGAAAACTACCTTGATCATATCAAGGTCAACGAGCGTGACTTATTAACTTCGCCTGATCCGGGACCGGTGGCAACAGAAGCTGATCTAGGCCGCGATGTCGAAGAGGATCTGCTGAGCGAGATTTCTTCGCCACCAGAGGAAGAATCAAATCCTACTGGTAAGATCACTGAGCGCACAGCACTTCGGTTCATGAGAAACTACGACGGACTTAGTACGGAGAGGTGGTAGATCAAGTCGAGAGATGCTGATGTTTATTTTGATTTGATCGTACCGCTACCAAGTCTATGTAATATATAATCTAAAAATATTATGGCAATTATTAGTGGCTGAGTCCTCGGCAAGGATACGAACGTCCGAAAAGATGGTGCTAGAGAAGCTCTACCGAGCTCCTCTCTGGATATAGAATCTCCCATCAACAATGGATTATCGAGTTCTGCATCATCACATAGTCCAACGAATAGTCGCCTGATACCCTGCAGTCCGCGTTCTCGCAAAACGCCCCTGCCTGTAGATATTGTGGAGGATAATCACCACGAGGACGATCTGGGTAGCCCTTCCCGGAAACGGGCTCGCATAACCCCCGCCGAGTCTGAAGACGCGATAGTGAATGGTAGCCAAGTTCCTGCTCCTTTTGTATTCCCAACTGCCACGTTACCGTCTACTATGATGAATTACCGTTCAGGTAGATTTAGCCTTGTTGCTTAAAGTCTAATTGCCATATAACATATTTCGTATTTTGTGTTATTAGCAGGTCGCCTTAATGCCATGGCCTCGGAATCCGAGCTGGATCTTCCATTTCCTTCGGAAGATTCTACTGATCTCGCTTCTAGTGACTACGATCTGGATTCGGATGGTCCGGCACGCCATTTGAGGCGCAAGCGTCCGCATCGTAATATATACACTAGGGAATATTTTGAAATACGACCGCGAGATTTTGTTTGGGCTAAGGTCATGGGGCACGCGTCCTTCCCAGCTATTGTGAGTTTCGCTAGAAGTGCTGTCTCTCACGTATGTTGTCTATAATGTTTTAATGCTTTAGGTTGTCAGTCCATTAGCTAAAGCGGGCTACTGTTTGGGCGACGGTACGGAATTTGTTAAGTCCCCGCCTCGTGAAATCCTCAACGAACGGGAAAATCTGGAAAAGAAATCCGGGAAAGAGGATCTTTTCTTGGTGAATTTTTTCGATACCAAGCGGAAATGGTAAGGATTCTAAGTTCGAAAAGATGGTGGGGGATAGTTTGCGATTGAGATTCAATCTGCCTACGATTGATTGTGGTGTTGTGGTGGATGGGTGCCTGATTGCTCGTAATAGGGAATGGTAATTGCTGAAGCTTTGAACTTTGTTATTTCTGAAGGGTTTGGATTACGAGGGATAAAATGGATCTCATGCATGTCGACCGTAACAAAGATCAGCTCAAACTTAACGAATCAAAAAAGGTTGCCGAGAAAAGGAATGTGAAGAAAGCCTATGATTTAGCGCTCAAATATTTGGAATTGGCTTCACCGTCGACATCTTACGTCCGCACTGAGGCACCCATAAGAAGAGGAACGCCGATGGATACCGATGCTTCAGGAATGGATGATGTATGAACTGAACTTCTCCGTGCATTTTTTGTTTTGGTAACCGCTAACTTATTGATTTTATACCCTTCGCTTTCTTTGGATGATGCAGAAGTGTTCCTGCGGTTTTATTGCACAACTATTTGAATTTTGGTTCTCTTTTCCGTTTTCATTTGTCTCTTTCAGCGTTTTACTTGTTTTTTTTACCGGGAGTATTCCAAGGAAAAATAATCTATTTAATTGCAAACCGAGTCGCAGACGAGCGTTTGTGCAAATTATTTGCTGTATATGATGACTGTATGTTTTTTGAATTATATGTACAAAAATGTTTGGAGAAAAGCTGAATAAACAAAATCCTACTGTATTGCATAAATTTGCAAGTACGTGGACAAATTAATGTTAAAAGCACCTTACTATATAAACATATATTCCATATATATTCTATATCGACAATACAAGTATACAAATTCTATATATATTCTACCCTAGTATACAATACAAGTATACAAATTCTATTCTATATGTATAAATATAAGTACGTAGAAATGTAAGTCAAACTCCAAAATGGACATTTCCGCGGCTTTAATTCATATAAGACGGACAGACAGCGCTTACTCCAGGAAAGAACATCTTTATGAAAAATCGCAGACAGAACAGCAGAAATGTTTACTCCCGACGCTAGAAAATTCTTTACTGGGGCTTCTTCCTGAACGAACAGCCTGAAAACAAAGATAAGTGCGTTTCAAATAGTACACAGGCACTTGAATTTAATGATCAGCATTCAGCGGCAGATAAGCAGGTTGTTTTTTTACGGGGTTTACCTTCAGTTAGCCTTGCCTTCCCTCCCGTTGGTTGGCAGAGGATCATGGAGCAACCAACACAGCAGACAACTGTCTGTGCATGACTGAAGACAGTGGTGATTTTATAACAACCTACGAAGATCGACAATTTCAAATCTGGATACCACATAAGTGACGTGACATAACCCTAACAAACTTTACGATCTAATCATTCTAATGTCAGTGAATATCCAAAAGCAAAATCACCAATATTTAATAACACTCACTTAAATTTAGGATTTGGCTGCTTAAAATACTGATAGTAACTGCAAGTTAATAATTAGCAAGTACACCGTACACGACTGTAATAATAAGTAAAATTATACGTTTTCTGTTTTCAAAGTATAGTCACTATAGTCACAGTATAGTCACAGTATAGTGGGATCCTTTCAGGTTTAAACTATTCTGAAAGTCTTTACCTGGGCATTTTACATCCATAAAATATGAATTAGGGTGTTGAACCAATCGTTTTAATTTGCATTTGCGCTTTTCCTCTTCTGCGGAAGGATGTAACAGATCCTTTGCGAGCTGAAAGTGAAGACAAAATAAGAAACCGTGTTAATATCACCGAAGGTCCTCCAATCTTGCAACCTCCAATGTGCCCGCATTACTTACCGGCATGTTTTTGAGATACTGCAAGGGATTTGTGCAAAAATAATCCCAAAATTATCCAAATAAATAATCAGAAAAAGATAACTTTGTCTTTTCGCAGTATGTGTAGAACCGAAAAAAGAAAGTGCTTTCCGATTTAATGGTGATAAGCCGCTGCCGCCGCAATGCAAGGACTTGTTCGGTCTTATATAGAGTTGTACAGATTATTCCATGCGTTGCGTTCAGTTTACGCGCCGGCTCTGACATCATCGAATCAAAGGGTTGCCGACCAATAGGAACTAGCCTAACGCCCTGTTTAAAACAGCCAGCGAATAATGGTCCTACGAGAAATTTCGAACTTAACAACGGACGAAGTAGTACGTGTCTGCACACATGCCCATATGCCCTGCTTCGCGGAATAAAATTAGCGCCCTACGTTGATGGGTCGCATCTGTTACTGATAACGCCGTCGAGACGAAAATAACCAGAATTACGATTACGAAATACCAACTTCCGTTCGTTATTCGCATTGCTCCAGAGTTCAGTGTTGTGCCTTATGCTTAATAAGTCAAAAGAACAACGTATTAGGGGAACGTTGATTAAACTGTTGTTGTTGGTACTTAAACTGTTGATACTTAAACTGTTGTTGTTGTTAAACTTTCGATACATCATGAACCGTGCCTGATTAAAAGAAAATTTAGTGACTGACTAACTGCTATTAGAGGGCGTAATCAAATTAAAAGTCGTCGTTTGGTTCGCTTAATTGTGCACACTGTACCTATATGATCGTGAGGATCAAGCCGGCACGTTACTCACTTCCGTGTGAATTTTCTTCCCAAAGTCTGGTACTGTACCGCATTAATCTAAAGTTAACCGGAGATCAGAAGTCGTACGATATATCGATATCGTTGCGAACCAGCTGTTTCGATTTACGAATTATACGTACCGTACAACAACGTTGTGCTATTGTAGTTTTCAATATAATAAGTATCTATAGTCGATAACCATAGTACAGTACATACAGTAACAAAATGTACCGTTTTTGATCACACATTATTCCTTAACTTCTTTATTGACCAAATCCTTTACAATCGTTACGCTGAACTACCTTTACAATCGTCAATCAACAACAACTTCCACAACGGCTAGAAACAGTCCGAAATTCGGCGCTGACAAATGCGCTACATATGCATTGTTAGTATTAACAAATTATAAAAGGTCACAATCCAAATCAACCATCCAACCGCTGACGTACGGTTTTTAATGTGGATTGGTCATTAGAGTAGAGCTTTCTGATGGTGGTAGGCTTTGCCCAAACAGCGTAGTAAACACGAAATGCAAGTGCGAACTGCAGGCTTAGCAGCGTAGCGAGCTGCGCAACCACTATAAATAGAAGGGTCACTTTACATCAACAGGAGTCTGGGTCCTGGTGAATATGGACAAATAACAATTATTACGAAAAGTTAAGGTTGAAACACGTGTTTAATAACCACGCAGACCTGGCCAGTTGAAATTGTTAACTGGCCAGATGAGTTTTGAATTCCCATTTTGCCATATACATATAGTCATATAAACAATACCTCGGTCATGGTCATCTTAACGTAACCAACTTGGGAAGGGTCTTTGCGATTGAATATGCCTGTAAAAAAGGAACATCTTGTACAAATAAGTTACAAAAGCAGTCAAATGTTTTGCACAAATACTTATTCACGAATTACTCGTATCCTGTGCAGCAGGTATGTAATATACGAGTATAACGCAGCGTTTGTAGATCAAATTAACACAGTATCTCCAGGTACTTCTAAGTTCTACTTAGGTAGACTAGCTATCAATGAGCGATCGTGCGTAATAATTACTACTTCTATACTTACTAAATGCGGTCTGCAAATGGAGTATGCAGGTAATGAAATCTCCAAACCTAAAATTACGGCACAATGCATCTTAAAAATTTTCAGGACGATAGTGCAATTCAATTTTATGGGAGGAAGGATGTCGTGCTGACCTTAGTAGACCTTCTTTTCGCATGTGGCGGAGCATGAGCAATGATAAAATGTCCGAGTTTAGTTTAAAACCTGCAATTCCAAGGACACTTTGCTAATTAAAATCTAATTCGGATTATTATGCGAAAGCCAAATACGCACCCACATCTGCTAAAGCATCCTTTAGCTTCTCCGCTGGTAGAACCGCGCCGTTACAGTGCGTTTTAAATATGCTCTAAAAAAGATAGCCACTTGTTAATAACGCTTAGAAGAAATGAAATGCTGTTGAAGAATTTCTTTTATTGAATAATTACGACACTCAGACTTTTGCGCCAGTTAATTACATAGTACATAGATGACTTTTCGCTCACCTGCCATATTCTTAAATTATGAATGAAATCTCGAAAGCTCTGGAATGTTAAACGACCTCCACCAAACGGCTGCAAATTGATAGGAGATAGTAACGATCGAGTTTAGAGGAACAAATGATTGACGGAGTATCTGAGTGATACTACCAGTGATAGCCATACATTAAACGCCAAGACAACTTCTCGGCAGCATTCCGATGTGGCGCAGCTCTTCACATAATCTGACAACAAAACACATCATCGCGGATTTAGGACACCCCGGTAGTTTCGTTTTGAGATCTTATTAATTCTCACCATTTGGTAAAACAGCATCCAACAGCTCGGCCAAATCGAATGCACTGATGGTTTTACGCTCATCAGCCAGCTGTAAAAATGCCGCTTCGAATACTTTCATGTACACCTTCTCGCCGTTGTCGTTTGCCGCCTAGAAAGATGACAAAATCATTATTATTGTCAAAAACTGCATCTGTCACACAGCAGTAAAATATTTGCGATACATTCAGAATATCAGATGTATCAGTATGTACAAAGCGAGTATTGTCCACATCACGCATAATAATCTCTTGCGGAGGATAAATCGGACATGACCAGCGGATGTACGTAGCAATAGGATGACCAGCGTTAAAATTAAAATCGCATTGCGTATGTTTCAGACAGTCCAGTAAAGCCTTAAGCATTCTGATTGTTCACAGCACATTGAACTACCGCACGAAATTTTCAAATTTAAGTAATTAGAAACATTTGATTTTAATTCTGAAGCTTTTATATTATTTTTATGGCTATGTAGCTATTAAAGATGTTTCCATTATAGTAGAAACATCACTTTTACCGGCATTAAGTTAAAATTAAGCTTAAGCTTAAGTCGATTTTAAAAACCACGTACTGGCGCAATTTTCACCTACCCGAAGCACAACGGGTTTTAATTGAGCAGGGACATCGTCGAGAAGACCCAAATTGACCGGGACCGAGGAATACACCCGCAGCGTAAACGCCGCTTCCTGCCCAGCTTCGAAGGAAGTGGGAATGATGACGTACTGACCAGGCTGCAGTCGACACCGACTGGTCACTTGCTGCGTATTCGTATAGGCGGAATGCAAAATAGCATGGTGTTTCTTGAAAAATTGAGCATCCAAACGACCACCTACGGACGATATCTGACAAAAACAGTGAATAATTCGACTGTTTCCGGTGAAAAGAATGCGTACAACGTGCCGGGTTTTAGCAGTTTGAAAACTATTTCTCACTGTCAGACAGGAATGGGACTCACCGCATATACAGAAAATCCCACGACTAAGGGACTGAGCACAACATGCTGGTGTATGGAGATGATAATTTCATCTTCCTCGGCAGCAATGAGCAAAAACTGGGGATTAATGTGGAATGTGTCCACGTTGTTGCGGCATCCGCCGGCTGTGACGCCTTTCTGCCAACGACCTAAAACGATGATGCTACGGATCCATTTAAACACTTGAAGCCATATGCAGACTAATTTAAGTAGTACGATGACAAATCACTTGTTTTAAACATCTTCACGCACAACATACTACACGACAACATCAGCCGTACCCTCCCAAACGCGCATCGTCCACGGCTGCTTATTCCGTAAGCTGGGCTCATCGAGGGATGTGTCGCCATCGAGATGTATCAGTTCAAAGTGGGTAAACGTGGCTAGAAAGTCTTTTTCCGTCATCCTATGCGATAAAAATAAACCCACTTATCCATTATCACCACAAGGGAAACACGGTGCAATTTGTAGCTAACAACGAATCGCTTGACCGCATGTCACTTGAAGTGTGCAAACATTGCGCATGAAGCCGGCATCTTACCAGAATTCGCCTTCTGGAACATAACCGACACCTAGACGGTCTTTCTCGTGTAGAGGATAGTCATCCCACATCGGCGGATGGGTGTAATCCGAAGTTCCCCAGGGACTTTGCAAACGAAGGAGTGAGTGGCGTTCAGCATTTTTTGCTTGCACTCGTTCGATGTTTAGGAGTCGGTAATTGCATCCCAACAATATTCCATTGTGCAGCTTGTCAAAATTTCGAAGGCCACCCTGATAAAAAATTTGACAAAATTTAATGGATCCCAGTTTATTTAATGCGTGTTTAATTTTTGGCACAAAAATGATGAAAGTGATCATGTAAATGTTATTTGTCGTCAAATCAAAAGTTTATCCCGAGCCAAATTTTTATTGTGTCTTTTATGTATTCAAACCTTAAAATTCGACCTCGATTTAATTTTAATTTTTATGTACAAAGTGTGAGGTAATTTTGTAACCAGCGTCGTGCATAAGTAAATTGAAATACTGTACTGTAAATCCTTTTCGGCTTACAATTAAGCGGATAACAAAATCATTTCAAAACCTTTAATGTGTCCGCAGTCGCCATAACTTTTGCACGGATGATAAATGAGTCAGAGCGATGCAACAGCGACCATTATTTATAACAATTTATGCACAACTGCGGACTGAGAACGCAAGACGACGACGGTCAAGAGCTGGCCGCGTATTAGCACAGCATTACCTCGTCCGACAAAGCGGCACACGTAACTATGGAGGTTTTGTTGAGGACGGTGTTAAAAACCAGATTGCACGAATCCGGTGTGATCGGTACAGATTCCGCCGCACCGCCGGTGAGATTGGCCAAACCATCGAGAATATTTCCATATTTTATAGCTTCGTAAGAGCCGTGCAGTCTATTCACGGCAATCCGCGCGACAAATGAGATTTCTTGTGGTTGCACGATATTACAAATGTGTGCAATACATAGTAATTAAGAGATGGACACCCACTTGGCGTACGCTTTCTCCAGCAATGACGGCCAGAACTGTTTGGTCTGCTGCGACTGTATGAACATCAGTCGGCCATCGACAACCGGCAGCGCATCATCCACCAACACTTCCGTCCATTCGCCGCACCACCATAATCGGAAGCGGAAGAGGCCGCAATACTGGTCAGTGAAGCTCTGGTCAGCCGGCACGACACGGTAAAATAATCCACGCGCAGAATGCAGAACACCAAACGCCGTCACAAGCCAGCGATCTCCTACCAAGCACCAACAAAATCTTATGCAGTTAGTATGCGGCTCGTGGTTTAGTTGATAAACGGCAAAAACTAAAGGCCACATACATCTTGGAAATAAGCAAAAATGCAAAATAATACTACTTGGGGAATAGATAATATTCCCCAAGTAGAATAAACTCAATTCGCGGATATAAAGATGTCATTATTTGTGCTACGCAGCGCTTTATTTATCAGCTGACGCTCCTTCTCATTAATAAACGAGTAGTGATTATTTTCAATAGATCAACATCTAGTGCAAGTTACAAAATAAGCTTAAGCTAATCACAAACGAATTACATATCCCTTGATTATCCAATATCCAAAACAGGCATTACTGAAACTGAAAGGTATTGCTGCATGATTTTAATTAGCATGCACAAGTCAGTTATTTCCTGTGTTGATTTCATTCATTGTTTCGGAAAGGTAAGATCATATTAATTACTTCTCGCTGTGCATTGGTTATCATAAAGATGTTATCATAAAGATGTTTACAAAACTGCAAACATAACCTTATGCAATGGGTAAACAAGAGCGTGCAGATTTATAGTGTCGCTGACAATACTGTGCAAACACAAAAAGCATAAAGCTGTAAAGAACAACTGTTCATATACGCACATACCGAGAGGTCCAACGGAAACGTCAAATTGTGACAAACCATCCAGAAGGAACACAGGATTCTCGTAGTTTTTTATTTCCTAATAAGGATCACAAAATTCAAGGCTTAAAAAGTGGCAAAAACAGGCCGTAACGTTACCAAACAGAAAATTAAATATCGATAAAGATATTTTAACTGCAAAAGTTACTTTAACAAACAACATTTTGCATGTACTAGTAAACAGCATACAGGATGATTTCAGACTTCCTACGTATCAGAAGTTACTTTTACTAAGCAAGATAATTATAACATAGATATCAAAAGATAATTTTACCTTCATTGATATAGTTGCACTATAAATTTTATTACAAAACTATAATATATAGATTAACTTACGTACCGCTTAGCTAAGAAAATGCTAACAAATCCTTACATGCTTTTCTAAATGCTCTATTCGATACTACTAATCCATAAAATACATATCCGGTAAAATTCTGACAAGCTCAACAACCAGAAACATTTCGATTACCTTGGGACGTTTCCACGAAAATTTATGGGATGACTTTTGATGGTAAAATACTGATGTTTGAACCGGAGGAAAATCTGGATCTTCAAAGAGTATCTGAGAATTTTTCGCACCAGCCGTTTTAAGTAATTCCGATCGAATTTCCTCGTAATCCGGCATTGTAACATTTGTGTGCATTAATAAAACTTCTCCATGTTGAATATCCTGACACACTGCGAAGATCTTCAAGTGGAAAAGTGCAACTCAACAGAAGAGTAATATAAAGTTGCCGACCTGTAAAGCGCATCAAATTCGAGCAGTGATTCGTAAAGTAAATGCTCGTAAGTCAGATTGCTCAAGCTCAAAAACAAGTAAGTGCCATATACCGGATACTCTAGTTCATGGCGAACAGTGCGAGCTATTTGTAAAAAACGAAATAAGTACTCGCACAGAATCGGTATGTGCCTTGCGGCTGTTTGACATTCGGCGGATGGACATGGAAAACAGATGCATCGCTAAAGTGTAAAAAATTAATTTTCATTTACAGTCACAAATTATTGTCCGCAACTAATTTGCCATGTGAGCGAATAATATCCTAGCGTGTACAGCTGTTTCTTTTAAAACTTACCCATGCTAATAACATAAGACGCTTTAATTACTGATACTGTTCACCACGAGGAATATGGATACCGGTACATAAAGTTTTCTCGATGTGCAGTACGTCAAAACTCCTAAAACTGCACAGTATACTCTTATGCTGTATAGGTAAATTTCCCACCAAAGTGGAAAAGCATGTGTGCATGCACGTATGTCTTTAGGAAGACGAATTTCAAGCGCGCGCTATTATTATACTTACGAAGTATTTTTTTAAAAAAACACAATGGCTGACCAGTGACCAGAGCAGAACTCATGCGTTTGCAAACTGGAGTATCTCTAGATCTACGTGGTGTTGTTAGCGCTAATATTAAACTGTCCCATGTGCAAAAGCAGAAAGGCAACAGCTCTCATGATATTATTACGTAAGTATTCACAATTTCTTCAGTTTCATTATCCAGACTCAAAATACAATTGTAGCTGGAATCCCTTTCACTTTAGTGCCCGTACGGGGAAGTATTCTACAATATTCGTACAGTCGTACGGTGCGAATATTGTAGCAAAGCTTTTCCATAACGTGATTATAATAAAATTTATTAATCATGCGACAATACACCTGATGCCGTACTTCGTAACTGCTAACGCTGTTTGATCGTAATAGAATTCGTTACCTTGTTCGATGCTTGTGCGCCACTGGCGTACGGTAAGTAACCCATGTACAACCACAGAAGTTTATTCTGAAAACGCTTTTATCGTTCAGCACATGTAAAATGAATGCGCTACACTCACTATTAAAGGAGCTTGCGAAAATGTTCTATCTGTACGCCGGAGCTGCACCGAAACAACTGCAGCATTTAAAAACAGAGAAAGCAAGTCACCAAATGTTTAAACTGGTAAAAATTAACTTGTACAAGCTGCCATCTTCAAGACGTAGTGTATGAATCTTGTCTTTAAACAAAACAGGAAAGCGGGACAAACAAAAGCCAAAACCCATCCAGCTGACCCTTTGTACTTGTCGACGATAGTCGTGGCACCTTTGGTCGCTTCCTATAATTCCTAATCGATAGCCATCGCAGCTGCTTGTTCCGGAGTAACGTCGAGTTCTTTTGGACAGCAGAGTTTTTTCATTCCCGTCAAGCAACAGGCGATCTTGTTATTGCCGCATTTTGACTCCATTAGACTCTTCTTCGAACTGGGACAAGATGGCATACAAAAGGGCGCGGTACCGTGCCATTTGCAGTGCCTAGAGTATTAACCGTAAGTGTTGATTCAGACACCATGAAAATGTTCAAACCAACATAAGCGAAAACAACTGACGATTAAGATGATTTTACGACATTCGAGAACCTAGCAAATACAGAGACCGACAGAAAAAACTACAAACAAGCAGCCAGAATCCACAGGTGCCACACCAACGAGCTCGCTGGTTAAGGGCCAAACGCAGAGCGTTGTAAGGGCAAGCCCCCAGATTGCTTCGGGCGTAACAACAGAAAAATCCGACCGCAAACATCCGCGCTTCCTCCATCCGTATCCAGAGCCTGGGAGATCCACGTTCGTTCCACGATACCCCAACGACATGAACAATGAAATGAAACGATCCAACGCGCAGTGAGAGTTCCAGAAGTCAACAAGGCTCCACAGCACAGATCCACGTTCTTCGGGCGCATTTACCATAAAAGCAGGATTTAGGGGTTTACCGATTGCCGCGCTGACGAGATCACTGGTTAAAAGGGCCAAACGCGAAGCGTTATAAGGGCAAGCCCCCAGATCACTCGAAGCACAACATTCAGACGCCCCAGAATGTCCCCCCTCACAGCGCATGCAGTCGCTCCCGCAGCACAGGCTCCAGCGTCCTGACGACTCCATTAGATAGGCAAGAATGGGTTCCGACGTATGACTCGAGCAGTATGAAGGTAAGTAAGGAATAATGAGAGGAATAAAAGTCACGAAAAGATGCTGCGAGAACCGAAGGCAGTTCGTACACTGGAGAGTGTATCTGTAGTTCCTATGAACAACTTGTCCCTGCCAATCTGGTTCGAACCAGAAATGGCAGGGCTCACTATTTATCCACAAAAATTCCCAAGAAGAAATCGAAAAACACAAAAGGGTTACTCTAGACGAAGTTGTCTAGAGAAGACTTTAAAAGAACTCCTTATGGCGACCCGGATGCTGCCTAGAGTAGGAAACTAAACTGCATACGCTCGATCTTGTAGACACTCTTAGAAAGAATTGCACCTTAAAAGCAGATGCTATTGCTCGGGATTCAACATTTGAAAAAAATACCTGGACACTCCGAGCGTGCAGTTCACGTTGGTTATCGCCATCAATATCATTCCAGCGAAAAAAACAATAAGTACAGTTGATCGATCCATGTTTTAGGCTCGACGTTCCTTCTAATACAGCACTGGTCTACTGAAACTGAAGTGAAACCCACGACGCTAATCTCTACTGAATGCCAGAACAAAATACTGGAAACAGCTCCTGATATTTAATCTAAGGTAAAACTGTAAAAGCGAAATTATTTGAATGGACTAATCTTCTCCAAACAAAGCGATGTAAATGCAGTCATTCAAACAAAGCGATGTACTTAAGTAAATGCAGTTCATACCTCAGTGGAAACTACCGTACTTGAAAGTGTGTATAACTGTACTGCTTGACCCTCACGCATCATCGATTGGTCAGCGTTCTTACATAATCATAAAAGCCTCCTGACCATTGGCTATTCCGCAATACGGGTCGGGTCTGCTTCCACTTCCACCAAACCAAAATTTTTACTGTACTTTCTTTCCTTTTTGAGGTACAGTACTTTGCTGTGCTACTAAAGTACAGTATTAATAAAGGAAAGAAAATTATTCTTGCAACGAAAGTGTGATTAAAATTATTTTAAATGGCTGTACTCAATTTGAGTACTTGTACCGTAGTAAATAAATCGAGTACTTTGGCTACAGAATTAATGTTAATTGTAAGTAACCTTGGACGCGTACCGTAACTTATGGTCAGTTATTATTAAAAGTCCCGGTAATTGTTATAAAAGAATAACCAAAAATCATCTTATAAGGGCTAATGGCGCATAAAATTTGGGAGAATGCGTGCGAACCATTATGGAAATAGGGCTTCTGTAATAACTGTGTAGCAGAGCAGTGCATTTGTAATCAAACAGTCTGAATTCCGAAGGAAAAGTACACGAGCTACTTACTCGGAGTAAGTATTTTAATTTACAACTATTTTGATCCATAGCTTTTTGGGGATAGTAGGTAGTAGGTACGACTGAAAGAGTTATATACATAATACGTAACTAGCCAGGCAGTATAAAAGAATAATAATAAATCTGGGAAAGTACGTATCTTTTTGGCTGCAGGACATACACAGTGCCAGAGTACCGGCGTCCCTTGTCCAGAGACTCAAGACTCCGCCCGGTAAAAATCGGTTGCTGCATTCTTTACGAGCATATGTGATCGCTGACAAGGTAGCCTGTAGGTCATAAAATCGGCTGAATGAATGCAGAAAGAGAAGATCGAATTTTATTCTCATGTGCTCTTTTTATCGTAAGAAGTTAACTGTATCAATATTAAAAGGTCAGTCAGTAATGCAAACTTTGCACAGAGCATCGTAAAATCTGCAATACACCGACCAAATTTCCCAGTTGCACCACAAATAAAATCCAGGAATTTTACAAAGGCATCAGGAAATACCAACGAAAAAACAAAATCAAAAATTTAAGATCAACGAATATACTTATTAAAAGCTATTATTCCAGTCCCTGCATCAATAACTTAATCTGCCGGCATTCCTTTTTCAGATTCTGAGAGTGATTTCGACTATCTTTCTCGATGAACTCACGTAGCAGCAGAAGGTGGCTGTAACAAATCCGACTCTTTTGCACACTAAAACGTCATTAAGATAAGCAAGTGTTAAACAAACAACAACACAATATAACATTATAATAATAGAGGCGAATTAAATTGCACCGATCTTACCGTTCTTCCTGGGAAATGTTCACACCAAAACTCGGAACAGCGTTAAGGTTAGTTTTGATGATCGGACCAAATGTCTTGAGCGATAGCTTTAAAATAGCCACAGCGGCAAGAATGTAGCTCTCAAACTTATGAGAAATAAGTTTGTGTAAATGCGGTAAAACCAACGAGCAACAATCGAGGGTCCACAATGATGGTTTGGTGCAAAAAATATTGAGCACATCAACCAATACGGCCGGATCGTTAAATCTTATTACTCCATCGACGATAGCCTGCAAGAACGGCAAGTCAATACAACGAAAGGCATACAGAAAATAAATACCAAGTACGCCAAATTAAACGCAACTGCGCAATAAAGACTGCGGTCGATCTGACTCTTAAGGATCACAGACTGACTATTGCATAACTGAATCATCAGTTTCCGACTATTATTCAAAAATCGCAAATAATGAATTAAATGGCCAATCAAAGAGTCAACCACGTTGCTCGATCATCTTCTAGTAGAACAATTTGATTATCCTACTGCACTTCTTTTGCAATAAATTCCTTCCGCGATAACGACCGTACGCATACACCGGACGGCATCCAAAAAGAGTCCTTTACGTCTTACTGTTAGGCTAACAGATCAAAATATTTTTATTGCCCGCGTTTCCGCAGGCTGCTGTTACTATCCGATGCAGTTTTTCATTTCATAAATAAGCCTACCTTTACGTCACCTTGGGACCACATCTGCTGAATGGACCTAAGGTTCTCCAGGCGATTGCGCAACATAACGATCAATGGCGCGTGGCTAATCCTTATGCGATTTAACGCCGCACCGTTGAGATTACTGGTTTCGTACATAGCAAACACATCACTGGTATCGTATGGCTGTGCTTCCTGATCCATAGGATAATGCTTCGATACAGGATACACCGGCATCACAGGGGGACGGAAATGTGCGGGCAAGGATGAACCAAACGGTTCATCTATCACGGACGGCAAATTATTATCAGGAATATGAAAGTAGGGCTTAGTGAATGGCACGCCGATCTTCACAGTGTCAGGTAATGCGAAATTATCACTCTGGGAACGAGAAATGGGCGCGGAGGTCCGAGTGTTAATTTTGCCGTTATCTTTTCCCACCTCACTACCTTTCGGTAAAGGCCGAATAATCTGCACATTTGGTCCAGACTTTCGGTTTCGAGAATGAAACAGTGGCTTAACTGTCTTTCGTCCTGGCGACACCGACTTCCGGCGAGCACGGACAGGCGAGGAACCCGAGGGACTGGAGGGGCTCGGATCCCGCGGAGGCGAGCGATTCAACTGTCTAGTGGGAGCGAAAACTTCGTTGGCGTCCACGGCACTCTCCTTTGCTTTCAGATTGTACAACGAAATGCGGTTGTTTGGCTCTTTGCTACGGCTACGCGCTGGTAGTTTGGCTGGGATTTGCGATACACGCTTGCTGGGATCTTTTAATTTGCGAGGTAATGTTTTGTACACCGGTCCGCTATCGATTTTTTCCGCCTCGTCAACGACAGTATCTTTCCCACGAATGCGACTGAGATCCACAATGTAAGTAACAACTGTTGATTTACCCACCGACGCGGTTACGAGTTGGTTCGAACGACCTAAAAAAGCATTCGAAATGTAAAAACAACCATTACAAAATAGATTCGAAGTAATAAATATCCAACAACTGAAAACTCGGATGTTTAGCGTCACTCAGTTACACTTGCAAGGTTAAACCTGAGTTCTATTCGCCGACGAAATACTGCACCTGATACTGCCATATCTCCGACCCTTCCCCATCCAACCGGCACCACATCAAAGCACGCGCTAGGCTCCCATCCGTAATTCCTCAAAATATCATCGCACCCGGCCAACAAAGAAGAGCCATCTCTTTGAAATCTGATGCAACGAATTGCCGATGTCTCCTTATCTGTTTGACTAATGGCTTCAAAAGTTTCCAAATCCCAAAACTTAACAACTCCATCTTGACCGGCGCTGGCCAGCAGCAGGTCATTGGGATGGAATGCCAATGAATAGACGGGAGAACTGCGTGAATGCACGAATTCCTTAAGTAGTTTTCCGGCTTGCCATTGATATACTTGCACCGTGCCATCGATCCCAGCCGATGTAATCCATTTACCGTGCGGCGAAAACAGCACATCCTTAATGGAGTCCTGGTGCTGTTTGAAGGATATCACGCAAGCTTTCTGGCGCAGATCCCAAATTTTTACCTGCAAGTCGGTCGACCCGCTGACGATAAAATTTGGATCAAGCGGCAGGAAATCCACAGCCTAGATAAGAATAGCAAAATACAGGTTAGGTACATATTTGAATACAATGCTGCCTATTTCAAGGCTAAGCTTTGTCCGTGTGCCAATGTTCTGAAAGCCGCATACGGTAACAACATATGCGTAAGCATGTGCATTTGCAAAAAATGATTGAATTACAACCTATCGTTAAACGATTAAACTCAACAGTCATAACTTGGCACCGACCGCCTATTAAACGGCACAATCAATCCAGCCGATAAAACGCCAGATCCGGTGCGCGATTGAACAGCAGGTGCGACGTACTTGAGCACTGACTGCCTGTCTCGAGAGATTAACGTTCGCTTTCTCGAGTACCAATTCTGCTCTGATTTCACTGAAATGCTACGTGAATAAACACGACACTGCCATAACTGAACTGAAATAGGTATCTGCCAAAAACTTTACAACATTTCCAAATCGACAAGTAAAGTACACTCCGCTAAGAGTATTCGTACAGAAAAACTATCTTTCATGATAAAATAATAATTTTACAAATATGTGACAGAAAATAAGAACGCGCTACTTAATTAAACTGTCATCAATAACCACTTCCGATCTTCAGAAACATCTAAAAGCGATACAATAGCAAAATGGTGTCATAATTGATGAGCGATGTACTTAGTGCGGACACATTTTTGGTAAGCCAACAATGTCTGATCAAATCGCTGGGCGCGACATTGTAACTACCACGGACAAAATGTCATAAATACTGAATTCACTATTAGCCTTATTAAGCCCTAAAACAAATTGTGCAAACAGATACGAATCATGTCGGAAGTATAAAGAAAGAATGACAAATACAAATAAACTCAATGTAACGCAACTGCAGAACAGATTATTGTGAAAGCAGCCCAGCGCTTACGCACGGTGCCAGTCAAATCAGCAAATAACAGTAACACTCAAACAATCCGGTTTTCTACCTACGCAGACAATCTCTGCATTCTTCAATAAATATTTATATAAACTTTACCGTAACATCGGACTTGTGCCCAGTCAGGGTTCGCTTGATTTTATCTGCCGCCAGGTCCCACACCTAAAACAAGTTAACGAAGTCAGGAATATATCGGTTGTTGTGGAACAAAAAAACACAGCAAAGACAAATAACGGTTTATTAAAGCAAAATGTTTACAGTTTACAACAAATAGTGAAACATGATCACACAGTGGTTAATGTCTCCGACCACCTGTTTACGCTTTTAGAAAGTTTTCTAACAAAAAAAATGCTATCCGGGAAATCGCTAAGCCGCAAAAAAATCTGTTTTTACAGATTCAGCACCATTTATTATTATTTCAAACATTTTCAGAAATTCACTTACTTTAAGCGAGCCTGAAGTCGAGCCAGCGACCACAGATTCCTCGGTAGGGTCGAATTTTACACAGACCGCAGCTGATGGTAACCCAGCCAGCGATTTAAGAGGAGTTTTTTGTCCCACAATCCACAAATTAACCAAACAATCCGCTCCTCCAGTGGCAAGCACACGGCCGTTCATTTGGCCCAGTGCGAGACATGTTACGGCGGTGGAGTGGGCCTCCACTTCCGCAATTTTTGTTACTTTTCGCGATGGAACATTCATCTTCGCATCCGGACTAGGTTTCAGTTAGCCCTGACACTCTGGCCGCCACATTGTCAGTGGACAGTAAGCTGGAATGATTGATGCAAACCATTACCGAACGAACTCCAAATAAGCAATTTTACTTTTTAAACGCTGGTTAACAGACTTAAGAACTTCAATCACATCAACGTTCAACACTGCACTTACGTGAAGACAACAACGCTACAATCTGCCAGATTTATCGTTTGTGCAAGCAGCAAGCTGGCAATGAGTAAAATTATTACTGTATTATCACTATTATGGTACTGACTTTCGCAGTCCGCTAATTTAGCAAATTTCAAGCAGTACCAAGAGGCGAGAAACCACGTTAACAAATTCAAAATTAATAACATCCGTGTACTTTTAAAAGATTCTACAATGGACAGAAAAATTAAAAACAAAAACAGAAAAATTTGAAATCGTTTACAGGCCAGGAAGACAAGAACGAGTTGTGAGATACCACAACAAAATACGGGATGTCCACCCGTTGGGGTGCGCGCATTATACAGTAGTTAACAAAAACTGAACCAATCGCTGTAGCCCGCGGGTGTTCGTACCCAAACCAGCCTTTTTATTTTTTTCGTGCTTACTTTCAGATTTCAGTACTGTACGAGTAAACTGTAATTAAAACCGGCACTTTATAAAGTCGCACTAATATGCTATACTCATTCGTGCTTAATTAAAGTTTGAAGCTAACAAATTTCAGTAATATTCACTAATCCGTCTTCAGCTCCTTACTTCTGCGATATCCGAAACCAACTAAGAGGGCTGTGCGCGTGAATGGAAAAAAGAGAAAAGCGCAAAAAGGAGTTTGCAAATTGGGTGGTTTTGTAAATCTGGATTGTTGGGAAATGACAAGTTTTGGGGTAAATCCTTCCGGATACGGTGTACAAGTGCCAGAAGACGATAAAGATGACTTGACTTTTGCTTTACGATTACAACATTATTCCATAAAGTTTAACCTCCTTGCGCAAAATCAGCGAAATCTTGCCGGTATTCAGGCATGGAATTCGAAGACATTAACCACAAAAAATCAGCTCTAATGTACAGGTGCAATCTGTTTGTACCCGGCAATCATCACTTCATAACGCGCTTATGCAAAATCGACTGCAACTGTGCTTGTTTAAAGTGTAAACCATATAAATTATTTTAACACGAACATGTCCACCTGATCAGATGGAAACGATATAAGTTTAAAACGGTATGCTGCCAACCAACCAAGCTCCATACGAGCAAATACGTACATATAGATTTCATCAATGCATCAGCATTGTGCATACTCTCACACGAATCACATAACATGTGAACCATTCCAAAATAGCTTAACCGCGGCAATCATAATGCGAGCAAACTCTCATGTGCAACCAGGTAACAGTACGATCTCCACCGAATCGAAAGATATGCGGAGGATGGTGTCATAACGTCAGCACATATTATATTCCATTGCAGTCAAGATGCTGAATCTCGGTCAAATAAATTTCTGCCTTAAAAAAGCGTTGGGGTGGACTGAGATGCTGGTACTATCCGCAGGTAAATTATAGCGTGCGAAGGTAGCAACATTCACGCTTGACTAGCTTCCTGCAACATCAACACTCGAGCAAAAATCTTCAGACCGATGCAAAACGTTGTAGTGCGATATCTTCTGCAATACCGGCAACCAGATCAAGCACGGTAGACTGACTGGCTTTAATTTATTAAGAAAAAATAATTCTGTCAATAAAGCCAGCTTGTTATTTGTTTCTTTCATCAAATATATTACTAATTGACAAAAGATTGCACCATTGCCAGCTTTACTTTGAACGCCTTTGAGGGAACATTCAATTATTTATATTTACAGAAATAAACTGAATATTTCGCTTGATGAATACAACTAACCCAGCACCCAGCACAACACTTAGAAAACGAGTGAAAGTGTATAGCAATAATATCTGCTTTGCAAAATAACAAATTTAGAAGCAATTTCAAGTAAGTATGCGTATTTTGATCTTATATATATTCTTATCAAAGTTCCGCAAATCTATGACCACAGTAAATAACAATTTCCAGAATTCATAACAGAAGTAGTGAATTTAAAAAATTTATAATACGATCCAAAAAACCAAAAATGATCTTTTGCAGTACACAACTGTAGGTTCGGGAGTATGCAGATGTATCATAGTCCATAATACAAATTTAATATCAATTATTACTAAATTGCTGTAGGCCTATTGTACAACAAGGCTGTATCTGCAAGTGCATTACGCACACGTACCATGATAATTACATTTTAAAATAATCAATTTTGACGCTTGACACCCGGTCTGCTGCCTGATCGATAGTTTGATACGAGTACCATACGTTCTAGCGTAGAAAAGTTACAATTTTCGTGATCGTGGACAATACGTACTGATACGAAAGGTCAACGAACATCCTTCGTCCCCATTATTTCTGTTAATAGCATGGGTATGCACCTCTGAAGGTACTGTATAGAGGTAAACTGCAAATATTGCAAATGCAAAGTATGCTAATAATTTTTGGTATGTTGCCTGATGAGCACATCGATCAATATGTATTAAGATTCGACTTTACAAAAATTAACCATTACAATCGACAAGACCCAATACAGTCGGCATCATGCAGTCTGCCTGCACCATCCGTTTATGATCTTTTTCAGTTCTGTTCCGTTCTTTTACAGTTTCTAAACCATATATTCTAAATCATCATAATATTCACAATTAGTATTCAGAATATGATTTTGAAACTGGAAAAGAACAGAACAAAATAGAAAAAGAAGATCAGTACGAGTGCCGAAACCGTATCGTATTCCCATTTTTGTTAACCTTGGTAGACACAAGAAGACTAAAAAAAGGAAGCAATGTACGCGTGTGTATCGTACTGTACCTGGCATGCATACACGCATAGGTTATGTAATTCCCGACATACCAGTATGCAAATTATAATTATGTGGAACAGTTTCTTTAATTCTCGACACCAAAAATCTGAATGCCGGTACTATTTTTATCTACCTAGCAGTTCTAGTCTAAAACTTGGGAATCGAAACAGTGGTCATTCCAGTATAGCCGGCAGCACTATACTCTAGAGAACGTACATCTGCAAACGTACATCGTAAAGTACATAATTATTAAAATTTAATAACTGTTGAAATACAAACAACTCCGTATGTAAATGCATAAGCAGCTATACAAAAATTAATTATCATAAATACTTAATTATGTTTAAGTAAGTACTAAAAATCGAACCATTCCATTCCGCACTGCTCCATGCTCCATGGTTACCGAGAAAATTTTAAACAATATGTAACTATTGAATAAATCACTTAACAGCGCGCGATGATCACAACACCAGAACAGCTGTCGTATAAGGTTTCATAAAAAAATCTAAATCAAAAATTTTAAAAAAGGGACTGATTACTTTGAGACCATCGCAAAATTTAAGCTACTTGACTTTTGTTTAAAATTGTAAACAACCCTAGCAGATGCAACCACAATATCGTGAAATCACCATCGTGCATTAATGAAATTTTAAACACATATTATGAATATCATTAAAATTGTTAACATCAAAATTTTGCTCTGTAACTGCGGAGTCAAGCACAAAGAAAACTTAATTAACTTTAAAAAAAGTGATGCTCGAATCCTATAATTATTAAGCAGCTATTGATTTTCAAATCTTCTTATATTCTTGTCGTTGCGGAAATTCTCTCGCACCCAATCCTCGAATGTCATCTTAATCGTGCGATTGTAAAAATTTCTATACGTATTTGAAATCGTTGGAAGAATTAGGTTAGTTCCAAATAAAAACACAAAGGCAATTACGACAAAAACTTAAACTACATATTTATTGTTATTATTCTCTTGCATCTGAACGTCTCGCTGCAGCTTTCCCGGGTGGTCAACGCAATGGAAAAACGTGGCAACACAATCTCCTTTTACTGCCATGCATCACTGTTTCTTAACCAAGTGGCCTTCGCAGGTAATGCCGGAAATATGTAGCGTAGAAAAACTAAATCTGCAGATTCTAAATTCACTAAGTAATAACTTAAAAGCGTCGGACTGTTTAGGCTTTACCTGAATCATCTTGTCAAGTTTTTATCCCAGATTACAGAACGAAAATACTGTTAATCGGTAGGATGTGAATCAGATGTGTGAATTACACAATTTTACCCAATGAATTACTACCTACATAGTCACTAGTGTAAGAGTATTCAAATTTTATCGTTTTACTCACTTCAGCTGTTTGCTCGTAGTATACGTTTGATAAACCGAACACCGAGCTCCCGTGTGGCTCTTCTGTTAATCATTTTGCTTGTTTTTATCAAAATCTGTTAAACTTGTTATGTACAATATATTTATAGTTACTCTGTAATCTGTAAGTGTTCAAATTCATGATCAATTCATGAACACTCCCGCCATTTCTGAAAACTTTCAGATATTACAGTAGTTGATACAGTTACAGCGTTGCGTACCGATTTATAACGTCGCATATTCATGTTCAGTGAGACCGGAATGTAAGAAATTGTTATATATCAGCTACCTATTAGTTTTTTATGTTTCCTACTCATCATAATATTCACAATACCTACCCTACTCTTACAAGTTAACGTTCTTACAAGTTGAGCACATAACCATAAAATCATCGCATTTAATTAATTCATCGTAGAAACCTTTAAAAGTTACTAATAACCACCAATTATGCATTTATAATGCAATTTCAAGCATACCGGCAGGTATTTTTCTATTACAAACTGGCACCAAAATTTTCCAGAGAAATTCATTTCGTTTTCATGGCAAGCGGAATATAAACTTTCCTTTAACGAGTCGCACCAAAGTTTTGAAGAGTTGCCTCCAGTTCTGCTTGCTTCGGGATCCCAAATCAATGGAACTGCAAATGCCGATGCAGTTTTTCCAGATGATTCGTCCTCTTCGGTCAAACATATCATCGAAAATTCTGGGAAGGATTTTCCACCTTCGTTACCCGGCTTCAGATTCCGACGTGCTGCCGAAACCAACAATGCTGTAGAACAAGAGGTACGTACGTCAACTACAACACCCGGCTGACAATAGAATATGTTTTATTTTTAGTTATGGTTGAACTGCTCGACCCCTTAATTTTTAACCTTTTCCGTTCTTTGGTGCTATTGCAAAAACTTTTATCAATCCATACTGAATAATTTTGATGACTGGGAATATTCATTCACAAGTCACGGATTCTAAAGCGCGAACCTGAATGGACCCACGACTTCCGTGTTTTTGCAACAATCAGCCGACGATAATATTGTTTTCTTTTCTCAAACTTATTCTACCTAATTTCTAAAAGATAATTAAAATTCTTATCGAGTATTAGCATGTATTATATCGAAAGATCATTAGGATAGCTTAGACTTTTTGCTTATGCGTACGAGTACCATAATCATACCATATGCCGGCAGCAAGTTGCCAGCAACCATTTGTCTCGTGACCTTACATTCCACAGGACCGCAGCTCACGAGCACGAGTATTTGTCCTAATTAATCGCGAAACAAACATGTAATTTCGTTTTCGTAAAACAAAGCTGCACCTCGTTGGTTGGTAGCTTCTTATACAAACTGCGCGGCCTTATATTCGTAAAGCTGTGAAATGTTTTCAATTTCGTTTTATAGCCTGATTTCGTGGAAGATTTGCAAATTTCACCTGAGCTGAAAGTCCAATTGTACACCGGAGTTATTTTAACGACAATCGGCCTAATCGTCTTTGTCCTGTGTATTTGGCCGCTTTTCGTCTGTCTCCGAAGTTGCTGGCGGTATTCCACCACTTGCTGCCTTTCCTGTTGGGATCTACTTAACTGCCGTGATCCAGGTGTGGTGTGAGGTACAGTTGTATCATAAATCAGTACAGACCTTCTGTAGTTGTTGCGCATTCCTCACTCTGCAGATTAAAACTGCAACAGTACCGAGCAACGGGTTCTAAATTTATGCAGGTTATCGTATTATGTGTCTTGCGGCAAAGCAGAACGGACTGGATCCACCCACACCGGAAGAGTACGACCGCTTCATGTCCGGTTGGGAAGATCGAGCCCCTGAACTGCTGGAGACTTTGATGGAATCTTAAAAATATCTGGGATGGCGAAAACCACACGTGTAAATTTAACTCCTCCTCTAACAGCGATGAGACTTTGTCAAACTACCGTCTGAATTTAATTATAATTACAAGAATACATCAACATAGTTAAACTGATACCAAACTTCATAATCTTCGCCAAGTAGGCAAAATAAAAATTATCAAAACGCCTAAATCAATATCTGCAGGCATTTGCTAAAGTGCATGGGCTGAAAGAAATCGTGACAGGAAAAGTGAGAAGCGAACAATAAAACCAAATTATTTTCTCGCAATTAATTAATCATATTAGCAAGAACCATGAAAGATGAACAGCCAAACTTTCTGCAAATATCCCGATTTCTTCTACACCCAGGAGTAAAACCAGCATTCTTCCAGTCCTATCCACTGACACCAAATATGTACGTACCGCCGAATGTTTCAAGAGAAGCCTATTTATCTGCCATTGCATACGTCTTGGTCCATTCTCTTGCTGAAAAATGAAAAAAAAATAATATTACCAAAATGACACATGTCGACTGTGGCCAATCTGAATTCACATGTCGATTGTGGCCAATATGAATTCACACTTACCTGTTGCAATAGCCAGAGGCTCATTGACTTTCCACTGCTCAGCCACCTGATTATCCAAGGGATCGTCTGGATTTGGTGCGCTAAGTAGCGCTTGAATGGATAAAAGAACTGTGCGAATTTGCAGCGCGGGACTCCACTTATCTGGATGACAAAAAAGGCATTGCACACTTATAGGTTCTGCATTGTCGAGATTCTGCACCGTCTGTTCTGCCAATAATTCAGAAGAACCAGCGTACCTTTCAGAATGTCTAAACAAATTCGTCCAAGACGATCAATATTTGGATGATAGATTTTGGTCATAAAGCGCACTTTCGGGGCCGACATGGGATACTCCTCCGGTAGGAACAGTTCCAGCTTGAATACTCCGCCTTCAAAGGGCGACTACGAAAAATCACAGTGTCAGCCAGCGCGTACAAACGCAAACGATTTTCCGAAGAGACAGCCACGAACCCCTTCTGGTCCCGCGACGACAACATGGAAATACCGTGCGTTATTCTCATCAGGCACTGCCGAAATGCCAGCAACAGGCTCCTGAAGAAGTCTCTGTGTTTCCTAAATCAGAAGGAATCAGCATATTAAATTATAATGTTAAAAACCTTTCTACCAGACAAACCTTTATGATACGTTTCGTAAGAGCTTGTCCACCAGCTCCCTGACTATCCATGATTTAATTATAGTTTCCTTTTGCTAGGGCCGATAATCCTTGATAAAAATGAATCCTTATCCAGCAGGTCTCAAAAATCAACCATCGCTAGCACACCTGCAACATTTACAGCTAACTGTTAGAGAACTCAGAACTATATCATATGCCCATGAGACTAACGCGTTGATTACATACAATTAGACTGGCAATTAAATTTATAAAAAAAAACAATTTTATCATCATCCCGTGCTAAAAGCCTAAAACCTCTTACGGCCTTTACTACCTCGAAGGATATCTACGGAGCCACGAAAGATGAACCACCGAAAGTAACCAAATAACAAATTACGTACGTAATAATACGTATTGTAGTAACTAAAATATAGTTCCAGATATTCAGTACAAATATACTGCTAGTCTGTTACTACTGTGATGCTGCAGTAAAAGCGCTTTTTTATCACTAGAAGCACTGGAGGAATAAAAACCCAAACTCAAACAGCGAAAAACGGGATAGACAAGTCTAATAAGATTAGGATTTTATTTTAGGCGTTTTATCTGCGATGTGCAAACGGAATAAAACTGGCTGCGCCCGAATGGTGGCAAGGTGAGACTCAAATGACATTGCAATAATTCAAGCACTACAGTACAGTACAGATTGTGAGGGCAGCCGGCAGTACGTATTAATTTTGCTTATACTCGCAGTTGTGTCAATAACTGACAAAATAAATTAATAATAATTTATAATTAAATAATAAATAAATACAAATATATAATAAATATTATAAATTATTTATGTTGTTATTTTTTGTTGGAACGTAGAAGTTCTTTAATAATGTTGGAGTGTTGCTGCTTTACTTTTCGGCATCAAATTGCCATCAATTCGACGTTTCTATTTTAGTTTTGTACTCTTCCAGATTTAATGCGATGAGGTTCTAGAAAATGGTAGGTACTAATGGTATTTAAAGGTTAATAATTTCGGTATTGTGTGGTCGTGATTTGTGATTGATACTACTGTAATCGAATAAATTTTCAGACTTCAAAATAAAATTATATATAGTATACAACAATATTATTATTTATGTGCAGTTGTGCACTAATCATTCGTGCACATTGCATTGATTAGTGGCTAATGTAAAAGTATTTAATTTGAAGTAAGCATTCATCATATAATTATTATACGTAATATAAAAATTAATTTTATACGGTACTTACTTTAATGTCATAGAATACGACCTGAAAATTCCGGTACTTCAAGCATAAAATGCGTTGTGGACGTACAGATACCGTACAATTACATAGGGAGTTATTATGCATGATTCATACTCAGATTAGCGGATTATCTAATCTCGAGGCCGACGACCATTTCTGTGGGTTTCTGGATTGATCGGTGATCAGCTATCAGTTCGCCTGCCATCACTTGCCTTCCCTACATTGGACAGTTATTTTATGCTTTCTGTCCCTCTTTCATTGCCCTGGTTATAGTAAGGTGAGTTTTGCTAATTGTTATATTCTTTTTTGCTGCATCCGAACCAGCGGCAACAATAGAACGAACTGCGAAGACTAAACTGTGAAAGTGTAAGCCTGGTTTAGCCGCCGTAATACTGTATAGTGTACACTGTACAGTTATACATACGTTTCCCTTGGTTGCAGCCTGTTGTTATAGTATAACTCGAAAACGTTTTTTTGCCGGTAAACGCGGTAATTTGATCATAAAATTCTTGTTAACGTAACGTTAGCCGCGGTAAGCGCTTCGCGGAAATGGATGTGATCATGTGGGCATGATCCACACATTAACTGAATAATAATCTTGTCTGCCTCTGTATTTTCTCCCGTTAGTTAAGTTTTTGTTTGTAGGTCCGGATCTCCGAAATTCCGAACTGAGAATGTCGTTTGATAATCCGCGCCTGTACATCGGTGAGCCAGCGCCTGATTTCAACATCCCTGCTGTCGTTGACGGACAGTTCGTGGACATCCAGCTGTCCAAACTGCGGGGGAAATATGTGGTGCTTTTCTTTTATCCTGCGGATTTCACTTTCGTTTGTCCCACGGAGCTGATTGCCTTCAGTGAACGCCTTGGGGAATTCAAGAAAATCAACTGCGAAGTGTTGGGCGCCAGCACCGATTCAGTTTACAGCCATCTGGCGTGGTGCGTGGGTTTTGGGTAGATCGTTATCGAATTCCCATGATAGTGTGGTTTCCGATTTTTAGGGTCAATACACCGCGCAAGCAGGGCGGCCTCGGTGGAATCCACTATCCCTTGTTAGCGGACCGTACTGGAGAAGTCTGCAAAAAGTAAGGCATTTTCGCTAGCATCGTTCTGTGTGTCGTAAGCTGAGTCTGATAACAGAAGGCAACGGGAGGATATTTCGTTATTTGTGTACGAAAATAACTGCATCGTATGATTTTAGCGCTGTCTTTGTTAGTGCCCGTAAATCTGAGTTCCTAAACGGTATGATTAGCAATTTTGCTGTGGGCTGTTTCGATGAATCAGGTGGTAAATTTCGCCTCGCATGTGCAGGTTACGAAAAGTGCCGAAATGACTATTATTTAATTGCGAAGAATATCGTGGTGGTTTTACTCCAGATATGAACAAATTAATATTGACAACTAAACTTTTTTATTTATGTACAGTACAGTACAATAAATATCTTTTTGTGATGAGTACGAATATATGTGTTTTCGTTCGGTTTTTGCTCACGTTGATCTATTTCATATGATTGTTTTGCGCCAGGGTTATGTTAGTTCTGTTGTGCTGGCCCTCGTCGAACTTCAAATATAAGAGCCACTGGCCTGTGTTTGATACTCTCTGTTTTTGTGTGAAAATAAATTTGTTTGCATTCTCCGAAAAAAAACATGAAGAAACGCAGCGACGAGAATGTGAGCAATGCATTTGTGTAGCGATTGGTTTCGTGATGGAATTCTTTTGATCAGCTTCTTCATGGAAGTTCTACCGTAGATTAACGTAAATATACCATAATTTCATTAAATTTTAACTGTAACTATTACAGGCGAGGCTTCGACATCGCAATAGCGTTTGACGTAGATGCAACCAGTAGAAATATTTCCGGTGTAGCGGTGCTACACAAATTTAGTTCTTGAATATTGTGCTTCCAGGCCGATAGTATAGATTTCCTTGTGCTTTATACTGGTTACAGATATGGATTGTATTCTCATAAAGAGGGCAACGCTTATCGTGGATTGTTCATTATCGATGACAAAGGCAATCTTCGGCAGATTTCTATTAATGACATGCCGGTGGGCCGCAGCGTCGATGAAACCTTGCGGCTGGTTCAAGCGTTCCAGTACACGGATGAACACGGTATTAAAACTGTTGGATCTTTGTACTTATCGTTACGGTAGAAACGGTAGCTTGTTTAGCTGTTTATAATTAGTTGTGTTAGTGCCGTACAGTAGTACACACTTTGCGTAATAATATTATGATCAAAGTTATTACTATTGGCTGTTAGATTAGAGAAGGTTGAGAAATTGAAACTTTTGAAGTGCTGCAAAACTAGAGTAACTGCAACTGAAAGGGTTGTTTTTTTATAGTTTTTGATTAAGGAAATCTGATTGTAGTTTTCGAATTTCCATACTTGTGTATCATTTTCTTTACGGTTTTTTAGTATGACTGGCTCGTGTGCTACGTAGCTGCTGCCGTAGCAGTTATGTGTCGGATTACTTAATTGAAAGGGCTAACGCCTAACGGAAACAGCAGTCTCATGAGTCATGATATTGATTTTTCATAATTGATGAATTTGAACATGCTCTGTTCGCTTTAGGCATGGTTTGCCCTGCCGGCTGGAAGCCTGGTCAGGATGCTATGGTCCCTGATCCCGTTAAGTCAATGGACTACTTTTCCAGGCATTGAATTACCGGTTTACTGTATTTCTGAAGTCAGAAAATTTTGAGCGATATTGGTATGGAGAAGCGTGAGTGTTTGCCATTATGGGCTTCTATTCCTTTTTTGTTTCTGATACATTCTAAATTTTCTTGAATTCTTGAATTATTAATCAGCAATAGTAAGAATTATATTATGTTTTGCCGTACGTGGTTGGTTTAAGTTTTGCTGTTAACGATTTTATTTGGACGTCTTCCGGTTTCGATGGTGTTCTACGAAACGAAGGTTTTGTTCCGCTTTCTGAAGAGTCGTTGAAATTATGGTATATGAAATAAAAGGATGGGATTACGAAAACTGGCTTCATTAAAATAGCTTCGTAATTTGGTCGTCTGTGCTTCCGAATATTAGAGTCTTCCATGCGCGTATTGTACCGGTTACTATTATTGTACTTCTATAGGAGATTGCAGGCATCGCAAAAGTTTGACGAAACAACACGCAGGGTAGAACTAGCTACTCTAGAATACTTGATAGTATAATATACTTATTATTGTTACGTTAGTAGTGGTAGTACTGCTCTAGAATTCTTATAAAAAATACTCATTTCTACAGATGGTCTGCACACGCGAAAACAGATTTATTTTTGCCACATTCTGCTGAAAGAGCGGGACTGTAAATTTTTTTAGAAATGTTTTAGAAATGAATACGAGTTTAAGTATAATAAGGAGGGCGTTTATAATTTTCTGTCGCCGTCACAGTATGTAAACTGTTATGTGTTGTATTTATATCTATACCTTTAGCATCTTTAATATCTATTCCGTCTCTGGACACATTCGAATTTGCTGAACCAGCTCATTTATTGGGTTGGGAAAATTCAGTTGTGTAATACTGCTATTGACCTTAAAACTGGGATTCTGGTGTTATTCAGTGCTTCGTACATTTGTAAAGGCACTGTAGTTGTACAGTACAAGTTATTACAGCTACAGTACTTACGTGACTTGTGTTATCGTGCGAATTCTCATCACTGTTGACTTACTTACTGTACCTGCGTGTTGCATAACCTTGTCCTGCCATCTGTCGCACCCAATATCGGGATCGCACTACCACCAGGGATCCTGATCACATGTTATGATCCCCAATATAAACATGTACAAGCACACATTGTGTGAATACATAAACCATTTTAGGACGACTAAAAACAACGCAAGTGAGCTTTCCTGTAGTAATCATACGCTTCGTAAATTATTCGTCCAAGCGTCGACCACAGTGTTAACTGTGAAATTTACACGCGTTGTGTACATATCGCATATTGTATGCATGCAAATGTGCACACCTGGCTAAAAGAATTCTCAATACACATATTAAGCGCCGGATATCATTTACAGAGAACTACATTTTGATAATATCTACGCTGTTAGCCTCTGACAACTGTGACTGATCATCGGAAGAGCTGTGCAGGTATGTACGTAAGCAAGTATTACACGGAACCGTAAGCAAATATTTTGTAAAATCTTTTATTAAAAAATTCGGATTGTCTTGTGTCAATCGTTAAGGTATAGTAAGCCAATAGTAAGAAAACACTACTACTGCGGTTGCATCATTTCGGCAGCATATTGTTATTAGTATCATTATATGCAAGGCATATTTATGCATCCATAGTCTACCGGTAGGTTTCTAGTCTATAATGGACAATCTGT